CAGGGGTTGGACAGGGGTTGGCCCCCCCTACCCCCCCCCCTAGGACCCCCCCTTCTCCCCCCGATAATCCCTCGAAAAACCTCTCCGAAATCTTTTGACCATTATTACTTTTTTAATTTATACATAGAAAAGAAGCATGAGCATCTTTGACCCCTTTTTTTAAAATTTCACTTGTTAAAGTGTGAGGCGAGAGCACGTTAAAGACGGTTTCTTGCAAGAAGACGCCAACTACTGCGGGTCAGGAGAGGTCCTCCTCCTCTAACTATACTTGAAGAAAGGCTACGAGGCTTTTCCACTTTGGTACCTCCAAACCTGCATGATGATCTACTGGCAAGTATCAATTTTCTGGGACACGAGGCACTACCAAGATTGACTCGGAATCTTCCATCCTCTGGAGGTATTTCTACCCACTTTTTGTACATCGATGTCACTCTAGAACTTAGTTTTCAAGATTCTAGCTCTTTCTTTCTTAACAGGACTAAGTGTAAAAGACAAAAATTCATCTCAATGAAATAAATTGTTGAATAGCTACCAGTTTGTTGAGAAGTTGCACTGCATGGAAAAAACCCCCGTTGCAACTTCCCCAGAACAATATGCCCCAGCACTTGAGTCCCCATACTCAGAACAACAGGCGTCGACTAAAACGCCCGTGGGGCTTGGGCTCTAGCTTTTCTACAGGAGCGGCTGCCGTCGTGCTGAATCGTTTGCGTAGTTGTAGCGCCTGGCCGTTGTGCTTCAGGCTCCCCGCGGGGTAATTAAACGGAACTATTGCGGGAAATTGTAGTAGGCCCAGGCAACAAAAAAATACCTCGCGAACACCTCGCGAACAGATACATGAGCGAATGACTGTGCATAGATGTCAGTCCTCTAGAACAACTTAGCTTTCAGGAAGTTTTCAACTTGTTTTCATTAAAACAGGAGCTGCTGTGGAGGTCTCATCTGCTGCTTCTTCATCGTGCGCTACGTTTCTTGCACCTGCTTCTACCTTAGACGAAGATGAATACAAAGAGAAATTATGTGTAGAATAAAGGTGTTCCTCCTGTTACTGTTTGTTTTGCCTCTCCTAAGGGAGAACGGCAGAACAAACAGGAAACAGAAACACCAAGATCCTGCCTCTAAAGAAAGCTGCGAAGACTTTCGCGGCTCGTGAGCGTGTAGTTGAGGCTCTTTTTTTCGCGTTGCGTGGTGACATCCCGGATATTCACTTTCAGTTGTTGCGCCGGGCGTGGTCGCGTTGGGGTGATGGATCCCCGTACAATAACTACGACACAGTTGCAGAGGCGCACAGCTGTTGGGCACCCGATCTCCGTGAAAGGGCTTTAAAGGGTCTGGCCATGAACGCTATACACCAGTTATTGGCGGAAGATGAGATCGCGCGACTGCGTGAGGAAGTTGAGAAAATTCTTCTGCGAGCTGCGGAAGTTCCTACTGCACATGCCATTTATGGACAGACTGCTCAATTAAAAGTGTTGTATAACTCGAAGGTGTAAAATACCAGGTTGGAGGCGGGATCATCATCGTACTATCTGTACCTTGAAGGTGCTGTAAGTGATGTATATGACAATGAAAATGAAAATAGTATTCTTTGATGATGTTGTTGAAGATGGTCTGCCTCTGTGCTCTACTAGAGGGTAGAAAAAACTACATTTCAGAAATGTCATTTCTTATACCATGGAAGTACAAGTACGAGAGGAAAGAGGTGGCGTAGCTCCGGACCCCGATATCATGTGCTGCCTCCCTTATATCTATGAAATGCCGAAGTCTTTAGTGGATGAAGCACATCGAGTTCGGGAGCAGCTTCTTAGCCGAGTTGAGACGAGTGGATGAACATGAATTAAGCCTCAGCTTTCAATGGTCATTGGGGTCGGTCACTGAGATCGAAGAAGCGACCCCTTTAGAGAACAGGGGAAAAGGAAGGGAAACGGGAGAGCTTTGAAGGAGGTCTCCTCCGTTCAGCATCAGTGACCATTGAATGCTGAGCTTTAAATGAAGCACGTGAGGATGATGCGCCAGCGGATCGAGTTTTTATTAAGGCATTCATAGAATTCATTTCTCCTGCAAATCATTTCTTGCTGTTTCCTTCTTCATAGGATCGCAAGAAATGAATTGTTTTGAGCTCTAATTTTAGGCATCTGCGAATGTGTTGTAATAGTGACGATGTGGTGGCCTGGTCTGGGAACTATTACTATCAATTGTTAGCAAAAATGAAAGCGTGTACGGGGTCGGGGTCTAGCTCTTCTAGTGAAAGGAGGCTTATAACACAGCGAGGCGGTGGCGGAATAGAAGAAGGAGCACCACCTCCCTTGTGTCAACTCAGAAGTACAACTTAGATGAACAAGATGATGAACAAGCTGGACCACGTCTTTGAATGATCATGAGGACACTTCATTTCTGAGGTGTCCCTTAAACTGATCGGACCATTAATTTGCTTACCTCCACAAACACCCACTTTGACCTCCAGACCAAGCCCTTAGTGTGTGCGCGCCTTGAGTAGGACTGACAGTAGCAGGGGTGATTTCTTTAGAAAGATATTGAGCTCATATCGTTGCCGCATTTCATGAGATTCTCTGGTTCTAGGTCCTGCGTAGCCTGTGTAGCTCCCTAGATGTTGTCGTGCTGGACTAACTACTATACAAACTCGAAATAAGTTCTTGATAAGAAGACAACGACCATGCAGCTCATTCTTGATGCGATTACCAGAGGATATTAATACGTTGTGCATATATGCCATTTCGTTCTCTTTTGCAACTTTGTACTTACGTTGTTCTCTTTTACAACTTTTTTTTTGAAATATCTAAAGTCGTGAGGACTTCGCAATGAAGATGCAATTACTGCTGAGAGGACGTCGGCAGGCCTCAACCTCTTCGTTCAAGAATTTAAAACTACACCTACTAGCCTGCATCTTCTAGTGCTCATCCAACAAAAGATCTTGTCGCGTCTCCTTCGTCGTGCTTGTTCACTGACTTCAAGAACCAGGCGGTGTTCGTAGTTTACCTAAATGGAATCTAAGACCTTGCCTGTGTCCCACACAGTGTAGTGTGTAGGCAGCCGCCTGCTACATAATTTCAGTTTTCATCTTCTGGCTGTGTCGAGTATTCTGTGCTACTCTGCCCTCTCTGTGTTTGAGACTAATGGCATTGGCTTCAGAGGAGAAAAAACATCTGTACATACAATTTCTGATACTTCTTGTCCTGTCGCAATTTTATTCCATTTGAGGTCAGAAGCGTTCCATTCAATGACGAGGTGAGTAAAAAGGCTACTTAGGTGGACTGTTTAAAGAAATAAGCCATCTGAAAATGAATGATTAACCTCCCTTCCCAGATGAAGTTTTGAATATTTTACCCCTTACATGGTACAAGGCGCGCTTCAAATCTAGAAAGACTTGGCTTTGCCCTTTTTATAGAGTTCCGCTTAGGAGTCCAGCGACGCGCAAAGAACAGAAAGAAAAAGCGACCGGATAAGTTGTTTGTTCCCTCGTGGGTCCTTCTCCCTTGTTCAGGACCGAGTAAAAGTTTCTTCCTTTTCGTCATCGAAGAAGATCTATCATAGAAGTTCTTGTATAGTTAGAACTAGATCATCTTCGCAACATACTACACATATTAAATTAGAAATTTCGACCACGACCTGGATCCGAACCTGCTACTCGCTACTTTCATTGAAGACATCAACCAGCTGCCGCATCCATTCGAAATACAATCCGCTAAAGAAAAAAGTCCGCTTAGAAGGTTCCCTCTGCAACTTCTGCACCATTCTTGGGTGGAACCAAAACAACTAATCCTAAAGCGAAGATGTTGGCCACCAAAGCATTAAATGCTAACCGTGTAGATGACGTGAATCTCCTGGAGCCGCTGAAACTTCCTGGCGGGCCCGGTGCCTGGGAGATGTCAGAGGTGCCCGAATCGGAAACCAATATCGACGCTATTATTTAAGGCTCCACAAAACCCCACTTCTCCACGTGAGAGAGTCCCGTTAAAAAGTACTGCGCTGGTTGTAGTGCCTGGCGGATTCTCGGGCTGTACTGAGGCAAGAAGTACTGGGGCGAGTATTTTCTCGGGATCTTTTCACGGGATGGGTTAGGGGTAGCTCTAAACTATGAAAGCGAGGTGGCAGATCGATAAGAGGCTACACGAAACTCGACAGTTTTGGCTGGGGGTCTTAGTTTGTTAAGGCTCCTCTCACTAATTCATCTTTCTTGACTGCATCGATCTTTAAAAGCAAGGTATGAGGGAGGATTTTCGGGCAATGCTCCCTCAGACTTCCTATACTTTTCAAGGAAGGACGCAGCACTTGAAAGATGAACTCCGGACAGTTCTAACTTAGGAGACGGAGTGGAGAAGCGCTGGGTCTCGGATAAGGTTGCCTTGACAGAGAGAGCAGCTTTCTTTCATTTCCTGAAGAAGAAAATTTTGTATCCCGAAACTCTGCGTGAGCTCGCGCTCGGTTTGATCGTTCCGATGAGCGGGTATCCGCTCTGTGCGCTACAGTTTGTGAGGTGCAGATGGGAACTTGATGACAGGAACATCTGGAGACCGAGTAAGCAAGACGGAGCGGAGGAAATTTTGTCAATCGGCCGCCCCGTCGGCCCGCCCGGGGGGAACCCGTCTAATGGGAACACGTATGAACCTAGTGTGCGATTGGCGGACTTGGATGCAAGGATGGCGCGTACGACAGAAAAGAGCGATCGGCTAGAAGACAAAATCGAGGTCCGCACATCAGAAGAAGGCGTGCGAGGTGCGGCGCTTGATCAGATCCCCTCGATTTTCTCTATACCGTTGCTCTTCATGGAAGCGCTGGAAGAATTTCTTGAGCTAAAGAAGACCGATTCTAGTGCAGGAGCAGGAGAAGTTCTTCCGAGCCAAGATATTATTTTAAGGCTACTGCGGATTCAAAATCTTCATACCTATTAGACACGCAGGGCTATCAAAGGGGCTCCATGTTAACATGACATGAAGCTTGAAGCATCCTCAACAACGCCATGATCCTTGGCTGCTTTTTCAAGTGCAAAAAGAAGTGCTCAAAGATATTATGCTTATGGCACTCAAGAAAGATGCGATGTGGTAGCTCTACTTCTAATTACGACTCCTCCAATCGAGAAATTCAACTCTTTCTTCCGCTACCAGCAGATGTACGACGATCTCGCGACGCTGCAGTATGCTAGCGTCGTCGATAAGGTGTTCGAAATACTGACCAAAGGTAAGAGTCGGCTACGAGATGGTGCCACAAGGGATGTCTTGTTCGCAGCCTCCGGCGTGCAGCCTCCAACCGCCTCCGAGAAAACTCGGCGACTGCAGCAGAGAGTACAGGAAGTGGTTGCGATGCATGCGAACGCACACGAAATTGGTCGAATGGAACCGACCTGGGTCCAGGACGGTCCGAACCGCAGTCGTTTACTCTTAGATTTAAGGCTTCCTTTACTAATGTGCAGCTGTTAGTCACTTGATTTAATAATACTTTCTTCATCTTCAGAAAAATGGAAGCATCTTGAAAGGATGAGAACATAACTCAACTTTCCTGAGTCAGTTAAAGTTTACTAAGTTGCCTCAAGTAGAACAAAACTGTTATTTGTAAGGGAAAATGACTGGCACACTAAGGTGCTCTTGTTCATGATTCTATTTCTAATGAGGTAAAGGTGTTCGCTTGATGCTATTCTCATTATAGTTAACCTAACCCATAACGAATCACCGTCTAGTCCATTCATCATCATACTAATGAATTAGAATAGTTTATAGAACGGATGTAGGATGGACTTGGATGGATCGGATGGACCCCCCTGATTCTTCCGATCCTACTTGAAATGGTGGGAAGTCCATCCGTTACATCCGATCCATCCCATCCCGGATCTGGCACCCCTATAAATTATTCTATATATGTGGAGAAGTCTAATAGATAGTGGAGACTACCTCCTGGTTACCGAGATTTTGGCTCGACTGCTGAACCATGAACGCGAGCAGCACGAGTTCGCGCAAGAGTTATCCGCTGATCTTGCCAGGATAAGGAGAGAAAGACTGTTATGAAAGGAGAAAGGGTACTCATGATACGCGAACTTCTCAAGATAGATGAAAAGAAGTTACTTTCTAGGTAGACTCGTTCTCATCAAGAAAATAGGCACTTTCTAGGTAGGAAACTCATCAAGAAAATAGGCTTTCTAAGCAGGAAACTGAAACAGGTCGGAGCCTCTTTTCTTGAGTTTGAGTATGTTGAGTACGCTTTTTCCTGTCATAACTGTACGGAACAAGGAGGGGCGAGGACGGCTGCTGCTGTCAGTGATTTTTTTATTATCTGACTGCGCGAGCACGAGCAGGTACTACAAGGGCAGCGCAGCGCAGTGCTGCAAGAGCTCGGGAAGGTGCAGCTGGGTGATGAATGAACGGGAGACAGCTGAAAGACAGTTTGTACACTTGCTTCTTCATGATAGAATTAATTATCAATGACTGATGGTCATCTGAGGTATTTAATACGTTTTGGCTTTTTGGCGTTTTTTATCCAATGACAATGAATCGATCTAGGTGTAAGGAGTCGCACGATGAAGCGATCACTCATGAGGCAGAGACGCATGTGATATTCAATAAAGGATAGAAGCGAAAATAAATGTCTAACTTTCTTGTGACTCTAATGCCTACGAGATTATTAAGTTTGAGTGAGTGGTGGTGGAAGTGGTAGCACCTTGTTTTATTCTTCTATGTAACTTCAATCTAGTAGTTCGAGAACATGATCATTACATACTAGTACGTTGAGTTTAAATATTTATTTCTAGATCTAGTTCTAGATCAACAAAAATTTTATTTTTCAATTGTCTCCTCGTCTTCGCTCGATGCTTGACTTTGACGTTGGGGAAAGGATACTAGGGTAGTAGTAGTTGGTGGGACAGATGGAGGCATGGACATACTTTTTTTGAATCAACACCAGTGTTCTCAGAGTTCCTCAACTGACTTCAAGATCAAGGCGTTAGTACTAGTTTATCTAAATCGTATACAACGTATTTTTTTTTGGATCATGAGGCAGAGACGTGTGTAATTATATTGAATGTGTTCAACTTCATCATGGCGATTGCCCTTGCATCAACCTGACCCGATCTGAACTCGTCCTGAGCTTGGGCAAATCGAACTCGAACAAGAATATCATGTTCTGCAGAAAATCAGTTCTTGTGGGTTTTTATAAGGACTACAACTAGTTGTTGTCTCAACATCTTTATCTAGTATTTTAGACCGATGAAAGGAAAAGATGAGGAGAATAAGATCCAGCAGCAGAAGTTGAAGTGATCTGCAGAAGTTACACGTTTTTGGGTAAAAAAACAAAGACCTATAACAACAGAAGATACGCGGTTTGTAAAACGAATCGCGCCCCTTTTGGTGGCCAGAAAATGGTGAACTGGATATAGACCATGATAGAACAAGATCAGCTTCCAGGACAGAAGCTGACCTTCGTTCAGATCCCGGTTTGACTCAAATATCAGCTGCGATAATTTTTTGAAACCAACGTTGACAAAGTCACGAATTACTATCTAAGTACGTCATCACCATCCAGTTCTCTGCAAAGAATTTATTTTTCGAACTTCGGAACCCGAACCACATTTACAACTAGTTGTACAATTGGACTTTTTTTATCAATTTTTACTAAAGAATAAGAAGCTGCTCGTTGTCGTTCGTGCTCATTGGTACTACATTACTAAGCCCCCGTCATATCTTCCTGACGACCATCTACTTACAACATTTGTTTGATCTAAATTGGTAACGACCATAACATTTAATTAGCAGTAGAACAAAAAATGAAGCACTTTTTCCCTATGATAGGGTTTGGTGCACTTTTGCACGGACTGCTGGTCGTCTCAGTGAAGGCGGTGAATCTGCGTTCTCGTGCTGGATCGGCTTCTACTGCCATTGTTGATGAAGGGTTGGCCGCTTCTAAAGGATCGGATTCCACCGCTTCTACTGCTCCAGTCGAAGAAGGAGCGGCCGCTTGTACTGCTGTTGAAAAAGTAGGACCGGACTATCTTATTGTGGAAGAACAAGGATCGGCTCCAGCCACGAGAGGACGAGAGGAAGAACAAGGATATCCGCGAGAAGAACAAGGATCGGCTCCAGCTCCACCACGACTTCCCGCGGATATCGTATTTGAACATGTGTTTTCGATGCTAGATCTGACAACAAGTTCTTGTCCTCATGAGGGTCAGGAGCATGATGGAGCTTCACTCGAGGAGACTCGACCAAGGTGGAACTCCAGTTCCCCGCTTTCGCTTGCTGAGTTGCATGGCCTTTTTTCGTGGAAAGCCGGCGCCGAGGTTCGTACGAAGAGGAAAGCGGCGAAGAGGATTGTGCAGAATTATTTGCTGGGCCTCAACACAGAGGTACACGAGTACGTCGCAAGAAAAGAACAGCTTGATGCAGCTGCCCGCAGCATCAATGTGAATTTAAGGCGACAAGAAATCTATCTTCAACACAGGCCGCATTGTCGTGGTCCTCCTCCCGTAATATTTCAAGGGAGAAGGGAACCCGAGATGCTGCTGGAGATGGATCTTTGTTCTAATGAATGTGAGCGATTATCTTGCGCAGCAAGTGGATCCAGAGTACTCACTTGCGTCGGAACAGGTAGAGCATTTTAGATCGGGGGGAAGAACCCGGAAGGGTCTGTCGGTTGCTGCTGTGAAAGGGTTTTTCATCTCGAACCAAGACAAACAGGATCCTGACGACCCCCGTGGTCTGGTAGAGAGCAAATTGGAAACGGTGAGAGAGGCTTTCGCTGGTGTGCAAATCGCATCACTAGATGGTATCAAAGACATAGGTCAAAAAGTTTTTACTGATTACTTGCTGCCGAAACTAAAAACTGGTGGAGAACACAGGGCTTGGCTTGGTGCTTTTCTCGAAATGTGGAAGGCTTATAACAAGCTGGGCCTCACGTCCCCCTTTTTCGATGCGAACATAATGCGTTCGCTCATCTCCGAGCTCGTGGTCACCAGCGCACCGCCAGGAGAACAACAAGTACGAGAAGGAGGACGAGAAGAAGTAGATGAAGAAGCAGGTCCACCCCTATACCGCCGGGCAGATGAAGAAACTGCTCGTCTCATCGTCTCGTCTGTTGATGCAAAGGAAGATTTGCAAAAGAGCAAGTTGGGGACTGCGGAAGCTTTGATTCGAGAGCTGCACAAATTCGGATATGTAGGTGAGTCGCAAAATGCTAGAGCGGCATATCATAACGCTTCCCGATCCGGAAGGGAGATACTAGATCACTTTATTCGCGAGATTTCGGATTCGAATCCTCTAGTACGTGACATAGTAAACCGCATCATCAACGAGGACTTCGTTAGTGTCCGAATTATCGGAACTGAAGATGACGATGATGAAGTTGAAGACGAACTACCTGGTGAAGTATGAACGAAGCCTCTACCAAAAGGATCCCTCAGCGGTCTACCTAAACTTCGGCTTCCGGTGCCCAAAGTTGAAAGTTAGGCAGGATTTTCGGTCGCGCAGGCAGGCAGAGCAGAAGAAGCATTGCTGCGAAAGTGTGGAATCATCAACGAGGACTTCGTTAGTGTCCCAATTATTGAAATTGAAGATGATGAAGCCGAAGTATCGGGTGAAGGTGAAGCTGGTGACGCGGATGACGCTACTTCTGCAGGATGAAGTTCTACTGAGGTGAAGCCCCCCCGCTCTACTGAGAAGACCACGTCGTATCAGCAGATTGCGTCTGAAGATTGAAGTGAAGATGAAGACGGCTCCGAGCATCGGGTTCTAGATGATGAAGATGAAGATTGATTCCTCTAGATGCTGTGGCTGTATGGTGTCATGGCTACGATTGCACCGATTATGGTCCCTGGCTATCCAGCTTGTTCAAACCGCCTTAATTATTGCTTAGAGTCGTGTTTCTCTCTATACAGATCAGCGACAACCTTCGAGCACTTAGTTATCATTCATCTAACTGCAAGCTAAAAGTTCTTGTACATGTACTAGCAATACTACGTACAACATCATCTACAAGAACTAGGAGTTCTCGTTATTTGCTTGATATTGTACTGCAATATTCTACAGATGAAAGATGATCTAGCAGATGTTGACGAGTTGTGCAAGTAGAACATCCTGTTCCTGGATACAAGATCTAGGTCACAACATATACATCATGATTCTTGAACAGATGTTGCGCGCTTTATAATTTGAAGGAGAGCAACATGATGAAAAACTAAAACGTTTAGGTAGAGGTACATGATGATGATTTGATGCCGTATACCATTTGATTGACGAATTGAGAGACCTTGATGTAGAGCTAATTATATATATGGACAGGAGTTTGGGACGAAAAAGAAATAGGTGAGGTATTTTGCTTTTGGAGGTGTGATCCCATGTAAAGCCAAAGTCAGAACATTATGAGAACTGTATAAATCTGAAATCAGAACATTACTTTTTCCCTCAACATAGCCTAGGTTTGCCCCAACAAACTGTAACAGACACAAACATAAACTGTGACTGGCCTCATTATTAAGGAAATATCCTTCAAGCGTTCTGCCATTATTTCCTAATGTTACTGACATGAAATTGTTATTGCGATTTGAATTCAGGATTTCTTTTTGGCTTTTTGGCGTTTTTATTTTGGTGCAACTTCGACATCGACTTGAAACAATGAAAAGACGAAGCGTTCCTCCATTTTTATTCCCTAATGTTACCGACATGAACAAATTGTTATTGCGATTTGAATTCAGGATTTCTTTTTGGCTTTTTGGCGTTTTCATTTTGGCGTTTTCTTGTGGTCTGGACAATCTTGATCTTCTCGCAAGTGGAGACTTGGAGACTGAAGATGTGTTCAAAGGACTCAGGAATGTGGTACGACGTCGCCAGGGCATCCAAGTAGAGAAAGAGAAGGGGCTTCATTAGTATCATTAGACTACAAGTTTGGCACTTCTTCGTTAGTGGTTGCTTTTTCAAAGCCACCATCTCTTGCGCTTGAAGAGAGAAGCATCGAGAGAAAAAAGAGGAAAAGGGAAAATGATGAAAATGCGAATAACGAAGAGCACGGTGATGACGATGATGATGATGATGATGATGATGATGATGATGATGATCGTCCTGGTGGAGGGTGTGGGTGGTTCCTTAGCGTTATTCTCTTCTGGGGCAGGAGGGTTTCTTGAGATCAGATGGAAGCTCTCTCGTATGCTCAGGAGTACAAATGATGAAAATTCCTCCAAATCTAGGAACAGAAATGGCGAAGACTCACCAGCGTCGATGTACGCTGATGTCAGGTCCACGAGATGCCGTGGACGAAATAGGAGACGATGAGGACAAGAATATGATGAATTTATCGTTCTACACAGCACGTTCGCAAGGCTCGTCCTCGGCACTTTCTCTCGACTATTCGAGAACTAGCGGGTTCTTCGACTGTGGTAGTAGTCAAGTAGAAGATTCTGTAGTACCTCTCGGGCTTGGTGTGGAAGAAGAAGATTCTGTAGTACCTCTCGGGCTTGGTGTGGAAGAAGAAGATTCTGTAGTACCTCTCGGGCTTGGTGTGGAAGAAGAAGATTCTGTAGTACCTCTCGGGCTTGGTGTGGAAGAAGAAGATTCTGTAGGTCCAGGGGGAGAAAATCATTTTATGAGGAAAAACAGGGGTGAAGAACGCCTACATCAGATAGTAGGCGTTCTTTCACGTAGTAGTGAACCATGTGAAGGTTTGGGGACGACTTTTCAACTGCAGCGAGCGGAAGTGACCACAGGGACAGCGACGAGTGCGCGAGTATTACTGGGCAGTTGTACAACATCATCAGCTTGTTCTGGTGCGAGCCTTCCACCTGGAGGCATCCCTGACTCGATCGACGTCGTCTCTGAAGAAATAGAGCTAGTAGTTTCTAGTAGGACCACAATGAAGACGAAACAAGATGTTGAACAGCGTGAGGGAGGCTCTACTAGGGAGGAGAAAAAACTGGACGAGACGTTACTACTGGAAGAGTCTTTTTGTGAAGAACCGATAGAGCAGGTGGACGACGACCACCACGAAAATGATGATGATGACGACGACGACGATGATGGTGCTGATGATGGGCACAGCAGTGGACATCATGAACGTCTACTGGAAGAACTAAATAAAGCTGTATCAGAAGAAGATCATGGTCGACGAAAGCTGCAGTCAGGTGGGCGTCATCAAGCTTCAAGGATACTGCAAGAAGACGTAGTAGAGCCGATTGACAACCTGACTTGCCCTGATGTTACTTTACTCGAAGGACAACAAGTAGTACAGCTAGAAACAAGAGACAACAAGTTTGAGGCTCTTGAAGATAAGCAGAGAAGACGACCAGCATTTTGGGATACAGAGGAGGGCTTGGCAATGCGCGCAGATTTGTTAAGGCAACGAAAAAACTGAGCCTATTGAAAACGGGGGTTGTGTACTACTAGAAGAGTTGACTGCACAATGAACATTTCCAGAACAAGATCGAGTTCTACTACTCTGCGAATATTATTATTACAAACGTCGAATGATCAAGATGAAGACTTCGGCATCGTTTTCTAATGAGGCGTTTCCAGAGCATGGAGTCCGCAAAAGATCGCTACCTCATCCAGGATCTAAACCACGTTTTTTGCCTCATGATTCTTCGTTACCTTCCGCAGATGCCCGAACTTAGTTCTTCCTCTTCCTCCGCCACAACTTCGACTCTGAAAGCGCAAAGACCTGGCGCTGACTTCTCAAGTAGTGCGTCGACTTGTACTTCTACTAAAGAAGAGGATAGTACGAGAACACCTGCTCCAAAAACATCTACATCAACATTGCTTGAGAAGAAGATTGCACTTCTTCGAGATTTCTTTCCTTCGAGTTTTTCCGACGAGTTGCTTTCTGTGGACCCCCATCCAGCTTGTCTCTATGGCCTATCCCTGAAGCATCGAAAAGGTGAGTGCGGCAGGCATGGGGAGTGCGCTCTAGATGGCCTCGACTGCGTAAAACTCGGCATGACGAAACACCTCCATTCTAATCAAAGTTTTCTCCAGGGTCAACAAGACAATAATCATGCTGACCTTCAAAACCTGTACGTGAAGACTGAAGCAACAACCACATCTAGCTACTATTGTCAATATTGCCGTACGAAGATACAAGGAAAATCCATGCGATTTCACGCATATTGGCGACAGGATAATCGAGTAACGTGGCCACAAAGTTTCTTCTTCCACCGAGAATTGGAATCTGAAATGGAAGCATGTATTTTTGATATGGCGAGGAAAGGCATTTGTGTTTCAGGAACTACGTACAAGCTTAAGCTTTTCGACTCTCTTCTATAGAAACTCCCTATAGAAGAAGCGCTTTGATATTGTAGAAGCTTCTCCACCTTCACCTCGTTCTATTTTCATGAAGTTCAGCGTTGAAAGGCTGAACTCTGTCTCCATCTTTTTTCGCTCTTTCATAGAACTTCTGCTAAACAGCTTTGATAAAAGGCAAGCAAAACTGGAGAATAATAGAGATAAGAAGTTTCCCCAACAACTACGAAGCAAGTGCATCTTCATTTTTCCACCTTGTAGTCCTCCCTCGCCTTCTTTCATGTCCCAGCGTTATCTGAAAGTCCGCGCATGGAAACGATTTGGTTTCCCCGCACAACATTTGGAATACTTCACGCTTCTTGGACTTGGTGGAGTAGATGATGAATCATCTCAGTTCAAGACTAAGGAGTTCCAAAACTTTCTAGAGGAAGAAACAGCCTCTCTTGAACGACAGGCTAAAGAATTGCGAGACTCGTTTATCATCACTCATGGTTATGGAGGAGGTATTTGCCGCCCAGGAGCAGTACTAGGAGAGTATTTGCCGCGCTATGCAGCCGACTTTTCATCATCTGCCTACTTGACCTCCTCGTCATCCTCTTCTGCCTACTTGACCTCTTCTGCGTACCAAGAAGTAGACTATGACCTTCTCCGACAGAAGATACGGGAGTTCCGAGAAAAGGGACTCGCTTTGGTTGAAAAGGGTAATCGAAGTGTTTTCCACGACATTGGGAAGGAAAAAAGGGCAGAAGTCGTTGCGCGAAAACGAAGGAAAGAGGACGAACAAGTTGTAGCAGATTTACATAGGAAAAAGAAATACAGAAATAAAAAAACTATCATGCCTGATGATGATGAATGATTGACATTCTTTCACACTGAACAAATGGTTGCATCATGTCCATGTATTGTACTGCATGATGCATCATACATTGTATTTTGTATAGTGCAATACGAGACTTTTTTTTAGCGAGAGATAGCAGGCTTTTCTTAGCCTCGCGCTTAGCAACATCGTAAGTCCCGGAACAGACTTGGATCACTGGTGTTGGTCAGGATCGGTCCAGACAATGACAGGTCGATGCATGATAAATCCGAAGCGAAATTGCGAAAAACGACTCTGCGAAAATTCGTCGTTATTTCAAAAAGATCCACGCACTCGTTGTTAAAGCGGAAGATGAATAAAGAAAATCAAAGTGTGGCTTTCACATGTGAAGTTCGGAAAACTGTTATTTGATGTTTTTCCTACTGTAGAACATTGCGAGCAGCTTTCTTCGGTAGTTCAATTTCAAATCATTATTTGATGTTATCTGTTAATATCGATTTTTGTGTGCATTTCTGTAAGAAGAAGCTATTACTAATATGGTCGTGCGGCCAACAGCACCCCAAGATTTCGACGTCCTCGACGAACGATAAGCTCAACCCCGACCCTATGACGTCCTTCTTCCGCTAATCACATCTTCTGTTTGACGGTGAGGTCGAAGCACCCTTGTAATGCAAGCTAAATTCTTTCACCTTAGTATATTCACCTTATAAAAATCCTTGTAATACGTGTTACACCCTCGATGATGATTTTGATCAACGATGCCCATGACAATGATTTTTTCGTTTTTTACGTTGTATTTTTCGGCAACTTGTTCTTGTCATTGTCTAAGTTGTGATAATGAATTCCTAAATCGACTTGTCTTTGTGCAAGACTGTGTTCTGACTCATATGATTTGTTGAGGGAATCCGCTGCTCTGGTAATCTTCGGTGCGGCTAATTTTTTAGACGGCAGGCTCGCTCTTGCCAGACGTAGGCCGTAGAGCCAACACTGTTGAGTTTACAGTTACAGAGCGGTTGATGATCCAACCAACTTGGTCCACTCTAGTGCATTCACAGTAACTTTGATTTCGAGCGCTTTGCTTTTGTTCTCGTAGAAGAAGCCCTGGTCGATGAATTCAGCGCATCAAAACAAAATGAAGACACATCTAGATCTAGTAGTTGTTACTGGAAGATGTGATGTTGTGTACGAACATTTTAGTTCCTAGATGAAAGAACAAGCTCAATTTGAGTGAGAGCAGAGAGAGAAGTAGAGGCGGAAAGAATAAGACAAAGAGAGAGAGAGAGAAAAGGGAGACAAAAAGACGCTCATCTGGAGAGAGCGATTTATTGAGAAAGGGTGAGAGGTTGAACCGCTGAAATTTTGAAAATTTATGAACAAGAGGTAGCTGTTAGCGTTGGTGGAGAAGTGAAACAGTGTTACCACGTGAATAGATCTTCCTCGAGCATCACAAAATGTTGCAGGATGAGGTTCGAAATATCGTTTTCGTGATGCTTTGAGGCATCCATCAAAACCGTAAAGTAGATGTAGTGAGGTAAATTCCCAATTATGTAGTGTAGTAGCAATCTCGCAATTCGTTTTGAGCATACTCGTGACGCAGACTGATCGATCGTCGCGTTATTTGTCAATTTTTTTGTTCTACTCTGCATTTACTTGTTGTTGTTACAAAGATGATCATGTCACTGTTCTACTACACCAGCAGTAGCTACGGGCTAATGACAGTAGTGGGATCTTCATGAATCCCACGGGTTAGTTGTAGTAAGTATGCAGTAGTAGAAAATGAAAATGATGTGATCTTAACTCGGCTCTGAGCAGGAGAGAGGACGCGCGAACACCTTTTTCGCGATTTTTCCGACGTTCTTCGAAGGACAAAAGCGACTCTGTTTCTTCTTGTACGCGCGGTTCAGTTGCACAGGTGCAGGTTCGGTCAACAGGAGTTGTATCTTCATCGTTCCGCCGACGAGTAGTGGATGTTTGCCGACGAAACACTTTCCCGTACTAGTCAGATCATCAAGTAGTTGTTGTAGACCACGGACCACGTGACTACACGAAGTAGGAGCGGTGAGGACGTGAACAAGACCCCAAGATTGAACATCTCCTTGTTGACGAGAACATTCATAAGAAGTACGAGTTCATCTTGATAACGTCAACACAAGAATGATGATGATACTTAGTAGAAGATGTACATCTTCTTCTTCAAGTAGAAGATGATGTAGTGTAGTAGAAGTACTATAATTAAGTTCAAGAGATCCGGTCGTACAAGAACTGCAAGATGTCCTCCTCGTCGCTGGGCACTTCGCATCCGGATGACCTCCAGCCTACGGCACGGTTGGGCCCTAGTGGGCTCCAGCCGCTCAGGCCTGGGAACGCTTTGCCACGGATAGGACCAGCTGAGACGCCACCAGAGTCCGTGAAATCGACAGCGAGGGGAGACGCGCCAACGCCAAAGCAGATCAAATGGGTCCCACACACGCATCCAAACCCTATGCACGCGAGGTTTTGCTACATGTGTTTGCATGGGGCATTGGAGGGGAAGGAGGTAACGCTATAATGGATTCTTGCAAGTGAACTTGAACAATGGGTGCAGCTGGAGGATTTCATTTTTATCGTGTCCAAAATATGGTTTCTAACGCAGCTCTTCAAATGCTGCACTTTTAGTATTTCTCTTTGGAATTCCTTCACGCGATCAACACTAAAACTAATTGTTGTTCCTGGTTTACGTTTATTTGATGCATAATTTGTAGAATACATGCATTTCGTGAGGAAATACATGCTTTTTTTTTGATTTTTACGACCACTAGATCATTCAACTACAGGAGCTAATAGCGCAAGAAGTGCGGACTGACGATGACGAACTTCCCTCGACTGTGGAGATGCGAAATAGAGGATACTTGCATATGAAAGAGCACGTTCGGCAACTAGCGGACTTTAGGAGGAACAATTTGCCAGCGATATGGCTTAGGGATGTCGTCAAGGAAGTCTATTCTCAAAACAAAAACCTGTTGCTGGAGTTGAACACGCAGATAGCAAGGGAGGATCCTAGAAGTCCGGTGGCTGGAGGAGGCACATGGTTTTTGATCTACGAGGATGAAGAGAAAAGGGATTGGAAGGTACTTCTTAGTCGCAGAAGTAGCTTCTTAGACCTTATAGACTTGAAATTTTATCGTTAGCTTCGTAGTCGTAGAAGTAGCTTCTTAGACCTTATAGACCTGAAATTTTCTCGTTACTACTCTTTCATGATCCTCTACTTTTGTTTTTTGTTATTCTTCTTGTGAAGATGAAATGACGTAGATTCCTTCTTCAAAGGCCCCGCGACTCATCTACTAGCTAAGCAGCCCATTGAATTTGAATATCCAATGGATGCAGGTAGTCGAGCGGCTCTTCGAGCTTTTGCCTGATGACTTGAGGCATTTACGGCACATGCAGGAAGTCTTGACCGATTTTTGCACGTCAAGAGCGCTTTTTACTTACAATCCTGACACCCCTGTGCTGGAACCCTGGTGCAAGGTGACTATCCTCGAGAGGGAAAAGAAGCGCTTGGTCTACAGACCTATGGCAGACTTGTCGAAACTGCCGGTTGACACGCAGAGAGCTATCACCGACATGGAGGAGCGTGCAGTGAAGAGCGGCAGTCTAGAGGATTTGTTACCATGGCCGAGTACGTTGAGACGATTAGGAAATTTTAGGATCATTCCTAGGAAGTACACGAATGAGGAAATACCGCAGTATGAGCCGATGGAAGCGCCACTCCCCAGGAGACCTGACATACCAAACATCGGAGACCCGTTTCCAAAGCCAAACTGTTACATCCACCATTTCCAGGAGAAGGGGATGCCAAAATTCGAGGTAAGTACGTATAATTCGTCTTCTCATATTACATCGAGTATCAAATCTAACTAACAATGACCTCTTTCCAGGCACATCAATCAATCAATCTAACGAAAAAATACCAAACGTCGTCGTCTTATCATACTTAATCGAGTATCAAATCTAACGAAAAAATAATTATCAAACGTCGTTGTTATCGCCTTCCACCTCCAGGTCCCCTTCGCAGTGCCCCAGCAATTTCCTCCTCGGAAGATGGACCTCGAGTACATGCACCCTCAGGAGGTTTATAGTTTGAAACATTTTCCGATGGTTCCGTTTTTGGATCATCCCGTGTGGCCGCCTGTGGAATTCGTCCAAGAGTACGACGATCCAGTCGCCGCCGGCTTCGACAAGCAGCTGAAGAAGACTAGGAAGATCAAGAGGAAGAAGTTAGTCACACGTGGCATCTGGGAGCCGGAGCTTGTGAGCATGAAGGGCGAAATCTTGCCGCCCTACATGGACCGCGTGCGCAACGAGAGGCATGGAGGCACCGAGGAAGACTTCGATGAAATGCAGGTGGAGGATTCAGTGTACGTCACGCTCAAAGGCGGCACCAGACTAGTCCAGGACATGATTTCCATCATCTGCGTTCGTAGTTTCGCTCGCTTCCCGCCAGCACCAGTGAAACTCAAATTCCCGGAATTCCTAAACAACATTGCTGTAGTCGACTGGACGAATGAGAACACGTGTCAAATAGTGAAGCAGAGGCATGAAGTGCTGATAAAGGAGATGGAAAGGGAAGAAAAGGAGTTCAGAGAAGCACAGTTGAATGAGCAACAGTTGCAGGCCTTGGACATAGACTACGATATGATGGCCGACAAAGAAGGAGCTGGAGGAATGGGAGGACAGAATCAATTATGTGGTGGAGGATGAACAAACCTACTTGTAGCAAAAGTAATACCACGTAAAGATATTTGAAGATTTTAACTTGTAGTAAAAGTAATTATACCACGTAAAGATAGAATTAGAAGTGATGCTTTTTTCTTTCATCAGTAGACGTTGTCTTTCGCAACGCAAGAATGTCTATGTATCAAATGTCAGAAGTAATCTTTTGTTAGTAACGACTACATTTGTAGTTCGACGCCAGTTGTGCAACTCTAACTCCCATCGCCGGCATACCACAAACCGCAGACCAGAAGGAGAGGACTGATGACTTCAAAATCATCGACGACGATCGCTACCACGAAGAGGGCTTACCCCAAGAAGTCAAGAAGGAGCCGACCAGCGAAGCTACAAGGCAAGAAGCCGATGCTCAGTTAAGGCTCAACTTAATTCATTTCTATGAGTCATTTCTCACTCAGGTTTTTCCCCTAAGATGATCGTGAGACAATGGAAGCAAGAACTGAAATATTTTGTTTGAGTTCTAACTCAGCAGCAAGAGGAGGCAGCGACAAGTGGTGCTGGTGGTGGTGCTACTGGTGTGCCTGGTGCTGGGGTCACACAGAGTGGCGGAGCGACGAGTAGCAGTATACCTCCAATAATGGAGCACGATGAAGATGGCGAAGAAGGAGGCGGCTACACAAGTCAAAATATGCCAGGAATACAGGTACTGTTCTACAGCTTGAAGTTGTAATTCGGTAATCGCTTGCTCGGTATAAATATGTAAAAATTTGATGAGACATCGCTTGTCATCATTAGGAGCATCTTCCCCGACCCAGTCTCAACAAATCTGCGATCAGACCACTATCGAATCACTCCCTATTGCCTCTTTATCCTTGTTGACTACGATTGCCCTCACTCTTACTTTACTTCATCATCATTGACTGATTATTTCGATGTAGTACACCATGGCCATCTACTACTGCTTTACATTCCCCACTCATCGCCATCAGGCTCCCGGTCTACGCCCTTCCGAAATGACTAGGGATCAGATGGTGCTGATGAGGCATCAAAAACGTCTTCAGAACATGGTAGAGAAGGATCGAGACGAAAAGAGGATAGAACAAATATTGACGAAGGATAGGTTCTTGGATGTCCTTGCGTCCAAACTTAGCGAAAAGATGTCTGTCACAGCTGCACTTACGCAGGATCCAGTTAGAGGACCGGGTAGAGTGGATCCTTCGAGGTAAAAAAGTAGTTCCTTTCCCACTAGAAACTTAGTCAATTTGTTGAGTGTGAGTGCACTTTTTCCTTTCATTATGAACATAATAAATATATTTCATAAAAATTTGAGCTTCATTTATGACATAATATTCGAAGATTCACCACTTTCTGACAACTTACCTCACAATCTATCAGGGAAGCTTGGCACGCAGGCATGGAATTCAAGAGGCCTAATGGCGATCTTACTAATTATCGGACGCCAGCAGGTAGTCATATGACTATGGTACAACAACCGCCGCAACCGAACTTTATAGAAGACGACGATATGGCCAAGATAGAAGGGAACAAACTGCCGAGAAGGTACTAACTTGTTGATAAGAAGAAGAAGGTCAACAGAAGAACTCATTCACATTGATTCTTCGCTAATTTAATATCATCTCTATCAATATTCTTCTTCCTCCATCTCCCTCCACGACTCCTCACAACTAAAAAACAGTCTCCGCGGCGACGACGTCGCTGGTCCAACGCCGGCTTTATCCAAGTCTGCGCGTGCGAGCGAGTTAGCCGACGTGAACACTTACACCGAGGAGCGCGCGCGCGGCGACAGCTATGTCCGACTCCTGACCAAGCCCGACGAAGAGGGCGCGAAGAAGCACACGAAACCGTATCAGCCAATCGTGATGGAACCAGACGACAACTTGGTCCTTGGCGAACAGTTCCATCTGAAGGCGGTGAAGGACCCACTAGAAGAGGACTTAGACGAGGACTTTGTCGACTTGGAGGACTCGAACACGATGTTGTTCTCCTTTGTGCGTCACAACCGGTACGAGGCTCTGCAGAGTCTGCTAGAACAAGACGCAAGTTTGATATCGGTGCTGGACGAGAAGAAGAACACATTGCTGCACATCGCCTGCCAGAACAATCACAGGAGAATTGCCAAGTTGCTCATCAGAGCTGGCATCGATCTGGACGCACAAAACATCAAGGGGAACACAGCATTGCACTACTGCTATGCGTACTTCTACTTAATAATATCTATTTAATATCATGCTTACTTAATATCCATTCAATTTTGATATGCATAGAAGATGCAGAACATTTTTGCATACAATGTGGTTTTCTTCATCACTGCTAGTAGTTTTCTCTGGAGAAGATCAAATTCAAATTCAAATGACTGACAATCTTTCTTACAGTGTACAGTGTTTCATCCAGAGTAGAGGTGAAAAAACGTGAGTGCAGCTGCATGCCAACATAATTGTCCTCCTGCAAGAACATCCACTACCTCCTCCCACATCACCACCGACCAGGTACAATTTCATGCAACTTGCCGGCGTACTACTTGCGAAAGGTGCCGACGACGGTTTGCTCAACTTCCTCAACTTGCCTCCGAGCAAGGGTATCGCACTCCCCGATCCCCATACCGGTCTCGTCAAACACGAGAAGGCTATCGAAAAAGCGATCAGGGATGGCAACCCGCAGGCACTCGATCCAGCAGAGAAGTTGAGACCGAAGTAGAGGTGGAAGACACGACTCTAGTTGTACTATCACTCTAGTTGGAAATACTATAATCCAGCACCAGCAGAGAAGTTCTTGAGACCGAAGTACTTCTAGAGGTGCACGAGGAAATTTTTGAGGCCGAAGAAGTACAGAAGGAGCACGAAATTGGTGGATAATCCAGTTGCAGAGGGATAGCAGGCTCTTGTGCGGTGGGGCCTTCCGTCTTCCTTCTATTCCTTCTATCCTTTTCTTCCTTCACTTAGATTTGTAAAGACTAGCATGATGATGTGAATGTGGTCCTCCACAAGAGGTTGTCGTGAATGGTCTTTCTTTTGTCATGCTAGTATGTATCAACTTGTTGTTCTGACGCCTCGCCCAGGTGTTGGACGCATGAGAAGTGTGTATTCAATCCGGAGTGTTTAACGCAAAATCAACACGAATTCGATATGCAATATCATCTTAGGATTGAATTTGATGACTTGTGTTGTTTTATTTGACTTAGTAGAATTGCAAAGGCTTACAGGTTATTCTTATTGGTTATGGTTTCTGGGGTTATTCTTATTGGTTTCCGAGGTTAAATGGTTACTCACTCTAGTACAGAACGTTTCCTTATCTTACAGATGACGATGACGAAAAAATGCTAGAAAAAGAAGGTCACGACACTTTTTTGATATCGATTCCCTGAAGCAAGGCTGTTTATTTCCTGGTTAAGACGCAAGACTCAACCTTCAGACACGAGAAAGTCGATCCTCATTCTACACAAGCTCCTTTTGCATGAACAGTGTGATCCCCACATGCACCCGTGGGGAGACGCAGCAAACAACGCCTCTTTCCTGATGAAATGAATTCGAGACCCTGAGAATAGAGCATGCTATTAATTTGAACAAGATCCTCACTGAATGAAAATGAAAGAAGAAACGACTAAGCGAAGATCTGCGCCACCGTGCAGCCCCCTTGGCATCGCTTGTGTGAGCAAGAATGGTGATTGATATCGTTCTCTTCTATCTCTACATCAGGCGACGGAAACTAGACTTTTTTGATATCGTGGTCGTGGTTATAAGCTATACGGAGATCATGCGACGAGGCGTCCTCGTAGGGGCATTAGCGTAGTTGTTAAGGAGATTAAGAACTCCCCCCTAAGCCGGTATCTACGCGGAAAATATGTAGGCAGGTTCTTTACGGAACTCGCTCGCGATACAAAAAAAAAAGCGACACAGAACTACTTGGATTGACGCAAGATTTTACTTCGTTGACCCTTCGTTATCGTTGTTGCTCACTGAAAGATTAAGATATTTATTTCTTCCATTCTTCTAGCCTTTCATCAGCGACAAAATGGATTCTTTTCCAGCAGCAGACATCGACAAGACAAAAGCTACCTCCACCAGCACTAGCTGCTCCCCGCCAACATCTCTGGATCTCGCAGACTGTCCGCAATCGTTTCGGACGTTTCTGAATCGAAGTGGGATCAGCGAAAACGAATACGCTTCAGTCCTGAAACGGAGTGAGGAGTTGCCACGATATATCAGGGTAAAAGATTGGTGGAGGAGAAGAAGGGCAGAGGAGGTACATCCGGGAAGTGAGAGCAGCGACACGACTCGTAGCAGTGATAGCATTACCTTGGAAAATCTGCGTCGAAACTTCGAGGATGCCATTGCGATCAGGAATAGACAACAGGTTGGCGGATCGTCTTCCTCCAGCACTACCAGTTCACCGATCAGTACAACTGCTAGCAGTGGCGATCGTGTGTCACCTAATATAGTTACTGGTTCGTCGTCTCCGGAAGACAGAAGTCGTGCGGGTGCAACTGTTCAAAAACGAAGGCGTTCTTGCTCTGGCAATGCAGATGAGGCAGAGATACAACAAGAAGACGGCAAGAACAAGAGAAAAGCCTTGGAAGATGTTGATCTCAAAATCGAAAGTGTTCCTTGGTTACCCGGTTTCTACGCCGTTTGGCCCTCGACAGTTCCGCTTGCTAGTAGCGACATGTATAAGCGTGGAGAGATCTATGGATGCGACGCCGCAAGTGGTGCGGCTGTTTTCGCGCTTCTTAGTGGAATTGATACTAAGCCTAAAGACGAACAAGGCTCATCAAACTCTTCAAGAGAAGTTCTTTCATCTAGACAAAAATTTTCTTGTGATGTAGAAACAGAAACACCTTTACGTGTCCTAGATCTCTGTTGTGCACCTGGCATGAAGTTCTGCACGATTGCGGATGCTTTAGTGGACCACTCGAACACATCGCTTGTAGGGGTCGATGTGGATCGACAACGGTTAAATGCCTGTGACACTGTTGTGGCGAAGTACTTTCGTCGACCGCAGGTCTTGGGAGATGCGTCTAATTGTGGTAATGGAGATGGTGATGCTAGTCGTGCCAGCTCAACTCTTCGACTCGAGTGTGCTGACGGTCGGGATTTCTTCATCGCCAAAGAGGACGATCCGCGTCTTTCTGTGTCGAATATTGCGGGTACCAAAGGACAGCGCAAGAAACAGAGACGACTTGATGCTAATTATCAGGGTGCTTCATCAAATAAGGATGATTCCTCTCTGCCGTCATCCGATGGCGCGCCAGTCAAAGACGGTGTCTTCGATCTGGTCCTGGTGGATGCCGAATGTTCCCATGATGGATCTCTGCGTCACGTGGAGAAATACCGGAGCCAATGGGGACTGGAGAGTATGGGAACGAGAATACCGTGGTTGAAGGAGGGTGGAGAGGATGGCACCAGGAAAGAGGGAGCACTTCCATCCGGCGTAGACGATACAAACAGCCAGTCACAACCAGTATCAGAGAGGGGAATTATATTAACGACCAGTAGAAGCGACAAGAGATCAAGATCAACAGAGGACGATGGGCTCCAACAGCTCTTAGACCTGCAAAGAGCTCTTTTACGTAACGGTTTCCGAAATCTAAAGCCTGGGGGAACCCTTGTCTATTCCACTTGCTCACTATCCCGGTTACAGAACGAAGACATGGTGGAAGGGTTTCTGCACGAGGAAACTGTGCGAGATCAGGCGGAACGAGTCCGTTTGTTTGATGAAGGTGGTTCTTCCACCACAAAAATTCCTTGTGTCTCTTCCGATGAAGCTCGTTCGATGGCCAGGTTTGACCCATTGAAAAGTGGAACTAGTGGACTCTTTCTTGCTAAAATTAGCAAACATAAAATGGATTCCTAACTACATCCGATACACTCACACTTTGCATGGCCATGGGCCGCAACGCTTTTGTTTTCTAGACGTGTTTTTCCAAGAGACAGAAGCATGAAGATTACATGAGTAGGAATCATGTAAGCTTGAGTAGGACACCGAGTGAAGAGAGTGATGGTGCCTTTGAAACGACGAGAGATGGAATACCCTAATAAAGAGTAAAACTAAATCAAAACCAAAAGGTGTGCTTCTTCTGGTACTAAGAACGGAAATTCGCTAAAGATGTTCGCAAATCGCCTTCCCGCTTCGTCTCTGTGCAATGTCGCAGGCAGTGCGACAAATGTCGCAGGCAGCACCGGCAGGAGTGCGACCATGTTGCGTAGAACGCCTTCAATGCCCTCAACAAGTTCTGCAATATCGAACCACAATGCCCTTCTCAGTGAGCTACCCTTACGCTCATCACTATCGAACAAGGGTCATCTTCCTGAACTACAACTACAACGCCGTTCTTTCGCAAATCGTGCTATGCACGTGCCTAAATTGTTTGGGCAAGTTATGCGAGAGGTGAAGACCCAGTATCCACCTAGGAGGCGCTCTAAAGTCTTCAGACTGCCGATTCATTCGAAACTGTGCTGTGTGACGAAAGTTAAGGCTTCCCCTTCCCCTATTAATCTGTTTTCAGGTCCAGATGAACTGAAGTGAGTATCTTGGAGACGCCCTCTGTTTGGCTTTCACAGGGAAGGAAACTCAGGATTGCTTTCCAGATTGATTAGTCGTGGTGTGAGGAGCTCTAACAAAGGCCACTTCTATCCTCCCAAGCCGATACGAGCACCGGGTACCCTGACTCCCATTTTGTTGTTCTCGAAAGCGCACACGCATCGGCAGTTGGACAGCTTGACCGAGCAGGAATGTTACAAGTTATGATTGGAGGTGGATTCCTTTTTTTCTTGTCTTTTTCCTTATAGATAGCAATAACTATGTATAATTAGTACCAGTGCACCATAGCTTGTTGCTGAGAAGGATGGCCCTAGTGGTTCGGCTGTACGACCCTCTTTTGCGCAGCAAAAGGTCCTGCTTGATGTCCAATGAGTTGCTTCTAATTTCCTTAGTCGAACTCTTGCCAGAAATCCTAAAGGAGTTCGAACGGGCAGAAAAGCAGAAAGATGAGGTAGAGGCTGAGGACCATAAAAGATGCTTTCTGTGGCCGTGAACATTGGTAACAACTGCTTATCTTGGACGCTCGTCTTTTTCGACGATACCATGATGTTGAGATGAAACACGAACCACTTTTATCGGAACATTATTTGGAGAAAAATGTCGCACGCGTAGTACGCTGCCTAGCGCCTATGCACATGCACCAGTGTTCATGATCTTCAATCAGGATACAAATGCAAACGGCTCTAAATAGTCACATGAAAGAGAGATTTCATCGGTCTTGCAAAAAGATGTTAAAACTAGAAAAGTCGGTATCTCTGGATCGTGATTGGTACCTACGAGGCTCAATCATCAACTCGGTCTGCCGTCCAAATCTGTGCAGAAGCACATCGCTCTAAAAAACGTGATCCACTTAACAGTCTAGGCCCAACCTCCCGCTTCCCAAGTAAGTCTACCTCTCTACTCCGCCTCTGCCTTAAATTATATATCAGCGTAGTACTGAGTAGTTCATCGCACGACTTCGACTATGCGTTCTTGTTATCTCCAAGATCGATATTTTTAGGAATCTTTCTTGCTCACAAGTATCACTAGAACAACAACATTACCAATCACGCGACCGGACATCGATGCTTGTTGTAGGGTGATAGAAGCCACCATTATGATCCCTGTTTGATGAAGTGACTTTTGAACCTCTACTACAACTACTACTTCTACCGTACTTGCGTGTCCATGATCTTCCCTAAAAAGTAGTAAGGTGTAGAACAACTACATCAACAAGATGTCTTGGGCAGATCGTTCTCGGCTGCGCAGGCTTGAGCCCGAGCAGCAGTTCAGTGCAGGGCTCCAGCGCCCAATGGAACCGCGAAAGAAAGACCTCGATCTGATCAATTTCGAGCAACCAGGCGTCTACTTCCGCTATAACATTCGGAGCAATGCACTTTTTATGGCAATGACTTTACACTCTATCTTTTGTTATTGTTGCCATGCATCATGTCTTTCCTTGTCTTTTCTCAAGTTGGCAACTCTGCACCTTCATACTGTCTTCCTACGACAACTAAAAGCATACTCCCTACAATACCACCATCAACATGCTTGTTCTAATCCCAACAAGCACGCGTTGGACAAGCACCCTAGCGCGATAGAGGATTCGAGCGTTTATTACGAAAATCCAGTCCTCGCTTACTACACCGACTGCAACAATGAGATCCCGAAAAACTGGATGGGCCAGAAAAGGGTTGTGGAGAAACGGCTGAACCCCGTCAGGGAAAACGTGGCGAATTATTATTATGACGAGCTATTATTCTTGTTAGACTTACTTCTAGACTGAGTAAATAATGAGTTATTATTCTTGTCAGACTTACTAGAGTAGACTACAACTTATACTTGGTAGAGGATACTACAAATCGTATATTGAAATTGATGTTAGAGTATACTCGAACTCTTGTCGAGGACAAGAACAAGATAGGAGGAGTAGATGTTGTTCTCTTGAATTTTGACGTTTACCACAAATCCTGAAATTGAAAAGGAGAAAAAGAGAGGAGGTGAGATGTTCTATCCCGGGATTCCACACAACATCTTCTTTCAGCACTCTCGTCTAATCCCCCATGAAATTTGTCGACTTCCTCAAGGAAGCTATCGCAACGCAGAAATGCAAGAAGATTTATCTGCCCTTTTCAGCCGCCATGGCGCACCAGTTCGAGATACCACAAATCGTTTACGTCAACGCGGAAACACGAAAATGTGGCCGGGTCTCTCAGGGACGTTGGTGGTTCTTAGACCATCGGAAGATCAGTACCTTGGCGGTCCTAGCAAACGACAGTACGCTATACGACGAAGCGTGCGAGGACTCGACGGAATATTTATGAGCAAAATGCTAGTGGACATTAGAGGTACTTAGACTGCGCTGCTGAACATGTTCTATGTCTATCTAACCATATCCAGCGGTGACCACACCTTGACAGAAGCACGGATCATCTACCTCATGTCTCTCTCTTCTAACGGCAACCTCCACTCTGGAGTTCCTCGATTTAGCTCGTCAGTCTCCGGAAGTTGTGGTAGTTTGCGTCATTCGGCGGGGTTGGGGCGAAGGCGATATCGTACCTGGTATCCTAGTGGATCCGCGAGGAGGTGCCGACGACGGTGAGGAAATCTCCGACATTTTGTCCGACACTGCGACGGAGGAAGAGATCATGATTTTTGACGATACGCTACCCGAAGCAGAGAAGAAAGCACAGATTGTGCCAGTAAAGAGCGATGGTGTACGAGTTTCGGCGTTGGCGGGGGATACCATGCGGTTCAACATCACGCAGGATCATGAGTGGGGGAAAAATTCTTTGGAGCATAAAGTCGAAAAACTAGTAGAAGCTGGGAAATTAACGGAGCAAAAGGGAGAAATCTTGCGAGCCTTTAATGAGCAAGTTTTTTTATGGATGATGAGTGATAATTTTTCATTTTGTGTGATGAACAGCAACAGCAACAGACCTCCATGCCTTTGCTAGAAGAAGTTGAATCTCAATAATCACATAAATGTATAGTATCTTCATGCATTTGAGTATGTCAACGTAGAGGAGCAAGAGGATGTCGCGGTTCATCACCGATCAGCAAGAACCCAAGAGATCTTCATACGTAAAATTTGCCTCACTACTTCTTCCCTAATTATCAGAATAAATTGACCCCACAAGAACGGCACTTCTAACCCTTCTCGCCGACGACTACTTTTCGCTGCTTGGTGAACGGATTGAATTTTGCAAGAACAATTTTTCGATTCTGAACCAGTTGAAGAACAAGTACGACGTGTGGCTGCAATACACGCAGACTCTGATGCAGGAAAGGGATCCGGACATTCTGATTCGCGATAGAAACCACGGTCTGGAAACCGCTGAGGTGTTGGCGAGTCTGTGCAAGCAGATGGCATCATTGGCCTATGATCAATCGGATAGGGTATACATTTAGACAAGTAAGTAGCTAGTAAGTAGCTTATGAATAGCGCAAGTAAGTACTTAGCTAGTACTATTCTACTTGAAGTACTTAGCTAGTACTCTACTTGAACTTGTTTTTACTCCAAATAAAACTAAGTACGCAAGAAGGACTACTCATTCTTCAAGAACGTCCTCATCCTCCATGATCCTCATCCTCCATGAATCTTCAACTGCCTCGTTTTGCATAATCCTCATCCTCCATGAATCTTCAACTGCCTCGTCTTGCATAATCCTCATCCTCCATGAATCTTCAACTGCCTCATCCTCCATACTTTCCGAGAGAGTTATTATTCAGCTTAAATCTTTCAAATACGTAGTTTCCAAAAATTCCAACTCCAAGGTGATCGAACTCGCGGCCGTGCTCGCCCCTCAGCTAGTCCACTTCTTCTGCGTGAAGCTGTACCAGCAGCAAGAACAGGCCAAGACCACTCAGAAGATGGCGCCGACAACGGGGCCAGCTTTTGAGGCCTTAGTGTGCAACCTTGCGCGTACCTTCTTCTTTGACGAGTTACAGTTGCACGCTTACAATCTGTTGATGGATCTCCAGAACGCCTCGAACTGGAAAGCGTTATTGCCGATCGTGGCAGGACACGTGGCCGAAAAATTGGGAGTGTACTATTGCTTATACGCTTTAAACATCAGAAGAGATTGATATTTACAACTGTAGGGATGGGTAATTGATAATATACAACTAGGGAAGATGGATACGATCTTCATGACCTTGGAGTGCTGCAGTGTAGTATGATGGGGTTATTGGATGTTACAACACTACTTTCGTTTATTTGAAGACGATAGTTAGTTGTACGTTGTACCTACAACATCAAGAAACACTATTCCAGCATCTTCGCAGGTATGTCCTTTGCACTTTTAACCTGGCTGCTGGCCAAGATCCAGTCGCAAATCGCTGGGCTTGGCGTCGTGACGCAGGAGAAAAACTGATGGTGAATTTGAGGGAAGCGGTTCCCAATGTCCTGTATCCTGACAGAGACAATCACGTTCTGAGCGCTTTTGAGCCTCTGTTCTTCCGTTTCCTGAGAAATGATCCAATTGCGGGATATGAGGTGCCGAAGATGAGACGGTACGGGGAGTTTTTGGCAACCTTGTTGACCCATGACGGATTTTTGCTGCGTCAATGGGGATACCAGAAGGGAAAAGAGTACAAGACACGTGCGAAGATGAACGAGGTGTACAAGCAAGTGGTCACGGAAGTGAAGCTGAGGATTGAGGTACTTCTAATTGTAGTCTAGGAGAAGTCGGACGAGTTGTATGCGACCATTTATTTGTGACTACTTGTGTTTTTTTTTTGGCGATTCATTCTAGTACGTGTCGTGTTTTACTACATGCTTCTTCTCGTGGATGACGATGATGACGCCGTGCTGTTTCTCACAAATTTTTGTACATTCATACTAAAATGTTGGAGATTCTAGACGATAGTGGAGGTAATAATCTTCTTAAATCCTTCTTAATCCAACCAGTTACTTTAATACACTCTTGTACATTCACCCTATATATGATCTACTCGGGTAGTACGGGTAGTGCCGCTGTAGAGACAAAGGAGCGACATCTTCACAGCTTCAACATCAGAGAAATCGAAATCCGTAGAACACAGAGAAGATTCAGGGAAGTCGTAGGTCCAATCCGAATCGACTAGCATCATCATCGTGATCAACTCGGGACGCCCGTCATCCATCAAATGTCCCCAGCTTTCCAGTCGCATCTACCACACCTTCTCAACACCCTGAAAAAACCAGCGTGCCATGCTAATGGGCAAATTGAAAGACAAGGAAGTTGAGGACTGCTGGACCGAGGCTTTTGAGAACCTGGATGCAACCATGAACAATACCTTTGTAGAATTTGCGGTCACTGATGGGTACGAGCCCAATAGTTTTCGATCTTACTTCCTAGAGCTCATGGCGGAACAAGAGCGATCGATCTTGGAAGAGGAACACAAGGATCACGATTGGGCTAAGGAGAAGCGGAAGGAATTGTTCCAGACGTTGTTGTTAGGAAGATAAAGAGTGACTATATGTACTTGCGACTACCCTTTTCGCTTTTCTATCTTCCTCTGGTCTTTCTTTTTTCTACTTAGGTCTCGCTTGGGCAACGTGCTGAACAGGTTCATGATCAGGGGTTTTGTGGCAACTACTAACAATTCGGGCATACTTAGGTCCGCTCCGCCACAAACTATATTTAGTTGTGACTCTGGGCAAATTTCCTCAAGTTTATAAGTGGAACTTTGAAAGACTCCCTTTCCCCCAGAGCTCTAATTTTCTCCTGTGTCGACAAGCGGGAGCGCGAAATAGTGGAGGAACAGGGCGCGAACACAGTGAGCAAGCCAAAGACAGCACGCGCTTTGCTTTACACCAATTCCGCGAGCTACAACTCCAATAGTCGTGAATTGCAGAGTCTCCGTAATCTCGCCGCTTTGTTTCTCCCTCTGCTCGGTGATCACACCAGACTGCTATCGATTAAGGCTTGTTCTTGTCCTCAAGATTCATTTTGTTGAGAAGCATCCTTGCTTACTTTCCTCTGGCGTTAGCCTTCATTTAATATCCTTTATTTCAACAAGGGGGCAAGGGAACCATGATCAACAACAAGTAAATAATCATGTCGTGACATCTTCTTCAAGCATATTATACATCAATTCTTCTTTCAAGATCAGTGCTAGTAGATGATATTGCGCAAGAACTACCACACAAAAAATTCCTCTAATCCGAAGTTGGAACGTGCAGTTGGATCTGCCAAGACTAGATCGGATGAGATTGGTGCCATGGATTTGACCAAGGAATTGCAGCAGGCAAGGAACGAGAAATATTTCACAGTATCGGCTTTCGCTCGATACTTCGCAGTATTTCTACAACTCAAATGCGTGCCGGGAAAACATAAAAGGGATGTTTTGGAGTTAAGGCTGCTTGTTCTTGTTGAGGCACGACGTTTCGCGTGTTAATTTGATGATCATAGCTTGCTGGTGACAGTGCTGATGCAGGACGACAGCTTGTTCTTCTTCCTTTGCCACCGAGGATGGAAGCATGTGCAAGTAGACGGAGTTTTTCACAAGGTAGTGCTACACCTTTCTTCAAGAACGAAGTTCAACCTCCTCTAACAGTCGAAGAAAACGACAAAGCAGAGGCTTTGGCGGAGAGCGTTGTAAACACGCAGTTTGGCAACCTAGTTTCCGAAGTTCTATCGCATGCACCAGGAGACACGGAGCACCTGGATGGAGGGATTATGCACTTTCTGGACATGCTTGCAGTGACCTGCATCGAAGAAATGAAATACAGCCACTTGCTATGAAAAGAAAAACAAGTGTACTCCTAGTGGTCATACTCAGGAAGATGAAACTAGGCACTGGCACGCACACGCTCCAAGTACTTCTGCTTAGGAAGCTGCCTGTGGTTTATTTCTTGAGTAAGTACTATGAGAACACTTTTTCCTGCCTTTATACTTGCTTAGGGAATTGCTCAACGAAACCAGAGAACGCTGTCTCGAGTTTTTCTACCAAGCGGATGTGGATTTGGTTGCCAAGAAGTACACTGTGCCGGGATTTCAGGTGTCATCCATGGGCGACTGTCCTCGCGAATTGTTCATCGTGTGTGCAGTGATGCTAACCTATTGCGCACAGCAGAACACGGAGACACAATTTCAAACAACAAATTAAGGCTTACTTCTTCCTGTAACAAAATCTTAATAAATATATTGCTTCAACCATTACCATGCTGCATCTTCTGAAGCAGCTTGCTTGGGTCCGGGCGGCTGTCTTTCTTTTACGGGGGTGAAATAAAACTACAGAAGCTTGTCCAAGACGACCCTTCCCCCAAATTCCGTTTGGGAGAGGACGGGATTTGGGTAAAAAATGCTCTAAACAAAGCAAACATTGGACGTTCTAGCGGACCACATGAACACGTTTTTGCTGGACATCGTGTGGCAGAACAATAAGGAGTTAGTTCACAGCGGAGATGTGATCCAAAGGGCTCTGAGCGACGTCTTCCAGCAGATCACGAGCATGAACAATGTGGGCAACAGCGGTTACGCTGTCAACAACAACCAAGTAGGCAACATTACGGCTCAATGCAATTCATTTCTGCAAGGCCTTTCTCACTGTTCTTAACTTTAAGGATTGCGAGAAATGAGATGGGACTCCTGGCAAGAAATGAACAACCGTTTTGAGATCTATCTAATAGTAAAAGTAGCGGCATGAACGGTGCCGAGGGTAGTAGGAGCAACGCTTTCATGTACGGAAATCGGGTCTCCGCAACGCCCTCAGTTGTCCTGCAGTTATGAATGTTGAAATTGTTGAGAATAGAAATTCTAGCACTAGAAGTAGTCTCTTGGAGGTCCCGTTCAGGGCCGGTTCGCATTGAGATAGTAGAGTGGTCCGTGAAATACATAGATCAACCCTTTTACATTTACAGTAATCCTTTTACATTTACAGTTTCATCCCATATTAAGAACCCTCCACAGTACAGCTTAACGTTTAGTTTCCCACTCGTCGTGTCAATTTCGTTTTAGTAAGATCCCTGTAAGAACAAAGTACAACTTTCCTCAGCACCCACTCATTAGAAAAATGAAGTACAACTTTTCTGACCCTTTTCTCACGACCCTTCTCTAAAGTCCAGTTACGAGCAGGCCATGGGTTTAGTGCGTACTAGTCTGAAGAAAGAAATGCCCATGATGGACCACTTTTTTAAGACGTGCAACGTGAATCAGCTGAAAGCTTCGGAAATCAGCCTTGCGGACAGGGAAGCTGCCGTGATCACAGCCTTGACGATAGGCACAGTGAACCGTTTGGAAAGCAAGGTATCGCTGCCGGAGATAGTGGAGTGGGTGCATCTAAACGCGGCAAGGTCGACGAATGATGTAGAGCACTTGTTGCGTCAATGGTCGGTGCACTTCATGATGAACGTGGACATCTTTTTTCCATGTGACAAATTGCAACGTGGTGAGATTGTTGCAACTCTTACCGGTCTACTCCAAAATGCCAAGTGGAACCAGCTAACTAGCGGGGATGAGAGTTAAGGCGCAAGACTATTGTTCATCTCGTCTGCAAGAACCAAGCCATTTGAATTTGATTCTTGTCCCTGTAGTTTCCTTCTCAGAAGGATTCTTGTTCGGAGAAACTAATTTTCCTTCTTAGGATCCTTGTTCGGAGAAACTAATTTTCCTTCTACTTAGGTGGATCCTTGTTCGGAGAAACTACTTTTCCTTCTTATAGGTGGATCCTTGTTCGGAGAAACTAATTTTCCTTCTCAGAAGGATTCTTGTTCGGAGAAAAAATTGATGCACAGTGTGCAACAACAAGCACAAAAAACAAGATGAAGTGAGCACTAGGTTTGAGCAGCTCTTCTAAGGCGGGGAGATTTGTGCAGCTGAACCTATTGTGGCGATGGAAGAGGTTGCCGAATTTCTAGTGCGCATGAGCAACGAGTGGAGGAGAAAAGTCTCGGTTGCCCACTTCATCGATAGCGACGAAATTGCGGAGGACGGCGATTTGAGTCACGATGAGCGAGTCTTGCACTTTCTGAAGATTCTAGCAACCCATCATCTGTTAAGGCTTGAGTTACTTCCCATGCATAGTAAGTATTTATATATAATGATGTTTAGGGTTTGGGTTTAGGGTTTAGGGTCTAGTTAGATATGCTCCACCAACATTATAATGATGTGGATGTTCTGATGTTTCCTTATATATAAAAATTGATGTTTGTAGTTCATCTTGTTCTGATGTTCCCATATATTAATTGGTGTTTGTTCATCTTCCTTGGTTGATGATTTTTATAGGTATCTTGATAGTATAATAGTATACATAGGATCTTGGTTGATGATTTTTATAGGTCCATCTTTCTTGATTATGGAGGAAGAAGGGTTTTGTACTGAGGGGAAAAGGGGGATCTTCCCAAGAAGAAATGCTCTTCAGGATGAAGATCGGAAACAAGACAGGGTCTCTAAATCTTGGGATTACCCATACGATGCAAACGGTGGTGAATAACTTGTACGACCTAATGCGGTATCCGTGCGTGGTCTCTGCGGAGGGGGAGCCGCTTTACATCCTAGCAAACAACGCGAGCTCAAGGCAATTTCAAGCCTTTATTTTGCTGACAAAGGATTTCCTGTTCGCAGAGGAGACGGGATATTTTATGGAGGCATCTTCAGATTCACATCAGGGATTCAGAAGTCACTTTCTTGACATCTTTCTTGTGTTACTTCTTGTACGACTCTCTTGGACTTGTTGTGATTAAAGGGTGGACCAGTTGTAGACTGTTGTTGATGTATTTACAATCTTCAATTGTACAACTGATGCTTAAAAATCATACTCCTGGTCAACTTGTACATCAGTGAGTAGCAGAAGTATGATTTTTAAGCCTCCATATTATTGTCCGTCGACATGATTCATCTGCTATCATTGGATGTAAATGTCGTGTTCCACAGTGTTTTGGACTAGACCTCCTGTTGGGAAACTGACAACCGTTCATCTGTGTTGATGATGAAAACCCCCCGTCACATGATCCTTTTTCGCTCCTCTCTAATCTGCTATCCCAAACCGCTACCGAAGCATGTCTAGTCTGTCTGCAAAACGTGGGTCTCAAACTAGCAGGGTCGAACGTGGATCTGAAGTGCAAATGGATTCATTTGATAGTGATGCAAGAGCTTCGACGCTTGGGAGAAGACGACTTTCCGGATGGATTCTCCGTACTGGCCAACAAAATTACCAGTTTGGTAGCGTTCCTGATACCGGAAAGTGTGAAGTTATGTTGAATTTGTTATACGACAAGGGAATAAATGGCGGGTACTAGTTGGCGATGGATAGTATGTTCGCTGTTTTGTTTACTATTTTGTACAACAGTCTCTTCGCTTTAGGTTTCATTCTTCTGACATATTTATTAATCGTCCCTTGTTCTAATCAAAGGCAGCACAATCGAAGATCCCGCGACGATTGACAAGGTTGCGGATTTTGTCGAGAAAGAGGAAAAGTTTATCTGCGATTACATGGACTTCCTTTTTTCAGCTATCGAAGAAGACAAAGCTGCTGGAAGAGGGAAGGTATAGACTTGTGGTTCTTGGTTGGTTCTTTTTCTAGAACTAGATAGCTACCGTGACATTTTTATTAGTACTCACTTTCTAGATGTTTACTCTTACCTTCCAGCACTGTTCTCTTCGCTTCAAAGCTTATTAGTACCTACTTTACCAATGTGTGGAAGTGGATGTGGTCCTCCTTCATCATAAGAATCCTGTCTCTTGATCTTGACTAAAAGAAACTGTCCTTTTGGGGCAGTTTCCTAGTAATGAGCTATAGTTAAGTGACTGACTATTAAAAACAGGATCCAAAGCAAACCAATTCCTCTTCCTCAACAGGCTGAGTTCAACTTAACCGAGACGTATGAGAAGTATATTTCGGATAGTGCTAAGGACCCAAGCAGATGGCATTTTGAATACGGGCAAACAGTCGAGGATATCCGAAAGTTGCCGTCAGTTAAGGCTTAATATCGTAATCTTCATCTTTCTACTTGTGAAGCATCGATCTCCATCTTGGAACTGTTGGTGGAACAGGCTAGTGGGACCATGGAGCTGTTAGTATACTTCCGTAGCCTTTTTGGCTCAAGTAACCAAATGAAGGACATAGCTCAACTTTCCTGAGTCAGCTAAAGCCTACTAAGTTGCCTCAAGTAGAACAAAATTGTCTTTATCACTTTCTACTCCTCATAACCTCTGAAATACTAATATAGCCTGTGGTGCCTATATTTCATAGATCATAACAAGGGTGATTTCTTTGAGTGAGCTCTAATTCAACATGGAAAGTGGAACAGGCGAATGCCACCATGGACATGACCGAAGGATTGTCGGATAGAGTGAGGGCGATCTACCCAGACATCAGTGGGCCAGCGTATGATCCTAAGACAGGAAAACTGAGGACAGAAGCGGCTCTGAGTACGGTATTGCATGATGTAGTGATCATTTTGATGTCTCTGATTATGTTCTCTTACGCATGTTGAGGTACAACTTGGTGAAGAACATGAACCACGGAGAAGTACGGCTTCCACGTCACAAATCCGTAGCCTGAAGATCCACGTCTACGTATAATCAAATCTGTAACTACTACGTCCACCTCTACCACACCCAGGCCGTCCGCGAGTTCGAGTCTGCTCAGACTGCGTTGACAGTGGCGGAGAAAATGGCTGTGCCACAGGAATATGTGCCTTTGCGATCGTCGGCGATGGCCCCAGAGGAATTCCGTGATGCATTGAATAACCAAGTTGACTCTAAGTTAGCAGCCGCAGCCGATGGTCAAAAGCGACCTTCACAGAGGCAAAGCCAAAAACCTGCTGGGGGACTGTTTATGGCCTTGTCCACAACTTTGTTGAAAGGCGAAATAATTTTTTTGTTTCAACAGACAGTGTCGTGAGAGTTCAGATGAGTTGTCTCTTTCTGACACAACTAATAAATACATTATTAGTGTACCTTTTTCTCTTTTATATCTTCCTCTGGTCTGTCACTGTCTTTTTTCTAGTTAGGTCGGCTCCACCACAATTATTAGTGTAAAAATAATGACTAGAGAGTAGTGAAGGATCCACAACCTAACCTAACCTAGTGTTTCTTCATCGAAGTTGTGGAACATGATCTTCGTTTACTTCATCATTCTTCTAGTCGGACTCAACACTCTACCTCGTCTAAGGTCTCAATGCCATCAATGCCAATGGGTATGGAGGTGGATGATTACGGTGCTGCCACTAGCGTCAGTACGGGCCCAGGCAGGATAATCGACACCAGAGCGATACTGGGACATATAGTGGAGAAAGACGCGGATGTTAAGGCTAGTACAAGAAATCCAACCTCTTCTTCACAGGTCCTCCCGTACTTTAACAGGGAACTAATGGGGACCCAAGAAATCTTCGTCCTGTTTTTATAGGGAAGGGGGACCCAGCCCCAGCAAAATGCTGTTGGCGATGGATTTCATATCTTGGATGTTGTTCATTCTAAATCTAATGATGGGAATATCATAGGCGGATCGCAACCGAGCGCTAAACCGCGTCAAATCCGCCCTGCACCACGAGAAGCTGTTCCTCAAAGTCAAACATCAGATAGTGGCTCTAGCGGCGCATCAGGACGGAAACCATCTCAGAAGAGCGCAGCAGAAAAATCCGGAACAAGTAAGTCATCAATTATGGTGGACTTTCTCTTTTATATCTTGATCTTCCTCTGGTCTTTCTTTTTTCTAGTTAGGTCGGCTCCACCACAATCTATTATGGTGGACTTTCGTTTTGATGGTACTTTTCTTGGTCAAACGAAAATAGCGAGAAGAGAAGGATAGAAGATCTTTCATGTACTAGAAACACGTTGATGCTTAATTATTTTTCTTGGTTCTTTTGTTCATCTACTTCTGTACCAGTTTGGTTATAGTTTCTATCAGGACGTCGAGGGCGTCAGAGATTTTTTCGTGTGTCCATGCTTCCGTCCATGACCAGCACTCTATCTTTCACCCTATTGATATGAATTTCTCACTCACTCTAACTCCCGTTCGAGTAGCAGTGCTAGCAAGAGTGCCAGCGCAAGTGCCCCGAGCAAGTCATCGACCTCAGGGAGCGGCAGCGGCCCAGGATTCGGTGGGAAGAAATCGTCGTCTTCAGCCTCCTCGACGTCTAAGTCGTCAGCGAGTGACTCTTCGTAGACGGAGAAGAGGATGACGAAGACGATGAATGAAATCTTTGTAGAGGTACAACTGCTGCTACGCAACATAAACATTCTTGAATGTAGGAGAAGTCTGAGGATATTATCATCAACTTAGATTCTTGTCATAAGTGCAAATGCTGCGCCAGTTACATTCAAAATGGGAAAAGCATAGCCAAGTGAAATCTTGCTAATTTGTTTATTGCATTGTCCGTCACGATGTTCATTGAGTTCAAAATTGTCCTTATATAGCAACCATCACACTAGAATGAGTAAAGTTTTCTAAAGTCAATCTAACTCCGAGTTGATTAAACTCATTATCATATTACTTATCACTGTCGTACTTATACTTGCTAGAAGCATTGCTAAAGCTAATATCTGTCATTGTCATTCAATACCAGAACTAGAAGTACAAGAAGGAACACTCACAGCACCAGCATCGGAGTGGAATCTTCTCTCTTGGCCATCCAAGTCCAAGAACAAGACATCTGAAGAAGAACTAGTCATGGAAACATCAAATATGCCCTTCTCGATGGAAAATGAAATTAACCATAATGCAGAAATAAAATTTCGAATTTTCGAACAACACATATTATTTGAACATCATACGACCACGATTTATATCAAAACAGGTCCAGAATAATCATGTCTATTAACTATCTACAACTACACAGATATGCAAGGGGGCCTATAATCAGCATGAATAAAAAGTCTCTCTCTGTCGTAGACGAATATCCAAGAGGACTGAAAGTTCAAAATGGATTTTCGTTGAACAGATTTCTGTATAGAACGTGACAAGAACAGGAGGTCTCTACTAGTAGGTAGGTATTGTCAGTCAAGAAGTAACCTCTTGTACATACGCATATCAAAACACCGATGAGTTGCATCTCAAACATGACACAGACACTGTACACGTAGTCTTCGAAGAAAGATACCGAATAGTAGAAACAGAAAATAATAATTTGTCATTCTCAACATTGTCGCCGAGCTTAAGCTTTGTCATTGTAGGCGATGAAGAGAACAAACTATCAAACAGCCATACAACACATCAAAATCAAATGAAGAAAATCAACTTTTTTTTGAAATTCAAGGCGCCCAACAAAGGATCATGATCGGAGGTGAGCTAACTCCTATCCTAGCCATGATCGTCGATTCGAGAGAGCACAATCTAAGTACCTTCTTCGAGCGGGGATCAAACTATTGGAACAAGGGTGATGCCTCGATTTCATTCAATGAATCCCTTCCTAGAGCAATTGTCTATTGTGGTCTTGGAATTTCGACAAACCGTCACAGGGTTTTGAGGATTTTGGTGTGTAGCATGATTTTTGTACCAAGTGTTGTCCTTGTGTGTCGGTAGACATGTCGATGCTAGGGCGCTGCGTCGTCGACCTCTTGTTTGAACATCAACTTGATGGCTAATGTTGATTGTGTGATGAAACGCACCTATTTTCATGGTTCGTTATTGTGTAGCGACACCGTGTGGATATGACCCCGGACAACGCACCTCCATGACCATGAATCACCTTCTCCATAGACATCAACCTAGGCTTTGGTACTAGTAGCTGCGGAAGTGACGACCCTATTTTTGTCTATCTACTTCCTGTCTTCCTTCTTGCTACTCAAGCTTGAGAGGCTAAGCATTGAGAAGATCCATCTTCTCTCTTTTTTGGTACTCGACAAACTTATCTTTACAAGTTACAACAACATCATAATCATATAACGAACATAGACTAAAGTTGTACTACTTATCAAAAATATCATTAAACACACAGCCGACATCAAATAAACAACATGGCGGATCCATTCGCTGCCGTGGCAGGCGTCCCGGAGGTGAAGGCGGGCCAACGCGCCAGTAGCCGGACTCAGGGAGCGAAGCAGTTTTTTGATGTTCTGCAAAACGAAGCAGCAGCTGAGCGCGTCGAGCAAGCGATTTTTGCGCTCACGAATAACGCAGATGATAAAAAGTACTTGAAGATTTTGTAATTCTATTGAAGAAGGATGAAATAAAGCTCCAACAATTAGTCGCTCGCGACTCTAAACTTCTGCAACACCTCCTGCTAGGCAAATTCATTCATTCATTCATTCAGTAAGAAAATTCTAAATTTGTAGATGATCGATTCATCGTTAGAAGTGCCAAATTTTTAGCGTGAAGAAAATAATGAAGAAGTGCATAATTATTCCGCGCATCACCACAACGAGCTCAACATTCAAGTCTTCGAAATGTCAACATTGTCCAGTTCAAAAATCAAGCAAACAGTATCAAAATCACGCACGACACACAGTTATCGCATGCGGATTCGGCAAGTTATCAGCGTGTTGAAGCAAGAGCGGTTTGGCGTCTTAAGAGAAGGTACTTATTAATATTTTTTTTCGGCGTCGTGCATTTTGATTTCTATTTGAATGTTTCGTTGTTTGTTTTTGGTCAATCATTTCTTTTTGGAGCAACAGTCATTTCTTTTTGGTCGATCAATCTACTTCTTCCGTTCCTTCTAATAAATCCGAAGGTATTGTCCGTGAGATGGTCGATTTACACGATTTAGTAACGACAAAGACAAATGCAGCTGCGGTTAAGCCGAATTATCTGTCGGATATCAAGGAGAAGCTTAAAACGGTACTTTACATTATAAGATTCGAGTTTGATTCATAGGAACAATCATGTTTGCCTTTCTTGCTTGTGACCATGAACGACGAGAAAAATTTCATCTAATACTAAATCTACCAGTACATCGAACCTGCAATCCATCTGCTTTCACTGACTTTACCTCTCAAATCACTCCTCCAATTCAACTATGATCCTACACAGGCTGGCGAATCCGAGTCTAGCGGTGATAGCCCTTCCACCACAGGAAATAATAGTAAAGCGTCTTCTCCCGATGACAATTTAAGGGTTACCACATTGCATTCTTCACTAGCGTCCTTGACTTTTTTCCCAGTAGGAAAAGGGTCAGGGATGACCTGAAGGGTGCAATGACACAATAGCTCTAAACAATAGCTCTGAGATTCCAGCGCCAACGATGGCGCGCAGTAGTCTTGTTGCACAGGCGCCCGCTGCGGTTGTGCGGCCACAGCCCGGAGGTGGTGATAATCCTTTTGCATCTGCAGGGGGAGGGTCGGATAATCCTTTCGCAGCTTCTGGTGGAGAACTACAGAATTATAAACCTCCTCAAGCACAGCAGCCTAAAAATACCAATGTGGCACAACAAAATAGCACTTCTGTAGCACCTGCTTCAGCAGCTCCTGCTGCTCCCGCTCCAGCTAAGATGATCCCACCAACAAGTGAGTTACATCAACAGTCGCCAGAAACTACAACATCAGCCTCGTCCGACAAGATGCCACCACCTGCGGGTCCTCCGGCTCCGAGTGCAGCTACTCGTGCTGTTCCACCGCCAGTACCAGAACATCCTAGTCCAGCTGTTGTACAACAGAATACTGCTTCTCCTGGTGCTGTCTTACCACGTGCTGCTACTCAGACAAATAATCGTTCTCCTTCGATCGGGTTAGGAGGTAATCCATTTGAGCAGATAGGTGGACAGCCACTACCTGTTGCACCGGTAAGAAATAACGCCACTGTAGCACAACCTGGAGGAGATGGAGCTAGTAGTACTGCTCAACCACCTTCTAGTAGAGGAGGTGCAGCGCCGACAGCGCCACCTGCTCCATCCGCAGCAGCGAGTAACAAAGCAGTCTTGGATAAAACGTTGATTCAGCCCTTATCTGTCCCAACAGCGCCACCAACTGCACCAACAGCGAATGCAGCACCGGTGAAAGCACCAACTTCTCAACATCAACAAATGACAAGACAAGCACCAGAACAAAACCAAAAGGCTGCGCCTCAACAACAACAACAACACCAACAGCAACAAGCAAGTACTTCTACTAGAGCACCCCCAGAAGTGGCGCAAGGAGCTGTGCTGAATGGTAGTCCGTCTCCTAGAGGAGTGAGTATGCCTCCAGGTGGAAGCGGTGAAAAAAAGTGGGCTGAACAAGAGAAGATGCACCAAATGGCTCACGATAGCATCACAGCGAGGCTGAACAAGTTGCGGGAGAACAGTACTAGAAGACTTTTATTTGGTTTCTTTACGGCGAAGGCGATTCTGACTTTAGCTAATTTTGTTTCATTCGCTGTGATTGTTACCACTAGTTCGGAACTGTTCACGTAGTCATCGTTGCATTCCATTACATACTACATATGAATATCTCCACCCTTTCCTCGCCAATTCTACTTCAGAATCTTCTCTCGCGGAAACGATGCACCGCACTCGTGAGACTGTTCAACGCGAAGACTTTTTCCAGCAAGGCAAGAGCAGCATGTTCCGACGAGGTCCTTCTGACCCGAAGTCTCTAGCTGGGCCAGCTTTCTCTTCTAGTACCTTGTCCGGTGGCGTTGACCGTTCCGAGCAGTTCGAGCGTGACAAGGCCATGCTCGAGTCCGAGCGTGCGGCACTGGAGCGCGAAAAGACCGATTTTGAGGCCGACAAATTGAAGTGGAAGACAGACTTTGAAAGGGAGAAAGCTTCCTTTGCGGAGAAGGCGAAGACGCATCAAAGGGCTCTGGAGGAGGAGATTGAAAGCTTGAAGAGTCAATTGGAAAAAGCGACCTCATCTGCGGCTCTGAACCGCACAGCGTCTGAGACGGTGACTGAAGAATTAGCGGCTCTAAAGCGACAGTTTGAAGCAGAGAGGGAGAAAGAACGGAAAGTGATAGACGCAGAAAGAAAACGGTTGGAGGTCGAGAAACAAGTCTTCAAGAGGAAACGTACCTATTCACTCATACTCTTACTTTTTGTGTCAATATTTTGACTTTCTATTTTAGATCTTCGTGCAACGCTAATCTATTCTTCATAATTTGTATTTGGTACATAGATATGCTGCTCTGTACTGAACAAAATAGAATTCAAAGAGTACACACTCATCGGCAAACTGTATCCATATGAACCTTCCCAACCCATAACAGAACAAGAGCTGCAAGCACGCAGTGAGCAGCCGTCGTCGAGTCTTCAGCAGACGCCAGCTTTGTTGAACGATGATTTGATGGCCCACAAGTACGAATGCCTCAAAGAACAGTTTCGAGTTCGTTCTAAGGAGCTGCAAGACGTGAAGATGGAGAATCAACTTTTCAAGCGACTTGAGGCGAAACGAGCACAAGAGTACCGGATCAGCGAGGATGAGCTCAAATACACCTATGACAAGAGGATTCAGCAATTGGCGACGCTGCTGGAGGAGAAGGGTAAGTATTAGATAATGTGAGTGTGTCTTCTCGTTCTTGAAGGCTAGGCTTATATCGCGACAAATTCAAGATGGCGGACACGCTTGCGACCGCGCAGCGACCTGGCCTTTGCCACGGTGATGCCCGTCAAGACTTCGGCGATCGGCTGCCGGTGACGCGGAAAACGAAGGGGGGGCCATTAGCGAAGCACGCGCCCCATTTGGCCGGGCGGGTGCCCACTCTCGAAGGAAACGCACACGAAAGCAACAAGGCGCCGCGCAGATTCATGGCAGAGGGGTGGGCAAGCGGCTGGGGTTCTTAGGAGTCTGATTGCACTGCGCGCGGACTCTGCGGCCCCGTCGGTTGGGCAGCAGTCGAGAAGTGCGGGGGGAAGTTCCGCGGAGCTTCGGTAGATTGCGTTGGGGGTTTTGCATGTGGTTCGTTCTCTGTGGATGATTTTCAAGGGAGGCGGCTTGAGGCGTGCGGTGTCGCCGGGTGGGGTGCGGGTGCCGATAGCCTCCGACTGTCGTCTACCGCTACAAACCGCCACCGCACCCCCGGCGCCATCCGCGATACGGTCACCAGTGTGCGGCTGAGTTTCTACGATTACTCGATCGAATAATCGACACCAGTGCGCTAGCTGCCGACGTTGCAGTAGTGGCCAGCTGTGACGAACTCGGGCGTACAGAACGTCCCGAACGGCACCAGGTAGCTGTAACCGTAACGAGCGCGATCAGTCGACTTGTCTACCACGACGCACTCGAAGCGACCGCTCATAACGTCGCGTGCTTGGGCTGCGGCCAATCCGCCGACACTCACAGCCACGGCGGTAGCCGTGCGTCGCGGTTAATGTGCCGCCCTGCATCTCGGTGACTGGTGCCGACGGAAGCACTTACCGCATTCTTCCAGGAGCAGCGCGCGAGTATCTGCCTGACGACCCAGGAGAGCAGCAAACTGAACGCGCTGAGACGGTGGGGCGTCTTGTGCAGCAGCGTGCCAACGCCCGGGGCCGCTTGTTCATCTACACTCCGGACAGACAGCTCGAGCCCCTCCGTGAACAGGCTGACGTCGCCAAGGCACGGCGCGGGATATATCTTCGTGCGGTCGGGCGGTTTCGTGCAGACGTCAACGCTTTGCGCTACGTTTCGCGGCGGCTGGTCTTCCATTGGCACACGCGCCCGATTCTCGACGTACATCGTGAGAGCTTGCGCGACGCCGCGCGCAGCGCGTTTCTCGGCGGTCCTGACAAGTTGGCCACTCGCGCGCAAGCGCTTCGGGGAGCATTTGGAGAATGGTCGGATCGATTGATGGGGCAACCCAATCCGCACGGCGCGCGACTTGACTTCGCAACCGCATACGGCTACCGCCTTGGCGATCGAGCTCGAGCAGGCACTCGCTCACGAGGCGGCCAACACTGAACGAAGTGCGGACGGCAGGGCCGGCACTCAGTCAACTCCGCGACCATCTTGGGCGACGCGTCTCCGCCTTCAGGGCGGCAGTTAACGACCGGACTAGGACAGCGAACAACTGCGCTCCCTCTCGCAACTCCTTCCAGACGACTTCAGCGGGTTCCGCCAAGAAGCCTTCGGCGCGAGGCCGACCGACGTAGCGACCCGGCATCACGCGGAAGCTCCCGAGGATTGGGGCGCGGCTCTGGATCGGATTGATCGCACCCGGATAGCCGCGCCTCGGAACGCAGGCGCGTTGGTGATCGCAGTCAGCTTGGCCTTTGAGGGCGATCGGCTGAAGTACGAGTAAGGGGTGGAGAACGGTCGATGGATGTAACTAACGAGGACCATGCGACGACTGGACAGCCGCCGGGTGCGGCTGGGTGGTAGTCTACAGGGCGGGGCAAGCAGTCTGATAGTAGCGCGACGCTTTTGCGTACAGCATCTAACTTTTAGCCCGTGTGCGTATTACTGGTGGCCCAGGCCGACCCATCCTGATTGCCAGCGGCTGCGCGAGTGGGTGCCCAAGCGAGGTGGCAGGGTGCGCTCTCGGGTCACGGGGTGGGGCTCGCTGATTCTCAGCATCGCAATCACTGGTCTGGCCACGAAATTGCGACAGCATGTCTACCAAGGGTGGCTCAGCACGCTCGATGAGCTTCTGCCATTCGATGCACTTCGTCACCACGCCAAAGCCCGACAAGCCGTGGCCACGCGGCAGTGCGCGCGCAAACATCTCACCACCGTCGACGCGTGCACCCGTGTGCCAGTCATTCTGATACCAAGACCCAGCAGACAACGCCACGCACTGCTGGGCGCCGATTTGGCGGCGTCTCCTGTCAGTCGGCGGGCCGCTCAGTTATGCGCAGCGGGGACAGTTGCGGGCTGCAAATCAACGGGAGCGGCAGAAGCTGCGGCAGGGCGTTCTTTGTGTTTTGGGCGCTGCTGTTCGAGTGTATTCCTTGCGCAGGGGGCTGGGTTTTGCAAATGGCCTGAGCGCGTGCTGGGTCGGTGGCGTTCTATTTTTGGCGTGTTGTGCAACGTAACAGCGCCTGGCGTGACTTGAGGGGGGAGGATTTTTTTTCCCGCGCTGCGCGAACCGCATCGGCGATGATCGCGGGGAAGGGTTTCTTTGCGTAAATCCCCGGGATGCCTACGAACCAACCCGCCGCCCAGACGGAGCACTTTCTCCGTCGCGCTCATTCTTGACACAGGTCAAGCCTTCAAGTTCAACGGACAGGCGCGGGGCCACTGTGAGACGACTGCCGGGCAAAATAGAACCGGCGGGCGCCGCTCTGGCAAGAAGATAAAGCAGGGCGAAGGCCATCCAGCATGGAGCGAGTGGCGCAGGCCCTCGAGCACGCAGACCAGAGTCGCGTGGCTTCGTTCGTCTGAAGTGACTCGGGCGGCGTGGTCGAGCGTGTGGAGGTTATGGCAGGCGCCGGCAAAAGTGTCCAATCTCTCGGTAAAATGTAAGCGCTTCGGCTCTGCTCCTTATCCCTTAGCGCCTCCCCTCGTGTGTTAGTTTTGGTGGGGTGTCTCTGTCTGTCCGTCGGTCGTTTCTCTTCGTTGGGAGGAGTAGCCCGGTCATCTTCTAATCGGTCTCCTTCTGGAAAATGAACCGACAGACACTAATTAATTATTAGATAAAGCGCCATAAGTAACCCATCTTGGGCCATTAAATGAGAATCAGTTTCATGGATTTTGAAGTGCCAAAATCTGGTCCATTATCTTCATCAACACGATCTTCCTTCTTTGTTTTCACAACACACAGATGGCCACATCAAGGCGATTGAAGAACGTCTCGCCGCAGAGATTCAGCGAAAGATCAAGATTAGTGAGGAGACCAAGCAGCGAGAAAATATGCTTGTACGCCAGAAGGAGATGCTACGCGAACAACATATGAGGGAGAAAGATTTGACTCGAAAACTGAGATCAGCATCGCTATCGGCATCGATGCAGACGAATCAGAGCTTGGTACATTTACTCCATTTGGTTGATGATCTGGCTCGAATTCGTCTTCAACACTACAGTTTATCGCATATTCTAGTTCTTTATCCTCTCGTTCCATCGATCCTGAACATCATCTCCACCCACCGCCACAAAATTATGGTCTCTTCCTAACTCCTTCACGTTCACATACCAGATCAACAGCACAAGTGGTACGAAACCTCCGCTGCCGCCATCGATCCGTGGCTTTGACGCTGCTCGTAACCCCTTCCAGAAATACCGCGGAGATGGCTACGCCTCTAGTTTGGCTAAATCTCCGAATGAGGGCACTAGTTCAGTCGACCCCTTAGAACAACGTGCGAGTGATCGGGCGAACCCGTTTTTGTCCGATTTTCCTTTGAGTGATTTCGGAGCAGGAGTGAACCTCGGAAGCCAGCATCAACAACAAGTGATTTTGAATCACGCAGTAGGTCGTGGCAGCTCCGTCGATAGTTTCAATCCCGGAGCACGTCGCGTTGGAGGCTCAACGACGATGAACTCGTCCATCATTAGCAACAACCATTTCGGAGGTGGAGACAACAACTCTCTAGGCGGAGGAGCACCAGGTGAAGTTTCTCGTGGTCGTGGTGGTTCCTCGAGTTTGTTCAAAGATCACGACGCAGCGTCCATGACTAGCAACACGCCAATGAGTCACCAGTCTCGCGGTGCTGCTGCTGGTGCCAATGGCTCTATTGGAGGTGGTCATGGTCATCCACCTATCATGCCTACTGGAGGACCGCGGTCGACCAGTTCGCTTCTAGTGAATCCAAGCTTTGCCGCTTCTTCTAGTAAAGAAAGTGCAGGGTCGCAAAGAGGAGGAGGAGCTAGTACTTCGAACGATTTTTTCAACCCTGCAGCGCCTGCTGGTACTAGCAAGGAAAGCGGAAATACCTCAGCTGGAGCTGTTCCGCCACCACCGGCACCGAGTGACGCCTCAACCTCTGGAGTAGCTGGACAGCAAGCGCAGCAACAACCATCGTCGTCGCCATTCGACCAGATGATGGCGCCTCCACCACTGAGAGCTTCTCAACTTCCTGCTTCTGCTAGAAGTAACGCAGCTGCTAAGAGTCTAATTCCGCAACCAGTCAACGGTGGTGGAGGTGGTGGCACTTCGAGTTCTCCCTTCGACACCTTCGGAGGCGGACCAGGTGGAGCAGCCCCTCCAGTTCATTTGACGTCTTCCCCCTTTGGCGCAGGCCCGAGTGGAGCTGCGTCTGTAGCCACGCCAGCAACAGTGCTGCCGCACCACGGCTCACCACACGAGCCTCCTGCACCAGTATTTTCAACTAGTAGAGGGCCATCACCGACTCAGCCGCCTCCCGCTTCTCAAACAGGTAAAAGCAACTTGATGAACAACATGGAAGATCTCTTCAGCGACATGGAGACTCCCGCTGCCGTCTCGAGTCGATCTAGATCGTTGAACCCTTCTCCTCCAAATGTTGCTCCAGTCGTTGCGCCACCACCACAGGCAGGAGGATCTCAGATGAATTCTTCTCAACAAGCTGGTGGGACGACCACAAACAAAGTAGTCCCTCCACTGAACTTATCGAGAGTCGCTGGAGACAACAGCGTCAGTACGACAGGCACCAGTTCAGCTATGAAGTCTTTCTCCAAACCGAATGACCCTTTCGCGACTGAGGATGAAAGCGGAGCAGACTTCTTTGCGATGATGGCGGCTGGTGGTGGAACTAGTGGCGGATCGAAAACGTCTAATGCGCCTAGTACAGGAGCTGCGAATGGCAGTGTTAATCCACCTCCTGCTGGACAAGCGTTAATCTCCACGACAGGGACAACGTCAACGATGAACATCAACGGCTTACAAGCTAGCACTTCTCACAACCACATGATGAACAATGCTGGGCAGGGTCAGGGTCAAGCTCCACCTCTTTTTTCAGCAGGAGCGACTGCTAGCAAGACGACAATCGCACCTGCTAGTGCAACTAATCAACATCAGCCGTTGTTTCCAGCAGCTGCTCCCACAGCGACGTCGACTTTCCCTCAACAACATCACGCGCCATCTGGACTGCAGCCCCTCAGCTCCCAGCACCATCAAACTGCGGTACCAACTCCCCTCCAACAACACCATCAGACCTCTTCCTTTCCTCATCAACAACAACAGCAGCATGCTCCCCTTAATAAACAGGATATCTACCATCAGCAACCCCAACAGCAACCCCAAGTGAGCAGCTTCCCACCACAAGCTCAGCAGCAACAACAACCTCAACAGAGTAAGAGCTCTGACCCTTGGGCTTCGGATGATGGTGCCGATTTTTTCGCGGGATTGCGAACCAACGCTCCTCAAGCAGCGAGCAAAACGGCTACCGCTCCAACCACTCAGATGGCTGACCTGTTTGGAGATGGACCAGGGTCTTTGTTTTAAGTGTGTCAGGATTTGATGATTCCTGATCGAAAGGGTCTTTGTTTTAAGCTGATTGGTTTCCTCCTCGATGGCTGTTGAGGTCAGTAGGTTGAGTCAAGGAACTGATCCTTCATCTATCTCTGCTGTGTATCTTCATCTGAGTGACCAAATTATTCGAGACTCGAGAGGAATACTAGAACAACAAGAAGGGATACATAAGAGATGGGTTTTTACATTACATACATGAGATTGAGTTTTTAAGAACTTGTTAGAGAATAAAAAAATCAAGCTTGATGTCCTTTCCAGAAAAGGGAAGGTGGAGATTGTTCTTCTTCACCAGTAGACGAGAAGAACAAGGTAGATCATTCTTCCACTTAGATTTCTATCTTCACAAAAATTTAACATCAACAGTATAACCGACTATCACGTGTGAGTACATTCCTTTTTCAGTATATTTAAGGTGTGTTTCTTCGAAGAAACTGTCATATGTTCGTAGTACTATTTGTCTCTCTAATAATATCTTTTGAACATTTTTTAAGCTAGTGGTACTATCTGTTATCTAGTAGAAGTACTAAGAAGTTGTGAACTGTTGGAGATGATCATGAAGTCTCGTTTTTTTTCGTAAAAATATGAATCTTGATCTTCAGGTTTAGAAGAGAGACACAGGTTGATTGTGAGTATCTTGGTGAGGTACAACTTATAGCATCAGATCAGGCATCTAAAGGAGCCTTTGTCGAAGAAAAAATGGTGGATTCGAACTTGATGAAGATAGAAGATATTGTCGTGGTCCTTCTACGCCCTGCTAACTTCATGAAGATTACGAAGATGGTTGGTAGGGTTAGTAGACAAGGTGGTGGTAGTAGAAGTGCTTTTGCGAAAAGCTGCAATATCTGAAAGATGAAGGAGGAAGGTCTGTATTTTCATGTAGCTGAAGCTGTAGGTCCTCTCCCTATTTTGGATATTTTGGATTGTTGAAGACGAACACAATGAATGAAAACTGACATACCACTTCTCAAAATTGCCCGTAGCTGCAAGCACATACTAGGACAACTAAGAGATCATGATGAGTACGTGTTAGATGGCCTAGGACAGAAGAACTATTCTATCTAAAATATTATATTTGTCATGTGATTTTTTCATCCGTCATTCTTTTCTCTCAGAATGAGAGCGGTCTTCTGTCAGAATTTGAGGGTCTCAGACAACTGACTCCTGTGAGCACAGTCAAGGACAAGGTAGCACCAAACGACCCGAAGTCTTCCATTTTACTGTACAAACATCAATCGAAGAAATTCTCTTCTCGTCTATTTTTAAGTACAAAACAAACAATCAATGTTGTGAACCAGGATCCATCATCTTATGAAGATGTTAAAGCAAAGACTTTTCCGTAACGATCCTGATTTTTATCTCCGTAAACCCACTACAGAGCTCTACAACTTATTGGCATGATTCATGATGTCTCGTACAACTACGTATCTGCAGTTGTCGATAACTGCAGCGACTTGTCATGGGAACGAAAAGGTGTTCATCAACAAATTATCGAACGAAAAGGTGATCAACATAAAGAGGGAGGACTGAGGAACAAGCGAGGTCGATTGTCGTTTGGTGACGAGGGAAATAGAGATGGATAGACTAGTCTTCCGGATGACAGTTGTAGGTTAAGTTCTTGATTGGTTCAAGTTCATTTACGAAGACTTTTGTAGTACCTTGCTAGTAGTTATTGGTTCAAGTTTATTTACGAAGACTTTTGTACGGGTACCTTGCTACTAGAATGCGCAGGGCTGAGGCAGGAGCCCATCTGAATCTGAATCTGAAACTACAACTTTCTACCATGTTGATGCAATCAACGTCCTCTTCCCGTTGTTCATCACGTTCATCAAAAAGATGGCGGCTTCATCGGAGGCATGTTGTCTTGTGTTGCTCCCTTCTACCTCATGGTTGCTTGCTAAGCAGTGCACAAGAAGAGGATCCAGCTGAAGCGCTACTGCAGCAGCAACAGGGAGAGGAATCATTATGACTTGATAGGCTTGGGCACAGGCTGTTTCATCCGCTGTGTTCTTGTAGCAAACACAATAGAAGCTATTTTTAAGAGTGACCTTCTTGTCAAGTTGACCTCCAGCCGATGTACAGGTCCACTGGACTACCTACATCAACTAGTACCTATCTAACTCCCCTCGTCCAATCCGATGGTGTCAACTAGTACCTATCTAACTCCCCTCGTCCAATCCGATGGTGTCAACTAGTACCTATCTAACTCCCCTCGTCCAATCCGATGGTGTCAACTGGTACCTATCTAACTCTCCTCGTTCAATCCGATGGCAAAGCTCCACCACCACCCATGCTCTCTTCTGTCTACGTTCCCCAAAGTCAGCCGAAATCAGATGGCGTCTGTGACTATCATGGTATCGAGATCAAGGAGGAGTGCCCTAGTAGTGTTAAGGCTTGCCGTATTAACTAATATTTTAAGTTAACACCTAATATCATGTAAGTATGAGGCATGATCGTTGAAAGAACTGAAACGTGGTTTTCAAAGGGAAAACGCGTCAAACAAGATGAACTCCTCTTAAAAAACTACTCAAGATGAACTCTTTAAATTCTCAAAGATGACTTCTTTAAAAAACAAGATGAATTTTATTCTTTCCGCCCACAATTCGAAAATAGAGGACTTCTCTAATTGTGTCAGCGGTTTTGATTGGGAGGTCTATGGTGAAGAATTGTATCGAGCAAGAAGCATGATCTTCTCCAACAGGGTGGAGGAAGCGAAAGCCGCAGTCTACAATCTGCTGTCGCATATCACGAAGTTAAGACGATGACGAGACTTTCTCTCCATCAGTTACTGAGATGAAATTATCTCAGTAGATATCAGTACTAGCAAGCTACTCATCCTCAGTAGACTATGTCAATCTCGTCATCAATCTCAGTACTAGCAGACAATCTCAGTCAATCTCAGTACAGTACTAGCAAGCTACTCATCCTGTTTCGTAGCTTGTGTTGTAGTGTTCACCTATCTTGATAGTATCTTCAGTCAACTAGCAAGCTACTCATCCTGTTTCGTAGCTTGTGATGTAGTTCACCTATCTTCAGTTACTGTAGTTTCTTGTGATGTTCAGTTACTGTCAATACCCATCCTGTTAGTTGTGATATTCACCTATTCGTTCCTCCACTGGCTAGTGGAATATCGCAAAAGGATAGCCGCCAGCATGTTTAATAGGGAGTGCATGCAACAACCGCCGACTACATAAGTATCTTCTTTCTAACAGTCTTACTTCTGTAAGATGAGTGAGTAGTACACAACTCCTGTGAACATAACAATCCTTTCTTGAACTTCAACTTTCTGTGAACATAAGAATCCAACTCTAATAGGCCGTTTCTCGTTCGCTTTCGAATGTCCGCTAGCCACGGTAAGTACGTATTGGACACTCGCAACGATACTGATGTTTCAGGGAAGTATGCGGCGTGCTCTCAGCATGTTACAAATGTTAAGGGTAGGCTAAAGGTGTGCGCCAAGAAGCACAAGAACACTGCACTGGACTCATAGAAAAGAACACTGCACTGGACTCATAGAATTTGTGTAGTTGTGTTTTGGAAAAACAAAAATTTGAAGGAGGGCTGAGAGCAAGAACAACAACCAGCTTGATCCGCTCATCGTTGGTTATGGCTCTCTCCCTTAGGTGGGGACGGACAGTGATAGAATAGACGGGGTGAATAACGAACACCAAAAACCTACCTCTAAGGATGGCTTTCATCTTCGTGCGCGACAAGGGGTTTCATGAGTGCACGCCTTGGCCTGTGCAAGGGTGGGATATGATGATGGCTGGAAGAAATCTCTTGGTTAAGGCTACTAGTTGTAGTTTAGTCAGTTGTCACTATCCTCTCCTGAGAGAGCGGCAGAAAGATTCCAATTCCATTGCTTTCAACAAATTTGAAAAAAAATGGGTGGAACTCAAGGAAACACTCAAAGCAAGGGGGATACATAGAAGTGATGACCACTCAAAGGAAGGGGGGATGACTACCTCTACCTTAGCTATTTGAAGAGGCGGTCGATTTTCGGCACCTCAGCTATGATTTGAAGAGTATTTAAGTTCTAACTTAGCTGAGGTGCAGAAACTTGACCGTCCGGCTATTCGCTGGGACACTCCGAAGCATTTTCGTTAAGGCTAGTTTATCACTATTCCATGTGAACTATGCCGAGTGGGTTCCCCTCTGAAGTGAGACCAGGGGGAAACTAGTAAAGGGCAAAGAGAGCAACCCATTCGACTCGAGATAGTGATAGATATAGATACTTTAATTTCGGTATAACGGTGTAAAAATTGCTATCGTAACGATCTGCAGCTATGCGCCAGACGAAGCAGTGAGGGTGATATCGATCGAGAATCATGGTCTGTACGCGCGACTGCACGACTACGACTTGCATATGGTATGGCATGCAGGTCTTGTGATCAGTGCATTTAGATGGATCCTCAATAGTGTTCGACATCTAGTAGAATCATCAAATGGGCCAAATTGAAATTCACAGTACTCCTCTAATCACCTATCTTTCCCCGGACGAGATCGCGCCAAACGAGAAGAGTGGCATGAACGTAAAAGATGGCGTCCATAAGCCTTTCTTTTGGAAGGTCAATGCTGTGAAAAACGTATTCGATGCTGAGAACGCACCGGATTGTTATGTTCACAGGAGTCCTCACTCTTACTCTTACAGCAAGACTAGTTAGAAAGAAGATATGTGATAAGTGAAACTTTCGCCCATCATCCACTTCAGATATAATCATCAATGATGCTCTTGCGCGACATTTCTGTCCTCTTCTAATCCCTGGTCCTTACTTTCACCTGCTCTAGGTAGAACTGTCTGAAAAACAAGTAGAGGGCAGCAGCCTATGCCTAGCTTTGTTGTATCTACTCTGCAAACACAATCATCACCGAAGGATCCCCTATTGCTCTTCTAATCCCTGGTCCTCTGGGCTGACTGCGATGCTCTTTTCATGGATCCAGAGCGTACGATTGACTCCGTCATCCACATGTACACCGCCAACTTCACGAGTCCAATTGTGAAGAAGCAAAGCACTCTTTCCGGCGGTGTCTCCACAGATCCAGAGCAATACGAAATGATAGGGGACTTTCTAAACAATCCGGGTCGCGAAAAGAATCAACAGCCGTTTTCCGATGTGCATTTGCTGCTGGCGGTGGATATTAAGGCTGATTACTGGTACTCATCTTCATTTAAGTAGTACCTAAAAGGAGTGTTGTGTCTGTGTGCGTAGCGTAGTTGTTAGCCTGTTATTTTATTTGTCGAATGGGAATGTGAATTCGTTTTTCTCAAAACGTCTATTCTCAAATTGAGAAACATCAATCAAGCTCCTGAAAGACTTCTTCTAGTATCCCTCCGCCGGTATCAAAAAGCTCTAACTCCCGCACCGGTATCAACAATGGTGTCTGGATGTTGCGGAATAGCAAGTGGGGACATGACTTTCTAGAGCGCTGGTGGCATTCGCGCATTCTAGAAGGTCCAGGCGAGAATCACAACTGCAGTGACCAGAGCACGATGCAGCACGAACTGTTGTACGAAAACTCGATGGCCTTAGACCCGATGTGGGATTCGGTCGAGGGACCTATTTTTATGAGTTTGATTTTGTTTTGTATTCCCAGCGTCTTCAAGTGTTGATATTCAGGATGAAGCATGCACTGACATGGAAGCCGCGGCAGTGCCTCACCTGGAGCGCTCGGGGCGCCAGAAGTAGCTTGGGAGGGTTATTTGAGCTATTTCGCGGCCCTGTTATCGGAGGCGCCCTCACATTTGGAGCGGCGAGGGCCTTCGCGCCGCGGGCGCGCGTTCCCGACTTGAAGCGCAGGCCGTGAAGCTGGAAGCCAGACCGACGAAAGCCCCGAGAATGCTTGCGGTACTGATTTGACGACTAATTAGCGCAGCCAAAGCAGCCCGGGCCGTAGGTACCAGGCTGAGGGAGGCACTTTTCTTCACTCCTGCAGGGGGATTTTTCAAAATCTAGCTTAGCACGCGCGTGGGCCGTGATCGTATGGCGCTGCGCATTCTGTGAATCGGGTGCCGCGGTTCTCTTTCGGTTTTGGTGTCCGTGCGTCAGATGCGCTCAGAGGGTTCCAGAGTCATGCGCGGCGGGGTGGTCTGCGTCTGGGCTCCCGAGGGGCGTGGGGGCCTTCACGCTGGTTGGCCAGGGGTGGGCTTCGGTCTACCAGGCGGCACGCCTTTCACCCTCCAACATCTATGAACGTGGGCGGAAAGCTTGCAGAACATGGGCGCACTCTGAAGCGCGCCCGGACGCGGCTGATCGTATCAAGGACGCCGCCCGCCCTCCAACCAGTTGTGGCCGCGAGCAGTCGGATGAAGATAGTAGCGACGGCTAACATCAAGCAGGCCAGGAGTGTAACAGCGATGCCCGTCGACATTGTTCGGCGCAACCGCTGACAAGTTCGGCGGAGATAGCGGCTTGCGGAGGTTCATCCTGTGCGGGTACGTAGCTGCGGCCTCTTGGCGATGGGTCCGCCTGGAGTGTTTCGGGTAGGCTTATGGAACTGGCAGCGCGGCACTGCGCTCGCTGCTCGCGTGGAGGCTCTATTTCCCCGGAGAGGCCGCAAGGGGGTGGGGGCAATGGAGAGCAGAGGGCCTGGAGGGGATGCCGCCGGGCGTTTGTTTGGGCGCCTCTAGGCCTCCGGCGAAAGGAACGGCCACCCTGAGGGGGAGGGCGTGAGGCGTGTCGCACTCTGGTCGTGTCGCGCCTGAAGCTAAAGGATGGGGCTGCTCGCTGCATACATAGACAGTAGGGCAATGGCTTTCGTTTGTTGTTTTATTTAATTTCGCTCTTGTCGCTGTCTTTGCGATTATTGTGAGGATGCTGTAAATATCTCCCGCTTCAGTTGTCTGTGGCCGCAGGAGAAGGCGCGTAGGCTTTTTTTTCTACTTTTTTGAATTATTCTTGTTCTTCCAGCCTCTAATCTCTGGCCTTCTCAAGTCCGCGTGGTTTACCAGGAGCATATGCAGTCATTTCACCAAGCGACGGCTATCACAGTTCTATCCCGCGAATGGGAACAAGGGGATTTTATCCGGCATCATCCTGGATGTCACTACTACAAAGAACCCTGCAAGTGGCTTTACGGACAAGCGCATGAAATTTTCATGACGAATTTGCAAAATATGAGCAGTAGGATACCGATCGGGGAATAAGATTCAAGGTGATGATGGACTAACCTATAAAAGGAAGTCAGTTCTTGGGAAGGGGATTGAACAAAAAAGATGGATATTGAAGGATACACCGAAAACGAAGGGGTGGTGGAAATTATGGGCTCAAATCTAGTGAAAAAACGTCGTGTGTGGAAAAATGTTAGCATTGAGTCAGATCATATCAGCAACATCATGAACTTATGTTGACTATGAGAATATCATATAAAGCATCAAATTCACGTGCGTACTCAGAATAATTGTCAGTCGTGTCTTCAAAGCATTGATATATACTGGATCTATGGGTTCTTGAAGTAGTGACCATTATCTCAAAAGGATTGTGATCATTTCCGTCACGGACGGGAGGAAAAGGAGACTTGAACTTCCTTTTCTAGCACGCCTGCTCGATGCGGAGCATTGTGTTTGACGAGGTAATCGTGTTGCCTTTGATGGTTGTATGAAGAAACATAGATATGAGGGCATTCTAGAGTTTGAGAGAAATAGACATCAACTTACTTTTAGCGCCATGTTGCATGAGAGTGAGAGCAGGGACGTGGCATTGGCGGAAGCAGTGGCACAGCTCGGATGTAGTTCGTTGAGATTCAGTAGAGAAAGACAAAAAGTAGATTCAGATCTTGTTCCTTTTTGTCGTTTACGTAGCTTTTCTTGGAGCTGCATTTTCTACGTACCCTAATCATTAACACCCCTTTTACCGTTGCGATGAACAGAATGAAGAGATCGACGAGCCGCTTTCGTTCTTTGGTTCATCAAAGTGTTGTTTCGAACTTGGAGGGACAAGGACAGCAATGTGGATCTTCGACCAGCAGTTCAAAACCAGCAGCAGGAGCTGTTGTACTGCTCCGAGGTCAAGAACTACAATGGCCTGCTATTACACGACGAAATACACGAGCTCCAACAGCAATAGCGGAGCAATGTCGTCAAGGAGCTTGTCGCTCCATTTGTTCCATCTCAGCTCGACGGCTTTTTCCCAGGCTACATCACCATCGCCATGAATCTAATCGTTCAAAGCACCGAACGGAAATAAAGGCGGCCAGACAGAGCGATGAACGTGCTGAAAAAAGGCGCGAACAAGAACTCGCCATCAAAGATCCGGATGTCTTTAAGAGGCAGGGAGGAGGCGGTCATTAAGAGACGGCAAGTAGTTTGTAACTCGGTGGACTTCGGAGTTCCATTCTACTTGTGGTACTTTTGTAGGTCAATATCAATCTAACTAAAGAATTTGAATTACTAGAACTAGAACGAGCAATCTACGTACTATGCTGCAAAAATGCAACGACGACGGACAGTCACAGTACTAGATCTCTCCTCGTTCATTCTCCAGAGACCACCAACTCTAACTCAGTCGTGCTGTTGTAGTGCAAAGAAGTAGATTCGAGCTGCCAGAGGCACCGGCTTCGCGGAATAGACGGCCTAAAGCTTCATCGCGCAGGGCATCGTTGCTGCCAGAGCGAGCACAACAAAGGTCGGTGGGAGACGTCACAGATTCAGAGATACTTAAGGAACTGGAAAAAAATTTCAAAAAAAAAATCTCGAGTATGCGATTTCCTTTTTTCTCTCGCACAGGCAAGAGATGGAATGTGACCATTTTTCTAGACTAGTCATTCCATACGTCGAGCATTCTAAGATGCGCGCCATTTTCCCCGCAGACGATCTGGCAAAAATACGGCCAGCACCCAAGCAACTCGTGAAGAGACCGCACTTGTGGATACAGGAAGAAGGAGAGAGATACGGAAGAACATCCGAAGAAGACGAACTAGCCTGTTTCTCTGACGAAGGAGACGAAGGCGATGTTGGTAGTATCGAGGCTGAAATGGAAGCCTGTAAAAACGAGTTGAAGAGGATAGAGGAGGATGGAGAACAAGAAGGTCGTGGAGGAGGTTCCACTTGTTCAAGGAGTGGAGATTACCTCTCGACGTCTTCAACTACAAGTTTGTCTTCAGAGGAAAGACGTGATCTGCTAGAAAACCAAGATGCTGGACCAGCATCAACGGGCACCTTGAAACTTTCCGATGTTGGTAGATTTCAACGTTTTTCGCGTGATGACCTACTCGAACTCCTTCCTGAGGGTCTTAGTGGAGAGCTGTCTCGAGATGTGATTTTAGTTCCTTCTCAAACCAGGCCTATCGGCTTCATGCTACGCAAGGCAACCATGGAAATTTTATCTCAAATGGAGTATCTCCGAAAAAATCCTGCGGCCATGGCCTCCCGTCCGGGTTGGTTGTTAGAGGGGAAGAAAGGCTGCGGAAAGAGTGCTGTCTTGAACCACATTGTAGCAATGGCTCGACGGAGCGGCTGGCTCGTCATATTCGAACCTTTTCCAGCAAACTATGCGAAAGAAATCGGGGAGATTGCACGATCTAGTGGTAGTGGCATTTATGTGCAGAATGCGCAGGCAAGGCGGTTTTTAGAGAGGACGCAGATCAAGAATCACGAGATGTTTGAGCAAATTGACGTGGACTATACCATTTACGGAGAGTTATGCATCAAATTACAACTGGATGGAACCCGAGTTGTTTTACATGTTAGAAAATTCAAATTATAGAGTTAATAGATATGCGCATACGTCGTGCATGATCGCATGTTGTGCTACTGCTACTCGAAAATTTGAATTATTGAGTTAGATACGCGCATACGCGTTCTTCTAAGACGCAGGCGTAGCGTAGACGGCGAAAGGTCACAGCCGAAAACTGGAAGGATACCTGAGCTCTACAACGATTTGATCGCCAAAGCGGTAGAAAAAGACTTGGAAGCTGAGGAGGCTGGTGGGGCTTTTTCGTTTATGGTCTGGTGGATGAGTATCTTGTTCTTGTTATCTAATATCTTTATCTGTCTGTCTCTCTTTGAGTGTTTTCAGTTTCACGGGGGGGGGCTCGATTGAGTGCCATGTGCCTTTGTTCCATAATTTATCCATTGCAGTGTTGTTCTTGGTTGAGTATGTTGTCCCTTTGTTCCAGTGTTGTTCTTGTCTTCCTGAAAAACGATCGTTAGCACACAGAAAGAGACACAAGGAGCACACCTTCAACAAACGAGAACTCGAACTCCTCTACCTCTTCTACCTCCTGTTGCAACCTCTACCTTTCGTTGCTCCTTTTATCCTTTCTCCTTTCAAACTTTCGTTGCTCCTTTTAACCTTTCGTGGCAATTGATTCCTCTACCCTCTCTACCCTCTCTACCTTTCGACTCTACCTTTCTACTCCTGATCTCCTTTACTCCTTGTTTTCGTTGCTTTCATACTCCCCTCGCTCACACAGCGAAGGCAAAGGCTGTCCCTGTGGCATGAATACCGAAGAGAGGTAGAGCTGCCCTCTATGCGAAAGAAGCTGCCGAATCCTTCGACGCTGGGTGATATCGTGCAGTTTGTTAAGGCTTCCCCAAATTCATCTTAATCTTATAATATAGCGCCGGCGCTTAGTTAGTTTTAGCAGTTAGCAGGATACTTTAGGATACTTGTTGATAGTGGCCCTTTTCTCTTTTATATCTTCCGCTGGTCTGTCTTTTTTCTAGTTAGGTCGGCTCCACCACAAATATAAGAAGCATCTACTTTGCCACGCTTTCAACGGGAAAAAACCCCAAAGATGCGCTTCAAGATGAATTAAGGGAAGGTCTAACTTTGGCATAGACAACGAAACTTGGGCAACCCAAGCTGTCGCAGAACTGTTTGTTAAGTGCTGGACTAGTTATTATTTTCAGTAGCTTCTGATGTTTTTGTGCTGGACTGGTGTGCTGAGCGGAGCTGGAGTTCCCCTTGATTCAATAGAGGGAAATAAGGGAGGAAAAGGGCAACTCAGTGAACCAGGCACAGAGAAAAACTACCTTTAAGTTTGAGCAGTTGAAAGTGCAAGAAAAGTTCCCTCTCCTCATAGCAGTAGATGAGTGGAATGAGTGCTTCCCGGTATCAGACTACGTATCTGTGCGGTACGACGGAACTAGGTTCGGAGGTTATATACCTTATGGGATGATAAGATTGCTTCCTACATCAGTTGTTTCATGTTTACTACCTTGCCGCTGAAAAGTAAAAGTATGATCGACTTTGTACAGCTATATCTCTACATCCAAATCCTCCAGTTACGGAGTTGTTTTATATTAAAGCTGAATTGTGAACTTCATCGCCACTCGAACTTGCTCTATTGACTGCAGCTCCCCTGCCGTCCCTCCTGCCGTCCCATGATGCAGTCCTGCTTTTTCTAACTCCTAGCGTACCACTTGTCCATGCCTCGGAACTTCGTTCCCTTTGACGGATGCAAGTACAAACGAGGCTTAAAGTTGTACGCCACCTCTTGTTAAGGCTCACACTACTACTCCCGAAAAGATCAAGATCATGAAAGAATTGCTTTGAAAATGAGCTCTAATCTTGGTACCGTATGAACCGTAGGGACTGGAAACCAGAACTTCTGCAAGTGAGGCCAGAAAATGTCAAGCAAATCCGAGAATTCAGTCCAGACGAATTCGCGAGCTATTGTGCGTATTGTCGTTATGAAGCGGGTGCCTGATGATAGAAGAAATTATACTTCCACATCATTTCTACTTCTAGTAGTAACATCTTCCATTACAACTAGTACCTAGTGCTCATCATTTCTAGTAGTAACATCTTCCATTATTGATGTTACTGGAGGGATATCATTGAATTCAAACGTTCAATGGCTATTCTCCTACTTAGTCTTAGATGAAGAAGCGTCCACTATTCGCATTCAATGGCTATTCTCCTGGATGAAGAAGCGTCCACTTCCTCCGCTGGTCCTCTAAGTCCCTCTCCAGAACATCACGCATAACTTTCCGCGAGAGAAACTGGAATATTTCTGGATGCTAACGCAAGGCAACGGTTGGCAAGCGCGTCGGATTCTTAGCACTTTGTACTGATTCAGTACGAGGAGTAGATTTTTCTCGATTCATCGTCGATGACTAAAATAAATACTCATCAGGAGAACTCATGATATTCACACGACGTGGACTTGTTGACAATTTCAGCTATTCACTACTAGTACTGACTGAAGAACTCTCTTGAAGAAGATTCCGAACAACAACCACATCCTTGAGCAGATGAATCCTACGTTAAGATCCCGCCAGAGTAAGTAGAAGAAGAGTTCATTTTTCAAAGACAAAGAAGATCACGGAGATCAGATACCGAGTTGTATGAATTCGCAAAGTAGCAAGACGTGCACGAACCAAATTAAAAGGAAATAATGCACATAGATAGGGGCTTGATGATCAGTGAGGGAGAGCGAATAAAGACCAAGCTCGAAATGAAGAAGATCCAGAAGATTTCACTTAGGAAATCTTATTGAACCATTTCTGCTTTTTTCCCACTCGTCAACATGCATCAAAAATAGTCAGGAATAAAAAGCATTTTCTTGTTACTCACGCAGTAAGGACTGTCGAAAAGGAAACAACTCAAAAATAGATTGCATTGGAACACTAAAAAGTTACATCAGAATTCTTTGAGAACAAGAGAAAGTAGGCCGTTACCGTTTAGGTGATTAAGTATTGATCGGAAGGATTATGATTGCTAATATACCAACTAACAACTAGCCACAAGTTCGTCAAGTACATCAAGGTATTCAAATTTTTCACTACAAAATCTTATTTACTCGGCATAGGATTGGTAATTATCGAATTCGAAAAATATACGATTTGACCTTAAAGAACGAAAAAGTGACAGTTTCGCTGACACGTCTACCAACCTCCGCCTGTACTTGTGATATTGAAGCTATATTAACATCTAGATCTATATCGATCACAATCTTTATCTTCGGATACCCTTCGTTGTATACCCCTTCTATAAAATATTGTGCATTACCTTTTTCGTTATCGTCCTAGTAAGTTGTAAAAATGGCTTTGCAGGGAACAATGATGTATGCGCCGTCGTCTCGCAGCTCCTCTTTTCGCAACAAGCTGGCTGCTCGTAAGGCCAGTCTGGTGCTGTGGGCAGGATTCATCTTTAGCGGATCGTTAGTATTAGGAGCTCGTCCTCGAGCTCGAGGTCGAGCTGGAGGGGCAAAAAAAGAGAAAAAACCAGAGGCAGGAGGTTGTTCTCGGACAGAAGGAGGTGGTTCTGGTGCTGCAGTAGGTGGTTCTAGTCGGGACAACGGACAAGAACCTCCACAGCAACGATTTTCTGGATCTGCTGGCTCGCATTCAGAACAATTGCGATTGTCGCAAAAAATACCAGAGAGTCTAAGGCCCATCCTTACGGAGAAAGTGAGCAACGGACTTTCCCCTGCGGTATTACGGATGCTGATATCAGACCTCCAGGATCTTGTACCATCTCCGGGAGATGGGACAACTGCAGAGGACATTCTCCCTAAGGCAGAACCAGAGCAGAAGAAGAAAGAGGAGCAGAGAAAGGGCAAGGAAAAGCAAGGAAATTATTGGCCAGAAGTCGAACAGAGGAACCGTTGGGAAGCGCAAAGACTAGCAAAGGAGCTACCGAAGACAGAAAGACTTTTGCGCACGGCATATGCGAGATATATCGCAGCGGAGAGGCCGCAAGCTCCACCTAGCATGTTGAAGGCGACCCGAAGCCCTTCTTCTGATGTCGAAGATCAGTCTCCTGAAGACGTCATCCACGGGTCTCCCTTGCCTTCTGAGCAAGTCGCTTCTGTTCCCCAAGCTGCTCCCGAAGTAGACGGTGAAGAAGATAAAGAGGACCGCCATCATTTGTCGGGAAAAAAGAGACTGGAGTGGCTCAAGAAAAATGGGCCTCACTTGTTTTCGAAGGAGTCTGCGTATCCATGGATGCCCTAATGAAGGACGACTCGATGTCGATCTCGAAGATTTTTCTTTGTGTTACAGGCGGCAGCTCAACGGGATACCTGATCTAGATGAACTAGACTACTCAACGATTTTCAATCCAGTGCGTATAGAAGATACTACTTAAAAGAAAACAAAGGAGAACAAAGAACTACTTCTGGCTTACCTGGTAAATGCGCAAAGTCCTCATGTTCTAAGCATGCAAAGTTGCCCAATGCACCAAGAAAGGCACCAGGAGAAGATAGGCAATCGTTTAAAGATGGTTGTTTTGCTTTTCTTGCGCGGATGCGTCGGCAAGCAGAAGCGATCCCCGGAATGTCACTCAGGGATATTGCCGAACGATTGATGTGTAGAGAAGCAGGATATTATTTGTAGAACCAGTAAGGAGTACATCACAACATAGTCATAGGAATATAGAAGATTGAAGGAGCATATTAAGGTATTTTCAAATTTTTCAAAGAAGGAAGTACTATCTATTGGAGGATATCAACTACATAATGAGGAAGCACGAAAACAGACGCAACAAAGGAAAGAAGAAATAAAGGACTGTCTTGCAACCAATTAGAGACGCTACACACCGCGATTGGGTACATCAATCAAGCAATCAACTAAAGAGTAGGTCCTAATCTTTGTGGAAGAAAACTGAACTTACGCCTCATGCTAGGTAAATGAATGAATGAATGAGTGAATGAATGAAAGCCTAAGCCACAGAACGGGTGGAAGATGTTGCCAACTAACTCAGTCCTCACTAGCGCACAGAGGAGGGGTTTGGAGAGCGGCGAGACCGTGCTGGAAAAGCTAAACTCCACACACCACCTGCAGATGTAATTGATAAAGTTACTGGCTGTTGCTCTGAAAAAGTCGGAAGTGTTCGTATTATATACAAAAAGTCGCTCGATTATTCTTACGTCGGATCTCATGCGAAGACATGAGAAAAAATGCAAAAAAGGAGCAAAAAAGGAAGAAAAGAAAAAAAAGAAAAATCTTCCAACATCAACCTCTTGCCAGGCACATCAATCAATCAATCTAAATTTTTAATTTCTCTGTTTCTATAGCTTTCGGTGGTAATTTCGGGTCTGATGTCCGAGAGCCGACTGGAACGTCGTTAAATGCTAGATAAAAAGTTCCAGTCGGCTCTCGGACATCAGACGAATCAGCTTAGCTATGTGATATACTAAAGGGAAAAACGCTAGAACCAGAAAAAAACTAAAAATGCACTTTGAGACTCGCCCTTCGCGTTGCAAGCTGATCCGATCACTCAGCATCTCTTAAGGAGCTATGATAGATAAAAAGTTGGAGGCCGTTGCTCTGTGAAGTCAACACCAGTTGTTTTTTATATATAGAGGTTAACGTGAAGGACAAGTAGAGCATAAGATCACTTACCACTTGGGTTTACAACTTGAAATCTATATATATATTTACGTTTCCCTAGTACGGGGAAGACCCAACTGAGTTGGGTTATTTTTAACCGACTGGATAAGTCGTCAAGTGCATACTCAGTTTTTAGCTTTTTAGGGGATCCAACGAACATGTACCGATGTCTCTCGACGTCTCTATGTGGTCCTGCGTAGTGCCACCTCTATGACTCGTGTCTGATCATACATAAATATCGTTCTCAGAACTCTGGGCTCATCGTAAGCAGGCAGGGAAGAAAGAAGGGGCACTTCGACGGAAGCAAGAAGTTGCGCAAGCTCTGACCTGCGTGTAGCCTCGGCGAAGCCGTTAGCGGAGCATCGTTGCTTGCTTCGTGCTCGGATCGTTCGTTGTGCAGAGTCCATCGTGAGCCTGGGAGATGGTGGTTGTACCTAGCAAATTGCGCATGCGTGTTCGCAAGAGGAGCGCCTCCCCTGCGACATTGAGTTTTTCCGAGGATGTTGACGATTCGGCTCAGCCTCCACACCCGCTGAGTCGAGACGAGGTGGGAAACGAGTTTGAGACGCCGCTTTTGGGCCGGAGAAGGCGCTCCGAAAAGCTAGACTTCCGTCGGCTCCGGTGAAGAATAACTGGAAGGTGCGCTTCGGCATGCCGAACAGCAGATGGGTGAGCCATGTTCACTTGCTGATAAGCAAGAAGAGACTAGTCTTAGCGGCGATGCGTCATGTAGAGAAGATCAATCAGTTCAAGGCGACTCCACTGCGGACGAAGCGTCGCCGCGCCAGGTTCGCGCGATGCGTTTTCGACTCCGAAGAGGAGAAGGAGTACATCGAGGAACTGGGCACGCCCACGCACAAACGTTGCGGGATGACAAGTAAATGGCACAGCTTCTGGCTCAAGGAGGCGAAGGAACAGCAGCAGGAGTCGCACGGGGCAGCATGGTGCGCATCTGGTTATCACGAATGCATGGCACTAAGTAAAGGACTTGAGGAGAGGGAAAGGGATTTGGCAAAGGCAGCGCCTCTTGAAGAAGACTCGCTTGCTGTGGCCAGATTGGCATAGGCTCCACCGTTCCGACATCCCAGACCCTGAAGAGCGTGCTAGACAGGCGAGGGCTTTGCAGTTGTCCTCCGACAAGCGCTTAATCGACGGAGCTGCGCTAGTAGTGCCAGGAATTCGTAGCTTGTCAGGAGAAGCCTGGGTGAAGCAGCTAGCGGATTACGTGCCCAAGTTTGAGGTGAACCTCATGGCCAGAGTGCTGGGAAGGCTCTACATGGGGCCGCAAAGGGGGCTATCTAAGGCGGAAGAATATCAAGAAGCAGAGGGCAATTGCCAAGCGGGCGAAAAGATTGGCGAAGAGAGCAGCGAAGACAGAGGCGAAGGTTAAGCCCCCTGCGCGCAGAAGAAAAAGAGAAGAAAGCCTAGCTGTTTGATTTGCGTAAAGACCTTGGAGTAATAAGATGACTAAGCGACCAGCACCACGCACCTTGTAGTACGTTTGACGAGTAGAGGATGAGTATCGTGACAGCACAGGATGGTTGGATGACTTTTTAAAAATGATGGTGGAGCGTAGCCCTCCGTTGCTGTGTTTTCGTTAGCAGACGGAAGTTTTGTAGCGAAGTGTTTGCTAGTGAAGAAAGTGAAAGCACAGTAGGATGAAGGCTGAGAATAGTTGATCAATGTAAGTACGCAGGGTTTGAATGAATCGGAACGGCAACGTGAGCTACTGAAAAGAAATCGAATGCCGAGGTTCAGAGTGATCACATTAGAGAGATCCGTACTAGAACGAAATTAGGCTTGTTTCCTAGTTTGAACTTAAAGGTCGGCGTGGCTCATTGACTGTATCTACTAGTAGAGACTCTTTCTTTGCTCAATCAGTTGCTCATGACTATATAGGATTTGTTTCTCTCCGCAAAAAGTATGGAGGGAGTTGAAGATCGTGAAGTAGCATAGGCCTACTATTGATATTTTGTTTTTGAAGCAGGAAGGTGTAGAAGAGATGCGTCGGTCCTCGAGTGCAGCTAAAGCACAGCTCGGTTTAGTAGGGTAGAATCAGTTTCGGCGTTTTCATAATCGCGAATGCTCACCTCCCCGTGACGAGCCAATTCCTATCCTATGCTATCCTATCCATAAAAATGACCGCAGTCATTTTTCTCAGAGATTTTTAAAGGTCTTCTGCTCGGTTTCTAATATGGATACTATTTGAATTGTTGGAGGTGATTTGCTGTTAGTTCTCAGGATGAGGATCACAAATTATTTAAACATTGTGTGATATTCCAGTTTGTCGGCCTATACCTTGAAAATCCCTAGGGATTAGTACGTCGGAAGTATGCGTTTACTGGAATGAAAATAAGAACGATCGAAAATTTCTAGTTGAATATGCGGTCGTCCTTTTTATTCGCTCGCCATCTTTCTTCCTGAGCTTGTGGGCCCTGATAGTGAAATATGAAGTTCTGACAGTGAAAGTGTGTTCTTATTTACTTAGGGCAGCGTGGTTCCTACAAGGTAATGTTGAAAGGAGACTACTTTTGGGGAAAGTAAGGCTATGATTTGATCTGGGTATATCATCATCTGTCTTTGAAGATGCACGAATTGTAGCGCATCATGAATGATCAGTTGTTAAGCCTGTTTTTCCAGATTTTTGAAAAGGAACACAAAACAAGCTACTATTCCATGATGTGATCCACGACCTATGCTAGCCTTAAAGATGATCAATAAGCTTCCGCAAGCATGCCAAAGAGTATTTTTTTGCTTGAGAAAACTTAGTAACAAATAATCTAATCTAATCTAACTTTTTACTAAGAAATAATATTACCTTACCAACAAAGCAACGGTAAGCACATGTACTATAATTATGCGGTGATATTAATATCTTGAAAAAGATCAAGATGAGTCGTCACGAATCCGAATAATTTTTCATGATTTTATTCATTGATTTCCTTCGTGGAATTACTCATGTCATGCAATCACATAGGCACTGCCTCGCGGAAATTTTTGACGGGGACTGAGGCATCGTATGCATACCCTTTTGACGACGATGAATTCAACAAGGCATAGAGGAGCAAGAGAGAAAAAACACCAGACAGAGAGACATTAGGGCGACAGTGTGGTTTGACAGCTGCCGAGAGAGTTTAGACCACGACTTTTTTTGGACTGGGGAGCGAGTATAAAAGTATAAAAGTGAAGATGTGGCTCGAGCAAGAAGACCTCATCAAAGTTGCTACTTCTCAAAGAGAGTGGTCCACCCTGAATTTTTGCTCATCACGCAAATAGAATAAATAGAAATTGTTGTTTAGGAATTTGAAAAAGGCAAAGGGCGCACTTCTCTGCGTCTGCATCCTACCTTGAGGTAAAAAATATAAGTTGTAAGAAGAAAGGAACATGGGTAATTGTGAAAGCTGCTTCCAGGGTGTTGAGACGGCCCTCAACTCTGGAGGAAGCGGTCCGCGTGGAAGTGTGACGTCTTCAAGTTTGCCGAGATGTGTGAGGACCTTAGACCCTAGACCTGAACCGTTCGCACCCGTAAGTGGCATGGGGATTTTGTTATGGCGTCTGGTAGTGTTATACTTACACTGACTTAGACCTACTAGACCGTGTTCTTTTACTATGTATATGTAAGTTCTGGCGATTTATGAGACTGGCGTTTTTTTGACAAGAATCTGGTATTAATTTTTTGACAAGAATGAAGTACCGAAATGTCCCAGCACAACGAACATCATCATAGTAGGATCATCGTGCTGTTACGCTGAAATGAATTAACATCTGCTCTTTTATACCCCTTGACTGGGTACACTACTACTACTGCTACTCCTACTACTAAGTTGTTCCAACTCGTCCTCCATTCTCCACCTTTCTAACTCCGACCACCTCCTTCGGTGGCCTGCCACCTCCAGCATCGGTTCCAGAGGTCCTAGCATCAGGAAAAACTACTTCAACGGCGCCTCTGAACGAATTCTCTTCCGCAAAAGGTCGCAGACGCGCAGTGCTGATAGGAATAAACTACTTTACGAACAATACTATGCATTCACTTTGAATGATCTATGTATAGGAATATTTCTTTACTGTCGAGCACTTTTGAATAGAGTCAGTAAAATGAAGCTGAGTTGTCTTAGAAGTCACTAAGTTCTGGTGATAGTGAGCACCATCGTGATGAAGACTCCTGCGCTGACTTCAGATCTTGTGATTTTCAACATTATCCTTCTCTAGAAAGAACGTCCGACGAGAACGATTTGCTAGAAATGACTACCCTACGTTGTAGCAGATCTCAACATTATCCTTCTCTAGAAAGAACGTTCGACGAGAACGGCAGTTCATCTAACTCCTACGGAACCCAAGCTGAACTTGCGGGATGCGTCAACGACGTGCGAAATGTGGAGCGGTTACTGAAAGACACTTTCGGTTGGACGCCTGGCGCTTTGGGAGAGTCCTCTCGAGACGAGATCTATAGTTATGAATTCTAGACAACTTCATGAGAAGTCTAAACAACACTTTAAAAGCCCATACTTTAAAAGTAGGAAGTCACGAGTACAACACGTACTAATGTAGTATAGGAGATAGAAGTACTGGCTTATAGGCTTTAATTCAAGGAACCACTACAGTTACAAGGTCCAAAATTCAAGAAAGAGAAGGTCATTTTTAGGCTGGGAGTAGGGCAAATTTGCCAATGCTACCACAGTAGCCTGATGCAGACCACTCTACTGAGCAACTCCTCATACCGAAAATAGAAGCCCCAATGTGAGGAGGGGAGTATCGCAAATTTTTCTTTTTTGCATATTTCAGCAAATTTTACCATGTAAGAGAGACTGAACTTTTCTCATTTGCGAACATTTCAACGGATGAAAAACTTTCAAAGTCCGGATGGATCTAATCTAAGCTTGTCGATGACCCCTATATGCGAACGACGAAACCCACGAAGGACAACATCCTAGACGCACTACGATGGCTGGTGGAGGGAGCCGTGGCAGGAGATGCTCTGTTTCTGCTGTATTCTGGACATGGGGCGCAAGAGGTAGTTGTACTATTATTTAGTATTTAGTACTTAGTGCGGATATGAGGATTCTATGATAATTACGTCTAGCTTGACGCTTACTCACTCTAAACCTAAAGGCCGACCCCAACGGTCTTGAGGAAGATGGGATGAATGATACGATTTTGCCGTGTGATTTTGAACGCGCGGGCATGATCTCTGACGATGTTTTGACCGAAGTTTGCATTAGGCCATTGGCTGAAGGAGTTTCCTTTACGGCGATTATCGATGCTTGTCATAGTTAAGGCTAGGATTGATGATCGTAATCCATTGGAAGAAAAGTAGACCACTAGCCCTGTAGTGCATGAAGTCTAGACGTAATCCATATCTATCTTGTTCCATCTACTGCTCTTCTATGAACAAGATTCCTTTCTACTTGTTTAGCATAAAAAGTATTTCTGTAAGAAAGGAGAAACTAGAAGGATAGCGATACAACTGCTCTACGCACAGAGTAAATAGCTATAGAGGAGGATGAGTTATGGAAATAACAAGGCTAAGATACCGGTACAGCGTTAGATCTGCCTTGGACGTGGCAGGGAGACAAGCAACTGTGGCGAGAGGATTGGAATCCGTTCTTTACTCGCGGAGATTGCGTCATGTTTAGCGGTTGTCAGGATGATCAGACGAGTTCGGATGGTGGGCATGATCTTTACTTATGGTGAGGAGAGGGAGCTAGAGATCTGCTGTGCAGGAGTAAAGACACTGGAAGTACTTAGCGTGTAGCCGAGGAGAAGCTACCGATGTAAAAACTACGTGCTCGAAAATCACCTCGTCGAGGAATCCGGGGCTTGAACACCTGCGTCGTTATCCTGTTTGTCAAGTTTAGACTTATTTGTACTCGTCTCTGTCCTGTAATAAGGATTCTGTTCATCTCGTGCAAAATAAGATTCTTGACTATCTAAGGCTCAAAAGCTTACTTGTAAAACAACTTTGTATCACTATCACGACTCTAATACTTGGTCGTCGAGGGGGTGCGCTCACAACAGCGTTCTGTGCGGTGTTCAGCAATGTGCAGTATAGTGGTACGAACACACCAGCAGCGGTCTTCACAGGTGCGGCGGAGGGAACAATTTATGACCTGTACTTGGAGTTCTTGCATTGGAGTTAGTGGGTTGGATAATAAAGCCGATATACGAATGAATATTATACATAGGTGTAGTCATTCGCATTCCACATCCACCTTATGATCAAAATCAAATACTCGCATACTCTCTCCTCGATCGATAATCCACCATGTTTCATCTCCCCAACCCCAACTCGATTCCGAGCAGCACGCCGGGTCTCTCTGCGCCGCTGATTACCTACGATGCTCTGCTGCACAAGCTGCTCGACGCTATGCGAGCAAATGGCTTCTCACAGACACCCCAGATGTCATCATCACAGGCTTTTGATCAGAAAAAGCGGCTTTTTGCACCAGTACTATGTGGACAAAGCAAGCAAGAAGTTGAGGACGCACTGTCACCGAGTGCTGTTATGATGAGAATAGTGATGTGTCTTTATTAGTGGGCAGTCCGGGTGGTAGTTTACAGGTTTCTAGTGTTGCTTGCATTGCTTGAAACCAATGGATATTCGAATTTTTCATTCAAGTACGTCAATCTGAAAATCCTTTTTTTTTCTCAAGATTCTTTTATTGGCTAGAGGCTTCTTTTAAAAAATCAAAAATATCTTGAAATACATACATTTTTGAATTTGAACGATTTTTCCAAGTTTCTAATTCTTCGAGGAAAAACAATCGTGAGCGCCTTAGTCCGCTCAGCCAAGCTGCATTCAGTGCGGATCCATCGACGTTCATGATTGTACCTGGCAAGAACAGCGCCCATGATGTTATGAATGGACTTTTCGCTTTCTTTTCAGCATGCTGATAGACGTTTCATTCTAATAAATAAGAACTCCATTGATTCGGGACTGAGTTTACCAGTGCTGCTACACGAAGTCGTCCTACTTTTATGCAAGTAGGTGTTGTATCTTCTCACGCTAAAAATGGTAACAACAGCGAGGCAGAATCCACTTGCAGTGCTGGCGCTAGTAGTACCCAGCTACCGCGTTCCTTGGAGCCGCTTGGACCCGGCGGCATGCGGTGCATAGAGGAGGACCAGGAACTACAATTCGGCTAATTGGAAGTCCATTGGAATCGATGCTGATGGATTTGGGTACTAGCGCATGGATTTTTCTGGAGATATTGATGGATTGTTTTAGATAAGTATTTAAAAAGTTGGTTTATTTAAGTTTCTATCTTCCTCTGGTCTTTCTTTTTTTCTAGTTAGGTCGGCTCCACCACAATTATCAGGCTGAGAACGTGTTGCTAATCTACTTACTACAACTACAACGAAGTTGTACAACAAGTCTATGATCATCATTTTCCCATGATTCCCTTTCCTTTTTTCCAGGTATGCTTTTCCTTGAAGACGCTATTGCGGAAGAGGTAGGCGATGGTCTCATCGACGCAGGCAAGGACGTCTTTGATGGTGCAGGGGATCTCTTAGGGGGCGCTGGAGACCTACTGGGTGGCCTTTTTGGCGGGGGTGAGGACCTTGTGGATGATATAGCGGATGATGTTTTCTGAGTGTAAGTGTAAGACGATGTGGGATCTTTTTTGAGTATAAGTACTGTGCGTGGGTGTTAAGGTTAACAGTAGCACAAAGTAGATAGTGTCCTTTTCTGTGGTTGTCGGTTTATTTGGTGAACCGGTACCCCATTGCGAATAAACCACTTCACACGAGAACCATAGAGCGGAGCACTCACTGGAGACGTTGCGCACGGCTTCGGCCTGCCTTCGAAGGTGAGACCTCTGGGGCTGACTACAGGACCACGACAGCGCCGGCGCTTAGTTATTAGCCGACAGCTTGGCGGATCATACGCAAGACAGATAGAGACTTGCTTGTTGTTGTAAGTATCTTTCTGTCTTGCGACATGCTACAGGAGTTGGAGTAGCTTTTTTCTAATAAATATGGAAGTTTCGTTTCTCCAGTAGATGGTGGACAGTGTTGCTTGAGCTTATCTGCGGGCTCAATCGTAGCAAGTAGAAGAAGCTCTTTATGACTAGTAGTAAATGGAACTGCTGATTTTCTAGTCAAATTTTTTAGAGAGAAACTACTTACCCACTTGCATGAGCTGATGAAAGTAACAACTCATGGAGGCCCACGGACCAGTATCTTATGGACCTGTCTTCATGTTGAGTTCATGTTGAGGTGCACGATTCTTGGTTTAGTAGTATTGAGTAACGGAATCAAAAATTAAAATATGCACTTCAGACACGCGCTAAGTTGCGGTAAGCAAGTCCTTACAACTAGATAACTGATTCTATATTTGTACTATGACGATGCAACGTGGTCATCATGTAGATCTTCTTGCAGGAGTAGTATCCGTGTACCCCTCAGGGGGACACCAGTGTGAGTAAGAGTTGGACGCCTGCATAAGATGAGTCGTTTCGTAACTATCATGAAGATGCAGCGTCAGTTTCCAAGTGAGGAAAATCTTTTGTGTGTAGTCATGTATTTCTCGTAAATGATTTTTTGGCACCAGTATGCTTACGGTTACGGCGACAAGAACAAATAGACAGATGAAGAATCAGATGAAACCCATTTGTAAACGGTGAAATGTTCTTACCTGCTACAACCTAGAAGGACAACGGGGCTGCATTAGAAAGTAGATGTATAAGTACAACAACTCCTGCTGTCTAGAGAAAGTTGTAGCAGGTCGTGACTGAAGCTGCTGCGTAGCCGCAACGGCGACTAAAAAGAGGAAGCTGTCGGCGATGGGCTGCTCAAGGGCTTATTTGCCCTCGGAGAGGGAGTCTGTGTCTGTGAGAATGCATTCTGTGACTTCAGGATCCAACAAAAATGATCTTCAAGCTGATTTTTTCGGCTATTACCAGAATTGCTATGCGCTGTCGGTCTCTTTTTTCTGTTTCTTTTCTTTTCATCCGACTTTCCATCCATCGGTTTATGAGGGAGGTACACGTCTCTATGCATCTATAGATTACCGGAGCTTGTTACATTGCTACTGTATAAGTAAAAAATATGAGTACCTCTACCTGCATGAACTTTGTTCTACTCTCATTTTTCAGTCACCTGGATCATGCCCAAGCTGTGTTGCCTAAAATGAGATGGGGAAGATAGCTTTGAAATTGTTGAGGCCTGCCAGAATAGATAATATCCTCACAATTTCAACACACGCCCAAGAGCAGACATCACTACGTAAACAGCCAGCTCTGCTGCAGCTGCCCCGCTCTCCCACTCCACCAAGAAGACTGCTCTGCTCTCTCACTTTGCCAAGATGCAAGCCAACGGAGATGAATTTTCAGCAGTTCTGGCCTTGTCCTTCGGAGAAGACGTCAACGCTCATTTGTGGACCCTGGCGCAGACGAAGCAAGTGCCTCAGGCATTACGGCATACGCCTTTGGGTATAATTTTGTCTTCACTTCTTGTGTAGTAAGAGTAAGTAGGTTACTAGTTCGAGTACTAGAAGTGAAATTTCATAACGAGAAATTATTTAGCTTTAGCTGCATCGGCATACTTCGTGTACAAGAAAAAAAAAAATAGAAACTAGTTGTTCATGCAAGAACCTCCAACATGATATCCAGGTGATTGCCTCTTTAGAACCATGATGGAAGGCGCGGATGAAATAAGCGAATCAGTTACTTATTCCGAATCTGAACGATCTTCGCCTGCGAATTCACCGCTTGCTTTTTTCGGACGTGGAGGAGGTGAACAGATCACGAGCGATCAAGAAAGCGTTCCTCTGACGAGGAGAGATGATCGGAACGAAGAAGTTTCGATGGGACACGCAGTTCTTCATAGTCGTGCTGCAGAAGATGAGCAGCGCGAAGACACACATCATGAAGATGTACAAGCATTTATGGAAAATATGGGGCAAGCGCAAGTAGAAGAGGAGCATCATGTTGAAGATGACCAACAAGAAACTGTTTCTCATGCGGATACAACTACTCACAAAAAGCGTCAGTTTCAAGCGTCTGAAAACTACTACAACGAAAATATGAGTGCCCAAAAAGATGAAGAAGATCCTTCCTCATTGTCTGACTTACGCAACCGACTATGCGCAAGGCGCTACCAGGTCGCGGCAGCTGGACTTCATCGTTCTAGGGAAGATGAAGGGGAAGATATTACTACTAATACTATTGCTAATAACAGGAGGAATTTAGAACATCAAGACATCTTTGCTCCCTATTCTGAACCCGCCGATCCACGGGTACCACGTCAGAAGCATAAAGGTCTAGGACAACTAGGAGAAGGTCCAGGTTTGCAGAAAGCGATCATGCAGGAAAGCGATCATTACCACTTGTTCTACGCAGCAAACGCATCGGAAAGAATAGAGCAGTACAACTATGTTGAAGAAGATTCCTCGCACGTCCTACAACCAGTATCTTATCATGGTGAGGACGTTAATAATCTTAAAAATCAACAATCATCCCAAGAACAAGAGCGCTTGCCTTTCCTGCGATGCGCCCTTTGCGGCAGACAAGAGAAGAGACAGCGAGCTAGTCCAGAAATGTTCGCCTTACCTTGTGGCCACTGTTTCTGCCTAGAGCATGTTGACTATTTGCGTGGTCATTGCAGTATGCGGATACCTACGACCACAGGGGATGGAGGAGAACGTTACACTGTAAAGCAAGATGAGCCGAAAGAACTACACAAGAGTAGGTTACAAGCTCAACGAGGAGACTGCAATGACAAGTATACTAGTGGTCATGGGCCGGATCATCTTCGCCAGGGCAACAAGAAAAAAGTTGAGCACCACCTAGTAAACTCTAGAAGACGAGCAACGCGCAGACTTCGGAGAGGACTCACTGGTGACATTCTTAGCATAACGTCGACGAGAAATAGGCGTAGCTGGAGTTGCGATAGGATTGGGCACGCAACGTTTTGCTTGGATGGCGTCGTAGAGGAGCAAGAGGACGAGCTTGAGGCTGCTCAGCAACCTCGACATCGAAGTTCTACGAGAACTAGAGGTCCATCTCCTGGTTGGGAGGATAAAGAGGACGAGGAGCAAGGCGGAAATATAATGATTTGCCCTGCTTGTGGGGCTTTTTTCTCGGAACATGATGAACATACTTAGAAGTACGTAAAAGAATGTACACTGTATTTTGGCAAGACCTCACCTGCATACCAAGCACTGCATTTGCTGACATCATATTTTACAGCACTTTCACATATACATGCTCTTTCTGATAAGAGTGAAGATTCTGAAGCAATAAGAGAGAAGGAGTGTTCAGTGTTGTTGAAAGGAACGAGCTTTGGAACGAGCTTGTTTTGAGGCTCACTTGACTATAATTCCAGCTCCCGCACTCTCTTGTCATTGCCGAAGTAGACCATTGCACAAGAATATTTAATCAAGCACTTTGTTTTAGCTCCTGCTCCTCCTTCACGTAAAACACATCATCAAAACATCTTCATGGTAGACGGAGAACGCGTCCCCCCTCTGCGGCACGTAAAACACATCATCAAAACATCTTCATGGTAGACGGAGAACGCGTCCCCCCTCTGCGGCAGATGAAGACTACCTCAGCGGAATACAGTAGCAGAAGTGCTCCAGCAAAGGAGGTGACGCCTTCTAGCCCCTCATCGTCGCTGGTGGAACCCCTACTACTAGTGGAAATTCGAAACAGAGAGCAAGATGAAGTGGACAAAGGATTAGTCATTTCGCCCTGCTCTTCTAGCCGCGGTTCAGTACGACGACCGTTGCCGCCAGTCACCATTGACTGGAAGCCTACCACAGGGTTGCGTGGCTTGTGTGCACTGCAGATCATGATTGGCCACTTCTTCTTCGGTGCCGCGCCAAGATCTTTGCGTGCGGTTTGTAATGACCCAGGGATCGGCGACGATGCTTACACGGTGCTAATCGCGATGGACCAGCCTGTGGCGTTGTTTTTCCTTCTGTCGGGACTGCTGTATGGGGTCTTGTACTATGACAAATTCGACTTTGTTCAAGACGAGGAAGATGATGTGGAAGCGACTTCTTCTAGTTCTTCTTCTAGTTCTACTCCTACAACCACGGAAAGGAAGATGCAATCAATAGGAAAACAAGGGTATCAGAAGTGGACGACCTTTGTGAAGAAACGGTTTGTGCGCTTGACACCAGCGTGGTATGCGGCACTCCTTTTCATGATGCCCTTTTACTTGCCAGACCGCAACCTACCAACTGAAACAAAAGTGGAGGGAACGGTTACAGCATTCACTTATGTGTGATTTGATTCTGAGTAGTGGAAAACCAAAAGCAATACACGGACCACCACTGCTGTGAAAAGGCTCGAAAGCTACAAGAGTGACCCCCAAATGCAGGTGGTGAGTATTGCAAATTTTGCGAAATAATTCTTCCTACCTATTCCGAGCACTACAGTGAGACGGCTCCTTCTGCAAACATGCCATCCCCAATTGCAGGAGGGAAGTATCGCAAAATTTGCAAAATTCGTATTTTGGTGCGTTTTCAGGACTACAGTTTTCAAGACGATGCATTGAAATTGTTTTCACGCGAACTGGTAACTCCCTTACCTGCAAAGCGTCCTCACTTCCACTCAACCTGCTCTAACTCCCTTACCTGCAAAGCGTCCTTGGTCCCCCTGACGGTTTTCCGCACGTTGTGCCGCCACCTCACGGACCTGGATGGCAGATATCTGCATTCATGCTTAGCTATCTCTTTCTACCTTTCGTCTTTTTCCTAGTACGACGTTCGACGTGGTCATTGCTTGGTGCGGCTTCTTCTGTGAAGGATGCGAAAGAAGGCGTAAGAGACAAGCGACTACAACAACATCAAAATATGGGTGGTGACACGGGATTGCTTATGGGAGTCGTTTTTTATGCTCACTGCCACTGGATCGTTATTGCTCACCAAGAGATGATGCTAAATTTGCTTTTCTAGGATCACTCAGACCACTACCAGGAGCACTGCGAAATCTTCTTCTCCCCATCAATCTTCTTCTAATCCTATTCCTATATCCTGAGCATTGTGCTTATGCGCCATTTTGCTGCGACAGTCTCGATTGGCATAACACATTCGTTTTTCGTGGTTCGGTTTCCGAACGTAGTGATGGGCATCTTTTTGGGCATGCTCATGAAGCGAAGAACGATGGTTAATACTATAGGCGCCTCAACAGACGAGGAGTCCTACTGTTTCACGCATGTGCTACCGACACTGAACTCTTGGATGGTAAGTGCTTGCTGCAAGGTGCAGCAACTCTACAGAGTCGCTCTGGAGAGGATAGAAAGCTACAGAAGTACTAGTGGTGCAGATGAATTACAAGATGACAGCAGGACCTCCTCCTGTTACGATGCAATCTTAACATCAACTCTCGACTACCGCAGAAGGAGCGAAACTAGTACTCCTGCCAGCACCAGCAATACCACATCAACGACTACGACTAGTTGTAGCCATTTATTTCTCGACGTCACCCTAGCGGTCTACTGCTTTTACAATGTTATTATAGTCCCAGTTTTTCGATTTGATGGCGATATCTACCTCCAGTTTTATCTTCTTCCGCTCTACTGCGTCTGGCTGTGGCATCTGGTGCTTGTAGACGAAGAAGACTCCTCCACAAGTATCGCACGAGACGTGGTATTGACTCATTCAGTCCCTTAAGGCTTCAGAAGCATCTTCTTCTTCACCCTTAGGATTCACCTTCAGAAGCATCTTCACCTTCAGAAGCATCTTGGGTCACCCATTTTAACGTCATTCAGGGCAAAACGTTTTGTTTCTACTTGAAAACGGAGCCAACAAGGGTGGCCTCAGTCCCCCAACATCAACTACGAGATTGGTCTAAGTCCGCCAACATCAACTTGGAGCTCTAAGTCCTCCAACAACTCGGAGATTGGTCGTATGCGCTTTACTGTCTGCACTGGCCCGCCTATTACTGTTTCACGTGGATGCTGACGCCTGGCACTGAATATGTTACGATCTGGGACGTTGAGGTGATCAAGTAAACATCAATGTCATTTAAGTTCTGTATGATCTACTTCAGGAGGAAAAACTACAAGGTCAAATACACCAAGAACTCAGAACTCTGAAGATGGTGAATCTACCGAATTCAAGCACTCGAGGACCTGGACCCCTAGACGCTCTGGCTTCAGTATTTGTACTCCTCCTCATCTTTTTTAGACAATCTAGTCCAGTTCATTCTACTCGTCCCTCTATCTTTACTAGATTTAGTATAGATATTTCTATTTTTTCTTTTTGTGTATGGCTCTGGTATTTGGTAACCTGAATTTGATCCTAAGGGTTCTCTACTTGTTTTCCCTTACGATCAAACTCAGGTTACCAAATACCGGAGTCATTCATTTTGTCCTTTACTCCTTCTAAAACCTTGTGGCATCGATGTCTCGGATTATCGCAAGGCAACGGGTGTTTCGGCATGCAGTACTACCATCTGCCGTTCGCACTTGGTTTCACAATCATTCTAGGAAAGGGTTTCTCCGAACACTGCGAAAAACCGTTGGGCAACTACCTGGAGAAGAAAATTGTGTAAAAGAAGGAGGTGAGCGTGAGCTACTTACATTAGAAGTAGACTGGAGGAAGAATGAGGAGAAAGTAGAGGTTCTAGTTAGGAAGGCACTACATTAGTGCGTGGACTAGAAGAAAGAGGACATCCAGATATTAGCAGTAGTCCTCGTGGTCAACCAAGTGGTTGACTCAACTTGGAGTGGTTTCTAAAAGTACCCATAGAAGTACAAGTAGTCTACGTATGGCATGCACAACATTGATGTTGGTCCATCATCCAACATCCCCACCAAAGGCAAAGCCTGCTACGGAGATAGCAGTTGTAGAGATTACGTAGAAAATTCTGATTCACCAACATCGCCAGGATCAGATTAGGCGTAACCGGTTCATTTTTCCCTCATTTTCATCCTAAGTTAGTCCCGCCCGTCAACATACTGGGCAACGCCGGCAATCGATACCGCTGATTTCTGCAATGAAGAGGTGACTCCATCTTCGTGAACGGAAATTTTAGGTATATATAAGTACAAGTGAAAGTAGGATAGGAACACTACTGCTCAAGGACGCGCTAGATACCTGCTTTACAGTTTTTTTTTTTCCGGCAACTGCGTGCTCTGTCTTCACTGTTACATCCTTGACGACGCAACAAGGGGATCATGATCAGCGTAGAAGATCAAGGGAGACTCTCGGAAAAGTCATCATTTCTACGATCATCACTGCAAAGATCACCGCTAAGACCACGTCTCCTTTCGCAGATAACTAAAAGAAAAATCCCTAAAAGAAAGAACACAAACTACACCACTATGGAGGACTTCGTTCGTTCATAATTCTAGATTTACTCATTTTCAGCTTCAATTGACATTCTTGACTTAATCCTAAGCCGAAACCAACCACCTCGAAACCATTTTTCTTTTAACCCTAGAAGTAGAAGGCTTACCTTGTCAGACTGAAAAACTTTTTGTTCCAACAAAGAAGACCCCCTTGACCTTGAAATTTTTGAGCTTTCTTTAGTTAGTACTTTGCCTTATCAAGGAACAAGGAACATCGATCTATAAAAATGAAAATTGCACCAACTACACCTTTCGCTGGGAGTGGCACGCAACGCCTTGTTGTGTCTGTTGCTGCGGTTATTTCGATCTGGAGTTGTTGTTTGCAAAGTCCGAATCTTGGTTTTGTCGCCTCTGGTGGATTCTTACCACCTTCTCATGAAGATGGAGGCCAGACACCTGCGCCTGCAGTTGCTCAAGATGATCATCATTCAATCATCTTGCAGTATTTATTTAATGGTGACACGAAGAGTATCATATAGTACAGCACCGATGAAACGCGTACAGCTGGGCAGGTGAACTCGAGGCGTCGAAGATTCTTCACCTTCTGATTACCAGAGGGGAGTCGATTCTTCACCTTCTGACTTCACCTTCTTACCAGAGGGTAATGTGAATGCGGCACAACGGATTGGCGACTCCATAGAAATTTGGGTAAAGTGCGACTTTCGGTCGTCGGGGACCCCGACATCAAACGCGTGATATGTTCTCACCATCAACCTTGCGCGATTTTGACACCCGCAGTCAAAGATGAGAAAGGGGAGAAATTTCGCGTCGAGTTCAACTTTGAGCTGCTAAAATTTAGAGACGAACCAGACAGCACCCGAAGAGTGCTGTCGAATTTGTTTTCAATCATGCTTGTCCTAAAAATCAAATGATGCGTGTGGCGTTTGGCCTCAGCCAGGAGGAGCTCAGCGGCCGTCTCTGGGAGTTAGTACACTATAGCTGTCTAATCAACACTTCGTTTTAAAGTTTTGGACAGGAGATGTTAAAGTTTTGGACAGGGCATGTTAAAGTTTTGCCGTACCTGTGTAACCGGTTGAAGTTAAAGCCTTCCTATGTCTTTCAATGTACCGCTTTTTTTTATGAATTGAGGGCATGGCGAGTTTTCGTTTTGCTACGAGGATTATTTTTTTTTGTGCTTGTGCTTGTGGATAGATTGAAGGCGATGTCAAGGCACCCAATCCTACTGGTCTTTAATGATTTTTGTTTTGAACAGGAAACCTTACAGTATTGTGAAAAGATGACGTAGGTTTTGCAGTTTTGGACAGGACGTGTTAAAGTTTTTGACAGGAGATAGAGATAAAGAAGTATGTGAGCCTCCTCGTCAGGGTCAGGGAGTCGGGTTTGGTGTTCACAATACGCGCACTTCAGATATTAAGGCATCTTCACGGAAGCAGCTTTTTTGTTCATTTAAATCTGCTAATAGTCCTTCCACCTCTGTCAACATAATTGTAGTTATCTTTATTCTGAGTTCCCTGCCAATAAAGAGTCTGTTTGGGTTTCCACTGGAATTTGCAATGCCCACAACTCGTTTTGATGCGTTAAAAGACACTTCAAGAACGGGTGAATGAATGAATGTATGAATCCTCTGTCTGCCCTGTGTCCTACTTGGAACATCAAGACGATGATAGTTCACGCTCACCTCGACGCAAGTGATCGTCCGAATCATATCCTATCCCAGTTGACAACGATGCTAAGCTTGCTTCAGCGATCAGGATAGGTTCATCACTTTGGTAGGAGCAACTATTTTTTTTGGATTGGTTGCAGATGTCAACAAATCACAGGAAAGTGCAATAAAGAGACAGAGAAATGAGCCCGTCCACTTGAGATTAGACTTATACTAGATACAAGTGCGACAACGTCCACTGCTCTATCGCCTATAACAATTCTGGCACTTATCTCAAGCTTAGTTATATCCCGTTGTACTCGTAGATACAAATAGAATCATGTCATCGTCTTGGTCATCATGGCTGCTCGTCTTTACCTCCACTCTTTTGAGTCGAGCAGGGTTGTTGATGCTAGCGTGGACGTCGAAAACTTTTCTTCTAGTACATCAAGAAGAATTTTTTGCAGCGGCTGCCCGCATGGGAGGAGCAGGTTTGTTCTTAGAGGTGGATGCTCAAGAGCAAGAAGATAGTAGAAACCTGTACATGGTAGGAACCCCTTCTAGTACACCAAAAGGCCATCAAGCACAAGAAGAAGAAGTTACTCCAACAATATTTGCAAAGCCTTGGCAGCTGGTCTACGTTAAGGCTACAAGAAATGCATCTTCACTGTCAACATCTTGTTGTTGGTCCTCCCGTTTTTGAAGGGAAAAGGAGACCCATCAAGATGCTGCTGAAGATGGATCATTTCTCTTAGAAGTTCTAACCACGAGAGTCCCGAAGAAAGAAAAGCGCGGACGGACCAGGTAGCCTCTTTTAGCGTCAAAGGGCAGGAGGTGTCGCGCAAGTTCTTCATAGAGGATTCTGCCGTTCTTGAGACGAGGAAGGCGTATCCATTCCAAGTGGTCCACCCAGACTATGAAGATCAGGATACCAATACGAGTAGTACAATAAGAAGTAGGATCTTTGCGGCATCGGATGAAGTGATGCCTTACCTTCCACAGCATGCAGCAAAAATGATTGCCGACGCGGCTAGAAGGAGTCTTCTTGTTTCTGATGTGGCAGGTGGAGCTGAAACGGAGGTGGACTGCTCAAGTGCACTGATACCTGTCGGACGACGGAGTCGTGAAACCGACACCACGCCTCGCCCAGGCGACGATCCCACGCTGCTAGTACACTTAAGGGTCGGCTAAAGATGTTCCTGTTACCATTTGTTTTGCCTCTCCTAATGGAGAAAAGCATAACAAACGGGGAAGCGAACACCTAAGCCCTTCCTCTAATACAACCTGCGCCTCCTGCTCCTTTCAGCCCAAGCTCCGCGAAGATCATCCGTTTCCATCTTTTTCATAACCACGACGATGAGGCAGAGAAGAGAATGATGTCAATTGCGGAGTACGTAATTCGCCTACAAAAATGGTTCAAAGCGTCTCCTGAGTCATTTGTTTTAGCCTTCATTTACGTCCAGCAGGTATTAATACAATCGCCACTGAGGGAGCAACTTTTCAGGAGAAGTCAGAGGCTTAGCATTCATCGACTGCTGCTAGCTGCGCTCACTTAAGGCAGAGCTTATTTTATTAGAGCTCTTCGTTGATTTTTCCAGAAGTTTGAGTATCATTATAGTCCTGCTGATTCTTACGGCCTACTTACTCAGTTTCTTCAGTATGATCATCATCGTTATCCACCTGAGTGCGTGCACTCCAAGTTCAAGAATTTTGAAGTCAAATAGTAGAATCACCCTCCAGCTAATTTCAAGTTCTTGTCCTCCTCTAATGTGCTGTGTCCAAAAAGTATAACGATGACGATGCCCTTTACGTTCAAAGCTACTACGCAAAGGTCGGGGGCGTGGCAGTGGCGGAACTGAACCGGATGGAAGAGGACTTTCTTATATTGCTCAATTGGCGTCTTTCTGTCACTGGCCATGCATTCAAAGAGTTCACAAATTATGTTGTGAAGAGGACTAAGCTGATGACCAGTTGTACTAGTACTACTAGTAGTAATGCTGACAATTCAAATTCTTCAGCGGAGGAGCAGCAGGAGAAGTTAGGGTCGGTAGGGTTACTAGGGTTAGCTACACGTCGGGGGAGTGGCGCCAAATTATCTATATGATGTGAAAGTCAATGGTCATTGCCACTATAACTTCAGTCATTTTTTTCTTTGCTTGCAAACTGCAAAGATAGACTTCCTTATCTTTTTCATCCTGCGAATTACTTACAAGAAAAAGACCGAAGATGAAATCAAAGGATCCTCGCGATGAAAAGACTGCAGATGAAACTAGATCTTCATTGTGCATTTTTTCTAGAAATAGTCACGACTAGGCACGGAAGTGATGATGAGAAGAAGGTCCAACATGCATTATGACTTTAACTTGTTTACCGAATCACCTGCTGTGTGTGACCAAGATGCAAAGCCTAACCGAAAATCGTTATCGTTATTTTCTAAAGCAGGTCCTCGTCATCATCATGATCCAGCGCCAGCTACATGATATTCATCTTACTCAGGAGTTGTAGTTCCTTGCATGAAACAACGTTTTCCTTTGCAAATTATCTCTGGTCAAGAATTGGGTAACTGTAATCCTAGGAGTGGTATGTCTGTGTTAGGTACATCTACATTGTACTTATATATAATCATGTTCTTGTTGATTTTCATACTTCTAGTATTGAAGGTTAGACTTCTAGTACTAGTTCTTGCTCTTGGACGAGGATGGTCCATGATTCCCTCATCAATGGCATTTCTGCTTTGTTTGATAATTCGAGGAACAGTAAGTTCCATTAGACTGGAGCCACTACTTACTGGAAGCAGCTGGAACTGGTGCAGGCGCTCCCATGTTGCAACCGGCGTGAGTGCGCAGGAGGCTCTTATGCATAATAAATTGTGAGTTTGATGGGACTGAGAGTGGGAGGACAAGGACGTCAAGAGAGGATGTCGAAGAGAGAACGACAGACTAGAAGATGCCAAGAAGAGTAGATGGATAATACAAACATGTAATTCTCCACAATCCCGTACGGTTGGCAGCCGGTTGAGGTTCATATAACGCAAATAGCCCCCTCCTTTGCCCCTAAGTGGGTTCGTAGGCAATTAGTGCACCGTAATAGAAGGAGTAGGAGGCTAATGGACTCCACCTGTCCCCGGCAGGTACACCGGATAACACAGGGATCACCCTGCCGGCGATCTTGGCATACAAAAAAAAGAAAGTGGCTGCGGCGAAGAACCCCTGATTCATCAGTCATAAGTCTGAGTGAGTAATCCCCTAGCTGCAAAAATTCTTCTCGTATTCTCCCGCCCTGCTTGCTTACTCATTATACTTGCTAGACATGCATAAGATACAAATCCATGCACATCAACATGAAGAAGATTATTGTTCGAAACAGATGGAATTCCGAGTTGTAATTGAAACACATCAAATTTTAATTTTTATGCAGCTAATGTTCGAAGATGTCAATTCAAAAATTAGCTACTTAATACTTAGATAGCCATGTTCCTGCAAGAAAGGAAATCCACTTCCACAGTATGATGTGAAAGATGTTGCACGAGGAAAGAGCTACTTCAAGAGCAGAGCGCTCGGAGGACGAGGAGGAGACGACTTCTACATCAGAGACGGAGACATGTGCATCTTCCATAGATGGAGTAGCATCTGACTCTGAGGATGCTTGTAGTACGTCTTCTAGTGCAAATAATTATATGTTCGACACAGAACAAAGTAGTGGAAGAACGGCAGCTCCTACAAGAAAGGCGACAGTTTTGATAGAACAAAGGAGGGCATCGCTTCTGACAGAGGTGGAGGTGGAAGAAAACGAAGAGGAAGAGACAACTGCTCTGCACCTGACAGCATCGTCATCATGCGAAGATGAAGAAGACGAAGAATTTGCTTTTCTGACGAATATTTTTCGGGTGTGCCTACTCCTTCCTTTTCTTCTGCTGTGTGCTGGTTGGGATTTGGTGATGCCGAGGTTGTACTACGATTACATAGTTTTTGGCCTTATCGGCAAATATCAGCTTGCGGAGGCTGCAATTGCCAGCTTGTCGTTCTTCGTCTGGATCCAGCTCTTCTCCGTACTAGTTTGCTGGGCTAATTCAGTCGCTTCAGTGAGGACAAGTTCAAGTGGGGATACTAGTTGTAAGGAATTAATATCAGAAGAAGATTCATCAGAGCTCGATCGTCAAGGAAAAGAAGAACAATTTAAGCTTCAACGTGAAGATGATCTTCAACAAAAGGAAAATAAAGAATCTTCAGATGGCAAGACGTTGTTTCTCTATAATCACTCATCGCAAGAACGGGAGACCACTGATCCTTGCCATTGTGGTGGAGGTCTTCAGGAGAATAAGCATCAAAAACGTACATCAGAACAACTGAAGTACTATCAAAAGGAAAATACTACATTGATGTCACCACGAGTCACGACATCAAGCACGAGACTATCATGGTGGACTCAAAAAAAAAATCGACTCGATAGGTCGTACACTTCGATAGCGACTCGCCTTGATAAGTGGCATAGGCATTCACTAGAGAGGCGGATTCAAGGTCGTGGGTGGGCGAGTGTCGCAGAGTGTCAAACGGCAAACAGCTCGTGGCGATATTACTTTTATGCTCTAGCTCGTCTCCTTTAAATCTCTCAGTTCTTTCTGGCACTTATCTCACGATAAAACTTTCTTTGAAGTAGCTCTTGCGTCTGCGTGGCTTTTTACTAGAAGACTCTTGGCGGGAGGTAAAACTAAAATCTACCTTTATGATCGAACTGAGAATACGATGAACTGCTCCCCCTCGGTCGTGCCTTTCCCCTCTATTCACTTTGGTATTGATGTTGAAACTTAGAGTTTAACTTTGAACAACTCTGACTCTCTAACCTGCTCTGAGGTCTCAAGACGCACGAAAAGGCTTTCTTCCCGTTTTAATCTACATGGTCGCTATCGCTTTGTACCACACTTTTGTGCGAACGCGACCCCCCTTAACAAGGGACTATCCTGGTTTTATGGCTAGTTTTTCACTCTCTCCCGTGTGGAGTATGCTGAGTTGGCATCCCTTGATTGAAAGGGGAAAATAAGAGTGAAAATAAAGGGACACTCATTCAACCAGGCATAGTGAAAAACTAGGACTAATGGCTTAACTCGCGTGTTGTTCGAATTAGCGTTTGGGGTCTACCTGTACGATTTCTTAATGTTCTTCGTCCATGTCCTATTTCTTCACGGAGGGCGAACGAAGTTTCTGCATCAGAGGCATCATTCGGCTCCGTCAGCGGCATTGTGGCCTGTAGATACAGTGCACCATGGCCTAATATTAAGGGTTGAAACGTTTCATTTCTACAAACCTTCTTCACTTAAAATTGCGGGGTAAGTGAAGTTAACCGACCTACAATCAAATCCAACCATCATCATTAAGATTGCTACTAAAAAATGAATTGTTTCAACCTTTAATAATAGACGGCTTTTTGCAGGTTTTCGTAAACGTTTTGGTCCAACAGTGGACTCCGTTTTACGTTACGGCTACCTCTCTCTATTTAGCGATGGTCGTCTATCAATCGGTCTTCTTCTTCTTGCTCTTCTACTTCTTCAATGAAGGCACAAGTTGGCTGAATGACCTCAACACCATTTTTAGACAGGATGGGACACGAGGTAACATGCCAAGTGTCAGTATGCATCCCAATGCAAGGGAGATCCTACGGCATATACTTGCTGGATCCCTACACGAATGCACCGTGGGGAAGCTCTAATTTCGGCGCAAAGCATGACCTTACGCGGATCCTGCACAACATTCTGATCACTTTTCTCTTTATGAAGACTCATTTTTTTACTAGCTGTACTACGTGGTCGTCTATCTAGAAGGATGAATGTTCTTACTTCATCTTCAAGATCAACTTCTGCTGAACAATTGCAGTGTGCTTCAAATTAAAATCGTCTTCCCCTTTGCCACAAACTGCCCCGACACACTACCTCATGCTAGGTAAAAAGCGAATAAGTGAACGAAAGAGAGAAGAACTACTTCTAGATCTTCGGCGATTCATCTTCGCATTGGATCCAAGTTCATAATCTGAACCCACTCATCCTCCTTGACCATTCATCCTCCTGACCGAGAGCCATTCCGGTTTTGACGCTCCGTTCTCGCTGCATAACGTGCTCAACTGGCAGTCCAGGGCTACAGTTATGGGACCTTAAAGTGACAATTGATGACCCCAAAATCCAGTCGAGAGTATGGCCAATTTTCTATTTTGGCTAGTTTTTTTGCATGATTAGACCTCTGTCGTTTTGGGCCCTGCGAGTGCTACGTAATGACCCCAATAACAGGTGGGAGGTCTGCTGAATTTTGCATTTTGCTATCTTTTTTTGCATCGGACCTTACCGTATGAGGTCTTGGGAATGCTAATTGATGATCCCAGTGTGTGTGGGGGGGGGGGATTGTTGTCAATTTCCATTTTTAGGCACCTTTATCGAACTAGGCTTCCACCGCTACTACCCAGAAAAGGGTTTTTTCCCTGCGCCTGCCTCTAGCTACTATTGAAGATCGTGAGCGGTCATGATCGCTGATCGTGAAAATAGCGTCGACCGGAATGGGTGAGTAGCGGTGAGGAGTCGAGCATAGGCACACTTGTTGCAAGTCCGGTTCATTTGCATGTAATTGTAATTCTAACTTTTGAAAATGATTTTTTTATCATCTTGGAAATATTAATATTCGTTTGTATTGTTAAACTTGAAGATTCCACGCAAGATTAAATCACGAAAATTTTGCTTTGATCATATAATACAGATGTCAATTTATATTTATTTTACTAGAAGCTACAGCATTGCTGCAAGGTCAAATTTCAGAATTTTGAATTTGAAAAAGCTAATTTTTTGATTTTATTCCGTTTTTTTCGAAATGGAATTGAGTAAGTTTCTTTATATCAATGCTGAATGATACTTCTTCTACAATTTATTTGCTACATGAAGGTTAATTTTACCTTAGAATGTAATTTCGAAATCGTGTAATAATATAGACACGATCAAATTCCAGAAGGCAAGTCATTGGCCCTTATACAGCCTTAGCTGGTTAAACCTTCTTGGGTCCTTACAAGAATGCGCCACAACCTCGCTTTCATAATATCTCGTTCACAAAGACGAGGATCGTCCTCTTCTACAGCAACTTGTAGTAGTACGCCTTCCGGAGGCGGTGCGGCTAGAAATGAAGCGACGAGGACACAGCTGGTCTGGTACGGTGGAGCTTTGTATCACGACCTGCACCATCAGCGAGGAGATTGCCACTTCCAACAGTTTTTCACGTATCTTGATGCTTTCTTCGGTTTTCTCTCAGGGAACTAGTAAAACGTCGCCCCTCAACGGGAGATACGGGTACTACTTTGCTGGATGAGAGTGAAGATGACAAGGATTTTACTACAGTTCTTGAAGAGACCACTCTTGGAGTTTCTCACTTTATTCATGACGACGCATTGTTACATCAACTTAATACAGGTAGTACATCAATAGCTCGTCTTTTGTGTCATAAATCAGTGTAGAACGAATGTTCAGCTTCATGGGACTAAGAAGGAAGTTGTATTGATCCGTGATGACACGAAGATCGCAGGTCCCAAAAATTGTAATGTAGTGGAAGATCACAGCCAGGAAGAAGAACAAAACTTCCTCGTATATCAGTACCTGTACTCCGGTTACTAACTTTTCCCGCGTCCTCTTCGTCACCGTCTTAGTTACAGCACACCATTATTTTTAGTTCCACCACATTAGTAAACATATGTCTTGCTGCTAATAAAAAGTGCTTGATCAGATCCCCTTTCCTGTTTTGACCATTGTTGTTGCTTGTTTTTACCTTCCGTACTTCTACCAGCTTGCTCTATTACACCTTCAATCATAAGAACTACAACAACTTTACTTACACACACATCATGACCTCCATCGACGTCCGAACTATTTTGATTACACAGAATCAGAAGGAGGCCCAAAATATAAGTAGTTCTCACCATCCCCTAGTCCTCCTCCTCCCTATAGTACCCATTCCCTTTTTGTTGATAGCCAACTACAAAGGATCCCGAAGTTCTCCGGCCAAGCCCGTCGCATGTGTGTTGCACGACTACCCTTGTCGTCCAAATCTGGTTTTCTAACTTCAGCTCTTCAAACGCTGCACTATTCTCCTTGTTTCTCATATTTCCTTGTTGCGAGTAACACTAAAACTAAAATGGTTGTTCCTTTCATTACTGCAGAAGTTGCAGGCGCCGTCACATTCGGCATCAGAGGGTGTGCCTGCAGCTCCTGGTTCACGCACGTATCGTCCTCGTCGTGCTGCAGCTTGGGGTACTTACGTCTTTTATGGCGCCAGTAGAAGGATTAGCTACAACCACAACATGAGGCGAAGAGAATGGAATTCAAGTCAGATAGAAATTAATAGAATGAAATTCAAATTTTTAGATGAATGAAAATTATCTTTATCTTCATTATACCTCAATTATAAGTCCTCTCTACATTCTAACTCCTTCGAAATACTGGTCTTGGAAAGTCCTAGGCTCATCTTATTATACCTCATTCGTCGGTGCCCGTCGGTGCCAGTATTCTCGTTCTTGTGGCTTATAACTTCGCGTGACACCTTCACCTTTGTTCCTCAATACATAGTACCTACTAGTCTTTAGTAGTCTACTCTCCTTACTACTACTAGTCATTCGTTCCTAAATCTTCATTATCTTTGGGTCAGTGTCTCCATCTTGAGCTACGCTTTTTCCTTGCACCAGAGAGAATGAAGAAGTACTCCTCCATTTTTTTTTCACGGCGCAAACAAAGAAAATATTATAGTGCTGGCTAGTGGACCTAGACGTAGACTTCTACTTCTTAGTCCTTGCCTGGTAGACTCCTACCCGTTTTTTTAGTCCTTGTCTTGATACAGATACAACGAATATGCTAGAGCTGAATCGGCACTTCCTTCTTTTTCTCAAGGAAGAAGTACCATAGTATGACTTCTGACGTTTAGATTGGAGAAGAGGGCCACAAGATTGGGAGGTTTGTCAAAAATGAAGAGAAATCAATGAACAGATTGTACATGTTCAGTTGCAGAGGTTTTTATAATTAGTCTAGTTTAAGAACAACTACAAGTACAAGTAGGTTACTAGTCTACTGTAGACTGTCTAGTAGATTAACAAAAAGTAGGTATCAGCTCTGCAATGTCAAACGGGAGTTGACTACTCAAGAAGATACACAGAAGTTGCAAAACAACGTCGCACAGGAGACGAGAAACGTATAAGCACTGTATGCACCAAGAAACATGTTCATGGATCCAAAGAGACGTAACTCGAAGTTCGTAGGACGATCATGCAGATGATTATCACAAGTACAAGAGAGAAATCAAAAGTACAGAGTACTGCGAAGATCAAATCATGAGAAAGGTCTATGAAGATCAAATGAGAGCACATCATCTGTAGCAAGAGGACAAATTCTTAAAGATCACAATGGCGACGACGTTCGCGATCAAATCTACTCTTGTATGACGAGGAAGATCTTTTTCCCAACAACATTGATTTTTCAACGAAATATTACAGCCTCCAGGAACATCAAAGACGAATTTTTTCAGCACCTAACACCGACTAGAAGCATCTTGCTACTACATTATACCGCAAGAATAAAAGGGAATTACTCAAGTTGAACTAACTAACCCAAGTTGAACAAGGAGTAGAAAAAAACAAAACTACAAGTTGAGAAACATCTGAAACTGCGTAGAAGAACTAGAACCTTTCCACCTCCAGCTATTCATCCGTGTAAGAGTATAATTTTTATAGCATATTATACATATAATTCCGCCACGGACGGAGGGGTGCGGCAGTCGCAGCTGCGAGGTCTGTGCCAGGTACACCGGACAACACTGGGATCCCCTTTTCGGCCTTCTCGGACTACAAAATAAGGTGCCCCGTGGAAGCGCCCTGATTAATTGACTAATTCGTCCAAATCCAAAATGGTAGCCCAGATTCCTCGTATGGCCTGTCGCCTTATGGCGCTCTTTTTTCTATCGGGGAGTCATTTACTTGAGCCTGTGTCTGCTGTGCGTCTTCGTCCTACCTTTGGCGTAGTTCGTCGGAGAGCCGCCCAACGTCGTCTCGATGTTGCCGAAGGGGGACGCCAAGCGAACGATCTAGCGGAGCTTCGTGCAGAGCGTCACCGACAATTTTCCCACACACGATTGCGAGAAGGACAGCTGGTTGAAGACGAGGCAGGAGCGCGCCAGTTGCAAGCCCGTGAAGATGCTCGCGGTAACCCGGCTAATGGACCTGCCGCTGGTCAACCGGCTCATGGGCCTGCTGGTGGAATAAACCCTTCTAATGGAGGGCCTGCTGGTGGAATAAACCCTTCTAATGGAGGGCCTGCTGGTGGAATAAACCCTTCTAGTGGACCTGCTGGTGGAATAAACCCTTCTAGTGGACCTGCTGGTAACCAAGGTCAGGCTGCTCCAGCAGCCAACAACAACAAGCCACAGAGCCGCACCATGTTGATTGTGTGGTGCATCTGCGGAGGTGTGGGTGGTCTTCTATTCCTGGCTCTCCTGATCTGCTGTTGCTGCAAGTGCAAGAAGTAGCCGCGGAGCTTTTATTGAAAGCTTTGAAGATCTTCCTGCTGGTGAGGACTTGGACTTGAACTGTTGCAAGAAGGAGTGGTGTACTACCTTGATGAAGTGCAGCACGACGTACTTAGAAGAAGGAAGGTACCTGTTCCTGTACAAGAAAGCGAAGTAGGAGAATTATACATAAGTACCTGTAGTACTATCATGTGCAAGCAGCAGAAGTGGGCGGATGAATACCTGTATGTGCAAGAAGTAGAAGAAGTGACCCTGTTGGCGGAGATGGGCCAACTCCCACTAGCGGAGGACCTGTGGCTAGTGGTCAGCAAGGGACTGTCAACCCTGTTGGCGGAGATGGGCCAACTCCCAGTAGCGGATGACCTGTGGCTAGTGGGCACCGCTGCATCCGAACGCCGTTTTTGGTATGCGAAGGGGAACTGCCGGAACAAGTAGGGGTCTGACGATTTTGATTACACTAGGGAAGATCTTTCTGGGCTTACTTCTAGGTGGTAGCGTTTTCTTTCTCCTGGTGTTCTTCTGTTGCTTACGAGTAAAGCAGACATTTTCTTCATTTTACCGTTATGGCACGGGTTTAGTGAACAAAGATCTTAAAATAAGGGTCTCATCTTAATCTTATTCAAATAGCAGAAGCTAGCCAGAACGCTTTCTACTTTCCAAGCTGCATTCGCTCATTTTTAGGGTGCTACAGTTACAGATTGAAAAACTGATACCCCAACTGTAGGCGAGAAGGTTGTCATTGCCATGGCATTGCGCAAGTACATGACAAAAAACGTTCTCTCCCGAGCCCGACATAGCAGAACCACCAACGTTCTCTCCAGAGATAGCAGAACAAAGAAGCATAGCTCTCTCCCGACATAAAATGAACAAAAGGTGCACATGAACTTGGCTTTCTAGCCAAGAACGAACGCCAATCGTGGAACTAAGAACGATCACAGATCCATCGTACGAGTAAGATTACGAGCGGAACAAAAAACTTTGTTCTCTCCACTCGTCTTGGCACTGCCATTGGGAAGGTTCACGATGAAAAATACGCTGCCCAACTGCAATGTGGGGGGCTGTGCAATTTGCTTTTTTAGACCACGATCACTAATCTGAGCACTGCAGTTATTGAGCTCTAGAATGAGCAGTGCATTCCCCAACCGCAAGGTGGGAGGCTGTGCAATTTGCTTTTTTAGACCACGATCATTAATCTGAGCACTGCAGTTATTGAGCTCTAGAATGAGCAGTGCATTCCCCAACCGCGAGGTGGGAGGCTGTGCAATTTGCTTTTTTAGACCACGATCACTAATCTGAGCACTGCAGTTATTGAGCTCTACCAGACCACGATCACTAATCTGAGCACTGCAGTGGCAGGGCTTTCGAATGAAGAACGACCACCAATCGTACAACTAAGAATGACCACCAATCGTTCAACTAAGAAAACAAGAGAATCTGCTAGAGGGAGGATCTACTTCTAGATGAGAGAGGATCTTCTACTAAAAAATGTGATCTCAAACTGAATCCAATGTGAAGATCTCCAATTCTGATACTTTCTCACGGCTCGATCCTGCATATAGTTCTTCTACTAAGCAAGATCCTGATATTTTCTCACGGCTCGATCTTTTCTCACGGCCCGATCTTTCACATAGTTCTTCTATGCATGTAATTAGATGAGATTCTATACGACGCGAATGGGTCGTAAATCAGTCGAACTCGAAGAAGTTGTATCTAAGTAAAAATCTTTCTCATGGCTTGCAAAATTCAAAAGAAAATTAACGCGGTGAAACCCAGAGCTTGTTCTTTTTACTCAAGAACATCTTTTTAAAGATTCATCTTCCCTTTAAGTACGCTCCTGGACTTTCTGAGCCAAAAACTTTTCTTGATCTTCATTCAACTTCAACAAAATACTTCATCTTCAACAAGAACTTTAACAAGAACTTCTTCCTTCCTCGATCATCATCCCGCCCTGGGATACAATACAACGAGAAAAGATGATGCTGTCCCGTCGACTGGCTCGCCCGACTCTTGTGGCTGTTGCGGCTGTGTGCCTGGTGAATCAGACAGCTGCAGTCCCTCTTAATGGACAAGGTCGTGCTGGGTCAGGTAGTTCTGCTGATGTTGTTCAAGCTCCACACGCTTCCGAACACGGGAAAAAGAACAAGCTGAAAAAGCTGTTGTGTGGACTCGGAGTCCTATTAGCGACTGGCTGCACCACGCAGACGCAAGGTTGCTTGGGCCTGGCTACTCACGCAGACTATCGCTTCGTTTTGCCCGGCTGCCTCTCTGGGGACCAAACCGTGAAGGACGGTGATTGGAAGCACACGTGTCTGCAGTACGTCAACAATGCGCATGAAGAACTCGTCAAGCAAGGGCATGAGGAGGGCGACGCTGCCGTGAAAGCTGCCTTCCAGATCGTGAAGCAGTTTCCCGACTGCGCTTGCGAACTGGTGGCCGAACTCTCTCCCGACGCTTCTAAGTTGACTGTGAAACAATTACCAGCCGTGGGAACCATGGGCACAGAATGGCGTGCTGAAGCCCCGCTGAGAGGGGATCCAGCCATGGGGCGTCTGGTGCAACTTTCCTACGCGATGCAGACCAGTCCAGACCTGATGGGAACGTATGTGACAGATTGTGACCCGCATTTTCAGTACTGCCAAGTGCGCAAAGATTTCAGTTTCAATCCCTGGAGCGTGTCGCGATTGAGAAGCTTGATGGAAAACTTGTTCGGTGTGAAGGACATTCTGGCCACGGCGAGTTCGAAACTGCTCAGCGATGAAGCCAGTTTGCTCAAGTTTTTGTTGGAGCAAAGTGTGAAATACAGCTGCGACCCGGCCTCGGCAGACGGCTGTGATAAAGTAGCGCCCCCGATTTATATGCCGGTGGATGATAAAGGCACTGCACCTGCTAGCTGTCGCGCAGTGTTGAACTACATGGCCTATGACTCTGGGGGAAAGTTCGGCAACCCTACAGAGGCCGCTCAAAAGCTGTTTGTGCACTCACTCGGTGGCTGCAACAAGTTCGGCGTGCGCGGGCAGCCTTGGGTGCTCGGTGACGAAGAACTGCTTGGGGAGAAAAGCTCGAACTCCTTGGTCCGTCGGTTGCCAGAGGACAACAACGCAGCGACCATTGTAGGCCTCTCTTTAGAGGACTATGAGGAGAAATATGCTGTTGCCTACGGCTGGAGTGATTCCTACGCTCATACGCAGGGCCTCCCCGCGAACCCCAGCAGGAGCCAGAGCGGTCCGCAAAACGGCGGTGGCGTGGACTCCCTAGCCTTCGAGAATGCTGTTACCAGCGGTGCTTTTCCGGATGCCAAAGTGTTTCGTGTTTACTCAAACAGCCAGTGGGATGGGAACTCTGTCTTTCCTGCCAAGGCCTTGCGTGCTATCTGGGACACGCGTGCAGACGCTAAAGTTCACCTCGACATCGGCTGGGATGGAATTCTGTGGTATGGTGGGGCCGGAGACATTGAGCAGTGGGTCAAGGAGTTCTACGAAGGCATTGTGGACACAAATAGTGGCATGACTGAAGAACGCGTCTTGCAAATCGAACAGATCATGATGTTCAACGAGCCCACCTGCAATGACGCTTTCTCCGGTTACGATATGATATTTGACAAGTTCGAGCTCGCGGTAGGCTCGTTGTGGGCACAAGCTGAGACCATACTGGGAGCATGGGGCTGGAAGAGGGCAGTGTGGCACATCCGCAATCAGATGAGATATACGATTGCCCATTGCGATAATGGATTGGTAGTTGCAGCAAGAGATGAGCATGGAAATCCCACCTGGAAGTTCAATACTGAGATGATGAGAACGTCCCCAGAGCGAATTGCGAAGCACCTCAACTGGCTCGGGGATCACAATAACAGTCCCTTCTCTTGGAACGTGTACCGCGATCCACTCGCTGGCCGACCTAAGTCGGAACTCTTTGACGCGCAGCGTACTCTTCAAACAGCAACTCTGCAATTTTTTGCTGCTTGTGAAAACGCGTTTCTCGACGGCAAGGTGCAACCTCGTGCCTACGATGGGCAGCCGAGGACTCTGATCCCTCCCTTCTCTGGAGGAGGACTGGAGATGTATCCAGCCTTGAGTTTCGGAGAAACGGGTCGTTACGGAGGGAAGGAATACCAGATGAGGTACTCCCTAGGCGCCTGGGCAGCGATTCAGGGGCCAGCGAATAGAGACGCTTTCAGCGTGGGGCTCACTGAAAAAGAAAAAAAAACGCACGACGCAGTCCTCAAAACGATGAAGGAAGACCACTCCACCCGTGAGGCATGCAAACGACGAAATTTGCCCACAAACTGGCAACAGCAGCCGACTGGTGTGCGGTGCGTGACGTTGTTCCAGACTAACAATGAACCGGGGAAACCAGATAGATCCGTCTTGATAAACCCACACTCCTCGAATGGGGCGATCAAGCCCTGGGCTGGCGGTGTAGAGTCCTGGATTCGTGGCCATCGAGGTGGATGTGGACAGGATTTTCCTCACGGGAACACGTCGATGTCCGATAACGGAAACCCGCCCGCAGCTTCTGCTACTATCGCTCAGGAGAATGAACATGCTCGCAAATTCCTTGCAGCTCCAACACAACCACCAGGCAACAAAGAAGTAACTGTTTGAGCGCAAAATCATAGATACCTCTTCAGCAGCTAAAAACTAAAAAATACGAAATACTAATAACTTAGACATAAGCTTAGTCTTATGTTGTTAACAACACACAGTGTTAAACTAGAAGAAAAGGGAAAAAAGAAGACGCAAAGAAGGAAGAGAGAAAGGCATAAAGCAAACAAGAAAGATCGAAGAATAAGTGAAGGGAGGGGGGGAAAAAAAACGCCTTTTGGAAGTATAATTAAACGGTACAAGGAGCAAAGAAACCTTTTGATCTAGGTCAAAAGATACCTCCAGACCAGGTAAATGAATGAATGAATGAAAAGTCTTATGTTGTTAACAACACACAGGTTAACTAAAAGCTGCTGGAAATAGTTTTCTTAAAAAGCAAGCTGTGCATTGAAAGAAAAAAGGCTCCTTTGCAACTTCTTCCTCGGCATTTGCCTCTGCGTTGTGTCTCTCACACACCAAACAACACCGCTTTTGGTAAAAAACTGTACTGTCAGATCTCGTCGCTACATCACGAACTACGATGAGATCAAGTGGAGACCACAGTATGCATGCTCGCAAGAGAGCACCAGACTTTTTGAGAGCACCAGACTTTTTGAGAGCACCAGACTTTTTGAGAGCACCAGACTTTTTGAGAGCACCAGATGACTTTTATTTGAGGGTCCAACCAGAGAGGGTCCAGAGGTGGTGGAGTGATCAATTATATTGTTTACATTGGTACACGGACAGTTGGTAGATGAAGATGATAGAACACAATAGTAGAGGACTGAACACTGAACTACAGAGAAGGAGAACTGCAACAACTCATCGGAGGACAACATCTAGAGCAGACAACTAGATGTGCAGTAGTGAAGAAGTGCAACTCATCGGAGAACAGCTAGAAGTACTTTGTTTTTAGTGCAGCAGTGGTACTTTAAATTTGCAACAAATAATAGGAACATGTATTACCTCGTTTTCCGACCACGTCTTCACAAGAAGGCTCCTCTTTGTCGCCCCCTTCGCCAAGGTAGCCTTCTATTGTCATGGTTCGCGACAGCTATTCACCTCTTTTTAAGGCTCAATATGACATAGTTCATTTCTACAAGGCTTGAAGTTTCTTGTAGTACAAGCCCTTTCTCCCTATTTTCTACTTGGAATCCACCTCGGGAGAAATATAGGGAAGAAGTGAATTGGTTTGAGCTCTAAGAATTGGAGTCATCTTGTTCGTCCGCTTTGAAGATGCATCTCATGTCTTTGATGTTTTTGCTCACCTCACGAAAGCGGACGATCTCTGTTGGACATTACCGCATTTTGAGGAGGTGCCACCGACGCAATTTTAAGGCTACTAGAAGTCTACTTTTCACTATCCCATACTAGAACGAAGTCTACTTTTCACTATCCCATAGCTAGGAACCAACTCCACTCCAGCACTCTCGTCTCAGCAGCCAGAGTCCACATCCATGCGCTAACGATTGTGCGAAAAAGGAAGCACTGAGTTTACCTCGTTGCCTCCAAAGGATCGTAGCGAGTTCAAGTGGAGACAAAAACTACATTGGAACGTGCACTCAAATGTGCCTGTCAATCAACATGTTCCAGTCGGTCCACCTCCGGTCTTTATGGTGCTACTTTTACTTACTACTGTCAACATAATTCTTCAGAAAAGAATTTGTCAATACGTAAACTCAGGACAATCGTGAAAAATGCTCTTGATGAAAAGGCGACCTGGTAGTTGTCTAATATTTCCTTGATTATACCTCGTCCTCCCTACTTTAGAATATTATTGAATAAGCTATCATTATACCTCGTCCTCCCTACTTTAGAATATTGAATAAGCTATCATTATACCTCGTCCTCCCTACTACTTTAGAATATTGAATAAGCTATGATCTCTTCTAATATGATGTCATTGAGCACTGAGGGGAACAAGATCATTCTCGATCTGGATCATGTCTTGTCAGATCATTCCTATCCCACCTCGTCTACTTCGAGGACTCGGGCAGCACAAGCACAAGGCGAGTCTTCTAGCAAGAGGAGTGCGCCATTAAGGAATCAGAATTACATAGAAGTTTTCTTCTCTGCCACCTCTAGACCACTGGCGAAAAAACTAGTATAATTACCACTACTACCGCAGAAGGATTATCAAAATCATCATGTATTTGAGTAAGACCGATAGAAGATGAAGATTCCCGGAGGCAGCTCTTTCATAATAGACATGATTGTTCTTGGCTCTTTTTAGAAGCTCTACTTCTAATTCGAGAAGAATATTTCTCAGCTCCAGCGCTACGTGGTGCACGCGCGGCAGTTCGAAAACTGCTCGCTTTGAACTACGACGTCACTATTCTTACCGCAAGACTGCAGTTGGACGAAAAGTTCTTCTGCTCGATGTCGAAGCGGAGTAATCCGAGTTCGAGGATGTTAGCTATGTCTCTTGTCGACGACCTCTCAGACTTGCGCTGTCATCGTCGTCATCCACCTCAACAGGAGCAACAGCATCAGAATATAAGGGGGGAAGAAGAAGAAGGTCTCCATGAAAGCTCGCCTACTGCGAAAAAAAGTACTTCATCTAGTAGGGTAGTAGAGCAGGTTGAGGTAAGGCAAGCAACAGAGCTGATTCCAATGTGGCTTAGGAAGCGGGGCTTTGTAGAGGATCTAGACGACGTAAAAGTAGTGAGCGAGGAAGACGATCATTCAGAAGGAAGAGGTTCAAGAAGGAACAGGAGCAAGAACTTTAGCAACAAGAACTTTTTGAAGTTGCATGTTGTCCGAACCTCTGCGGACAAATTACCGTATCTGCGGAAGCATTGTGGACGTGGCGGAGGTAGAACTAGAAGTAGTAGTGCCTCTGGACGAGGAAGTGCAACAGCTTCTACTGCGTCTCATTCACTAACAGAGTCTGGTCGTAGATTAGGGGTTGAAACATTTCATTTTTACATGCTTTTCTCGCTTAAGATTGTTTTTTAAAAATGAAATGCTTCAACCTTTAATGTCTGCGTCATCTCTCCTGTCAACAATAGAAGAAGATACAGAGGACTCTGGTAGTTTTAGAACAAGTAGTACGTCCTGTCTGTTGATCGATGACCTGCGTTTGAATTGGGAAGCTTTTGGTGCTTCCTGGGAACCAGAGCGTCAATTAGAGGGTACCTTTCTCAATCGGGAATTACTAGAAACTTTGCGTTCCGAGAAGCCATTGTCTGATAGCTTAGTTATGGATGATGTTCATTCCATCCCTAGCCGTACGACCATCGAGGCTCCCCTCAGTGGTCTATACAAGAACGTTTTCAAGGAAAAAAAGGGTAGCCGTGATGGTCCTCTGGCTACATGATGGAATCATGGACGGGATTCATATTAGTGGTAGAAGTTTTTGACGATAGGGGTTGCTATGGCGGTATTCAGAACGATTGGAGTAGGATCTTTGACCGATACGGATTTGAACAAGGTCAAGAAGAAAACACGAGCAGGACGAGTGTATCATCTATTACGGACGGGACCCTAATGACCCATCTTCGGAGAAGTCATCTTCGAAGGAAGTAAAACTAAAAAACGTGCACTCATATTTGAAGAGGCTATGCTCCGTGAATGGGTACATCAATCAATCAATCAATCAATCAATCAATCGACGTCCGCAAGGGGAGCACGGTCTCAGGATTGACTTCGGGTGGATGGATTAGGGTCCTGAGCTCTAAATCTGGTTCACTCGTCTCAACATCTTCAACCAGAAAAAGTACTATGATCTTCAGCACCACTCCTGCACCACCTCCTACCACTCCTGCACCACGCGGTCAATTATCCTATGCTGATGCCTCGAGTTCCACGTCTACAACTGGCATTAAGGGTAGGCTAAATAGGTGTTCCCCCTGGTATAGTGTTTGTTTTGCTTCTCCTAAGGGAAAAAGGCACAAATAACAAACGGGAAACAGAAACACCAAAAGCCTACCTCTAATGGTAGAAAACTTCTACTGCCAAATGTTCCAGTTCCTGATACTCCAACTTTCGCGGTTGTGTCCTCTTTTTTCGAAAAGGACGCTTTGAAGTCTCTCACTTATACGGGAGACGAATCTTTTCGCTATGTGGAAGAACTGTTTTCACCGTATTTGAGACGCGTCTATGACCTTTCATTAAGGCTAGTACCGCTGATGAAGCATCCTCAACGTTCTTATCCTTGGCCTCTTTTTCAGGGCGAAAAAAGGCGCAAGAATAAGCTCAGGGATGCGACGCGGTAGCTCTAATTTCAGCTGCCTCTCTGGTATGGGTGCAATACCAAAGGTGTGGACCACATTTGGACGTTTGGAGGAAAGTTATGTCGAGATAATTACTGCATCTGCAAGAGGTGGCACTTAGTAAGTTGTTGATTGCATTTCCACCGCGACTCTTTTTAACACTCAGTGACATCCAAGACGAAGTACAACTGTGCTGAGTCAGAGTTATCCAGACAAAAGATTTGATATTTAATTATAAGACTTTTGGTTCTTCTAAAGAAAAAAGAGCTCTCCTAGATCTAGTGCCGCTGTGGTTCTTCTGAGTCGGAGTCTTCTCTTGTTCTAAAGCACAGGAGTTTTGGCACGAGCACAAAATGCTTGATGCCAGATCCCTGGTATCGACGATTCCCGGCAGTTGTGAGGATCACTATTCCAAGGACCGACTGTGCCGGAATACCAGAAAGCTTACATTAGAAATTCGGAAGAGATTCTCTTTCGTGCCTCCAGCATTCAAGTCCAAGGAAGGCGATCACCAGCAAGCACTAGGTGGCGAACCTTTCCATCTTTCTTCAGCAGGAGCAGACAGAAAAAAGAACTCCAAGGAAGCTTTCGAACCAGCTGCATTGGTAGAAAAAAGCGATCAGAAGGTTGTAGATGATGTTTTTAATATTCCTTATTTTCTTTCGGATCCTGAGGGGTGGAAAGAAGGAGAAAGCGGAACTGCGACAAAAGCGTATTTAAATGACGAAAATTTTCGCGGTAAGAGTAAAACCGTTGAGAACGCTGCTCTAAAGGCATTTCGCGAGCAGGAGCATGAGCTGGGTGGCATTGTTCCATGTTGGGTTCTAGATAGTGAAGCAGAGTATAAGGAGATGTACCGCTTTCTAGAAGCCTCGGACCATATCAACAACAACAAGCGTGATGTTGAGCAATACTTTATTCTGAAGCAGCCACGTTCTGCTGGTGGTAGTGGGACAGTGATTCTGTCTGGTAAGCAACTAACGAGTGAGCACTGGCGGTCGGTTCTGGGACGTCAAATCTATGGACGTGCCACCGGGTTTGACTGCGCAGAGCCTCCGGAGAAGACTACCGCTATCGCTGGTGACGAAGTGATTACGGTTCAGAAGTATTACATTGACCCCTTTATCGCCGAGGACCCGGCAGAAAGGAAGGAAATTTTACAAACCGACAAACGTTTGATGGATACGCTGAACAGAGTGCTGGGAGAAGTTGTACCAAATGATGATTCTCAAGATGTTGTTGGAAATAGAGAACAAACACAAACAATAAGTAAAGGTAGAGGTAGGAGTACAGATGAAGCCGAAGGAAATGCACTTGAAGCTCAGCACGGAGAAGGAGCCTCCTTCTCCTCTGGAAGAAGCACCAAGAAATTTCACAAAATAGACTTGCGGCTCTATGTGGTACTACGAACAGACCCCTTACGGATTTACGTGCATAGAGACGGCTGGCTCTGGATGGCTCAGAAGGAGTGGACTATCGATGACCTGCAAGATGAAAACGGAGAAGGGAAAGACGATAAGAAAAAGACGATAAGGAGGAAGGACGAAAACAAAGCTGGTCGTGCATCATCTCTCAGTTCCACCAGCACAGCCAATGCCAGCACCTTTGACCCTTTCGTACATCTGACGAATCGTGGTGGCTTATCACCGACACCCGATGGCATACTTGGGTCAGCTTACCTGCAAAGCACCAATTCCACGCAAGCTTTGCTGCGACGAAGATTGTTCAAATGGCGGCGTGGTCGACGCACGAGTATAAAAGATTTCGTTTCGCGACATAATGTCGACGGAGAATTGTTGCTTCCGACAAGAGCTAAGTATACCTTCAAGGATACAACATCTCCAGCTACTTCACCTACATCTACTACACGAGGACCTTCTTCATCACCTTCACTCTTTTCTAGATGGAGGGGAGTGTGGGAGCGAATCAAGCGGAACATAGCCCGCGTGATCCTTTCTTATGCTCGGAATGAGGAGTGTTTGGGCGGGAAATATTTGAAAAAACGACCTGGAGAAAGCAGCGACCCCAACTACAACTATAAGTATGCCGCGTCTCTCAATCTCGAAATCCCGCGTCTTTGCGGGCGATTTTTTTCGTTTTATGCTGTAGACGTTTTGTTATCACGTGACTTGGAGACCGCGCATATCATGGAGATTAACAATGATCCGAGTTTGCTAGCCTATGGCGAGCTTCAACCTGATAGCCGGATTGAGGAGGAAAATTGGAGACGCGACCTCGCAAAATACGAAATGTACACAGCAGTATATCGCGATGCGATGCGCTTGCTTGGTTTGGTTCTTGCAGAGGACGACATGGAAGAAGAAGTAGTTTAAGGGTAGTTTATCACTATCATCCCGTGTGGACTCTGCTGGGTGGAGTCCTCCTTGATTTAAAGGGGCACTTCACTCGGGATAGTGAAAAACTTCTGCCTCTAAGAAGTAGATGTAGAGGGAAATTTGTCTAGAAGTAGTAGAAGTAGTACTGGGGGTGCGCAGGTGGAGAAAGATGAAAATTTGTCTGGATCATGGAGTACTAGTACTGGAGATCAAGATCATGGACATGGAGACGTAAGACTATCTGACTCTGACGAAGACCATGTTGTATCAACAAGAACCAAGCAAGAAAAAGGAAATCCAAAGGACCTCAGCTCCTCCAACTGGATGTCCACCTACAACTCTTTCTTGTCTGCAGAATTTGAGAGGCGTGGCGGTTATGATTTAGCTTTTCCGCCTCCAGATGGGGACTTTGAAAAAGCAGGGTTTGGCGTCTGGTTTGACAGGTATTTTCGAGATTTTCAAGATCGATTTGCGGGAGATGGGTTGGCAGCACGTGTACAGTTGCTCGCAAATGACTACTCGACCCTCGGTGCAGGCTCTTCATCTAGTTCTACTTCTATAGTCGAGGAGGAGAAGGACACTCATGGTTTTCGGTACACAGTTTTTATTCCGGAGACCTTGCCGATTTGGCCAGGAACTGGGCTGAAGCGCGAGGTAGATGCCGTCTGTGCGTCAAGCCTGTGGCTGGACGCCCGAGCGAGGTTACAGAATGCAAAAAGAAGAGGTGGGAGACTGAGATTAGATGACGCGGAACAGTCGTTCATTCAACTGGAAGAAGGGAGACTGAGATTAGATGCCGCGGAACAATTGCAAATTGCAAATGACGGAAGCAGCACGAAAAAGCCTGCAGAGCGAGACAACAGCCCGGCTGCGGACGATAAGCCATCATTAGACGAAGAAGAAGAAGAGGCTTTTCACCTAGCTTCGGATGTTGAAGGAGAGGACAACGATACGCGTGAAGAAGATGAGCAGGAGGTTGAGCAGCAGCCATCTACGTCGCCAAGGCCAACAACTTCTGGTAGAACTTCTACTCGTCCTCCTACCACTGCTACTAGAGATAATACAATAACAATGAGTTCAAGTTCTTCGTCTACAACTACGAGTAGTATTGGGCAGTCTGACTCGTCCGCCTTTTCTGTCTGTGTGGATATTGCTTTAGAAAGGGAAGCAAGGAGACAATTCTTGTCTCACACTCACAGTCTGGCTCCCTCTGCCCACAGTCCTAGGGTTTATGCTGAGTCTACCCTGTGCGTCTACGAGGAGTTATGGAGGCACATCCTGCGACATCCACGACGCTGTATTAAGGCTAGTTCCTCCACTTTTACCCATGTGGACCTGGACTATGTATGCTGAGTGGATTGGGATTCCCCTTAGGGAATCCAAGGGGGAAATCCAAGGGGAAAGCAGGCCAGTCACTCAGCCACGCTGCATAGTGATGCTCTAGCGTTAACTCTACTAGGGACGACCAGGATTTCAACTCGAATGGCGTTCGCGATGTTCGGGTCGGTACTACTGTTGTGGCTGGGCGTGACGTCGGTGTTGGAGACGTGCATAATTTCTTTGCTGTTAGTCCAGAATTGATGAAGCCACGAAGCAATGTAGAAGGATTTGCTACTGCTCAACGAACTTCTGTTACTACTGCTGTTTCTACTTCTTCCAGTTCCACTACGACATCAACGACGACTACTACACTCGTTGTAGTACTACCTCCAAGAACGGGTAGTCCTCGTAGTTCTACAAGAACCGCATCGGAAAAAAAGTTCTTGTTTCCTGATTCGGCCGAGCTCTTCCGGAAAACGCACATTCTCATTTTCGGGAAAACAGGGAAGAAGAAGAAAAAGAAGGAGAAGAACAACCACGAGACAAGACAGGAGGAGCATGACGTAGCAGATTTCGATCACGATAGTGTAGGACCGAGCGCTCGTGGAAGCTTCTCTTATTAAGGGTTGTTGAAGCATTTCTGTATTAAGTATTTCATTTTCTTGCGCTCCTCTATCCTTTACCTACATTCATTTCTTTTACTTTTCCTAGTTAGTTTGGCTCCACCCATTTTATGCAAGGAGGCTTCCTTTTCATTTGAGATTGCTACAACTAAAAAATGAAAGGCTCCTTCAGCTTCAACCTTGATCTTTAATCCTCCACCTCATCTGGAGACCACGGTGAGATCGGTGCATCTGAGTCTCGGAAAAACGGTGTAGCCCAGCTTCAGGAAGAAACGCGAAGGCGTCTTTTAGAACTCTCGACAACTAGTGTGACAGTTCTCTCAGATGACGATGATGAGCAGTTGTCCAGTGATGTTGTAGCGCCTTCCTCCAGCGTAAACAACAAAATCGAGCGTGATTCCTTTGGCGCTCCTGTGGACGAGGAGGACCTAGTTATGGTGCCTAGTGGCCAACGTGGCTTGCTCGCGGACGGCACACAATGGGAAGGACAACTGCGTGTACAACTATGGCCTCGTCCGAATTGCTGAAGAAGCAGTTCATTTCTAAATAATCTACTAAATTCTACAAGCTTTGTTCTCGTTACAAAAAAACGATGCTTTCTAGTTCTGAAGTTCATTATAATCTGCAACTAAAAATAGCGTTATTCTGAAAGAACATGAATACCAAAATGAAGTAGTTCTTTAATATTACTTGTTGTGATCTTACTCTTACAGAAGTAACTACATTTCTTGTTCTTGTATTGAGAAATGTTGAACTGTACTCCTATGCTTCAAGAACTTGAATGATTCAACCTGCTTTAATGGAAGGCGGAAAGAGACGTCGTCTAGGCTACTTTGAAGATGCAGCGAAAATACGACTGCCTTTTCAGTTGTCAGAAATCGGCATTTTTGAAGAGTCGAACATACATGTTTTTTCGGAGCTACCGCGTTCGATAGCTGAGGATCCTCGTTACGCCTGGCATCAAAACCGCACACACGAACGCGGATACGGCCATTGGTTTTGGAGACCGTTGCTGTGCAAGTACGTCATGCAAAACTTCATTAAGAGAGAGGAGAAGTGCTTGTTTGTAAGGCTTAGACATTTATTTTCCTATCACGAAGATAGACAACTCGTTTGTAACACTTGTCTAACTTGAAATAAACGAGAAGGGGAAATAAAGATGAGATGCACTTCTTGCACACAAGAATAGTTTTTCCACACAACTTCTTATCTTTTCTACATTCTTTCATTTTTGTGAAAGGTGGTGCTGAAGCTGATGGAATGTTGCTCTACATCGACGCTGGCATGGAGGCGCGGGATGGGCCAATGAGCCGAGTGAAATGGGAACTATTGTTGTTAAGGCTTCTGGGAATCCACGTCCAGCACCATCTAATAGAGTGACTTAGCTCGTCTTAGCGCTGTAGGTAATAACCCAGTGGCCCTAGCCACGGGACCAATGACGTTAGCCAGTTAAGGCATCTACTTCGGGCACGTGAGGGAACAAAGATAGACCAAGAAAGATGACTCTCAGGCTTGCTTCCGGAAAGAGGATCTAAGGTTGCGTACTATGTGGGGAAAAACGGGCAGCACAACAAGAACAACGACGTCTGATGACCCATCTCGGCAAGATGAACAGAAGGGCTTCGATTTGAGTAGTGTTGTTGGTGTACGGGAGACTGACCGATTGGCGAGAAGGGAACAAGAGTGGAAGACGGAACAAGAGTGGAAAACTTCTTCTTTGCTGGTGGGAAATAGTACAAATGGCCTGGTGGAGGTGGAGGACTCAGACTCACAAGCACATTCTGAAGGAGCAGTTGTACAAACCATGTTGTTGAACAAGAACAAAGCGTCCTCCAGTAATATTAATCTTGTTAAAGAGGGCCGCAGCGTGCTTGGGCTACCAGGGCTTACGCAAAGAAAGCAGCTTGTACTTCTTAGAAATGTGAATGTAACTGACATGAGCCCGACAGGCCTTGGGGGACTCTTCTTCAATGACGATGGTACTCCGAAAAAGCACAAAGATGGAGGCATTAGAAAAGCACTTGAAAATGATACAGAACACGACAAGGCTGGTGGAGGCACAAAAAGTATAACTACACAATCCACAACGACAAGTCCACATCCACCTGACGTGATTGCTTTTGCCTTTCCTAATGAAGTCTACACCGATCAAATGTTCGCCAGGGCTGACGTTTTCCGGTACATTTTTCCTGAGGCAGTTAATGCGGGCACATCCTCATCCTCTCCAATATCTTCATCTGACGCTTCCACATCTGCATCTAGACTTACTTCTAGAGACGACTCTAGGAAGATAACAAGCGCAGACCCGTGGCATGGTCAGACGGAGCCGATTGTCGGTACGATGTTCGCCTTGCGGTATTCTTCTGCGTCTATACAGTTCCTCGATTATCTTGCGGAATTGCAGAGCAAACCACGCCTAATCGGGCTCGATAAGGAGTTCCCGCCCTATCGCTCACGGCCACCAGACAGCTATGTGGAAACCAAAGTTCAGGGAGTGATGTCGCAACTAATCAAAGTTAAGGGTTATCAAATTGCATTCTGCAATAACATCCCTGACTCTTTTCCAACTAGGAAAGACGTCAAGTAGGATGTGAACTGAAGAATGTAATTGCGCAACCTCTAACGAAGCGAATGAAGTGTTGACGCGTCGCGCAGTCTGTTCACATCCTGGTCTCGCAGTGAGTGGACGTGCTAAACTCCAAAGGGAGAAGCTGATGGCATTGATCCCACCCGTCTACGCTGAAGATCCTCGGTTAAATCAGGCAGCCCACAGGATAAGAGAATTGATCTTTAAAGTTAAGGGTTCTTACCTCCACAACGCATTTGCATTCCTCACCACCATTTCCCTAGCCGCTCGTTTTCCAGCAGGAAAAAAGGGTTCTTGTCAGGGAAGATCGCGATCTGAAGATGAATGCAAAAATGTCCTCCCTGATGTCGCGTCAACCTCAATAAAATCTAATAGAGAAACAAGTGCCAGTTTGCATCGACGTGTGGGCAGTCTCTTCGTAGACCAGGGAGTGCAGGATGGCATCATGTCCATGAACGAGGATGAGAACTCTGATGAGAAAGAAAATACCAATCCCGGAGCCGTAGTATGGAAAGGTGCAGCTTTTGTGGGTAATGTAATGGCCAGGCATAATTAAGGTCAACATTTAGTGTCCATCTTTCTCGGCATCTCGGTACCCTTTTCCCTTCTGTATTCTCATGAAATACAAGGTAAAAGGGACGATCAAGATCATGAGGGGGCCGAGCAGATGCAATCTAGCAGACTCTAACATAACGAGGAGAACCAAATTGATCATGGGGACGACGACGAACTACAAAGACACCAAGTCCAAGATGGTGGTCCTCAACATACAAATATCTTTCACGAGCAAGAGGATCTAGTGCAGAGAGTCTCATCAGCTGGGGACCTCCAACATAGCCATACAGCATATGTCCGTACCCGTTTCCGTATCCCTGGGCTTCGAACTTTAGTTCTGCCGTCTTTTTTCGAGGGTTTTCGAGGTGAGCAGTTCATCGCAGCAATGCGGAGTCAGGGTTACTTGCTAGTTTGTAATGCTGCTAGGAGACGAGAGATGCTGCGAAAGCAGTGGAGCGTGTGGCGCCATAGGGGTTTACTACCACAAATTCATGAGGACGACGTGAAAAAGCCAACAGGAGGAGACGACAGATCAGACGTGGTCGAGGATCTTAGAACAAGAGAGAGTAGACAAGATCCAGATCTAGATCAAGACGCTTCCACATCATCTTCTTCATCGAGAACATCTTCTTCTTCGACGATTTCCACCAAGAACAAGAACGCCATCCGTGAGTTTCTCGACGTTTGTGTCGCTTATGTTCGCACGCATCGGCCGCAAGAATACTATACACACCAACAAGGCTTTGAGGCATTGCTAGCTGAGGCAAATGACAAAGGACTTCCGGTTTCTATTTCTGCTCTGAAAAAGCTTCGTAGCCCCGACGACTGGAACTATTTTGGTTATCCTGCCTTACATCAGGGTCTAGTCCGTGGCTCCGATAGCTGGAAACCTCACCTGCGAGAAAGTTATAGGCGTTATTGCTTGTCGCGGATGTTTGGGGTAAGGATTGCGAGTCCACAACATCCATGGGCGTCGCAAGTTTTTCCTAAGAGCTTAACTTCCACTACGACAAAGGACGAACTTGAACGAGAAGGAGAACAACGAGATCTCGATGATTTTGCTGCGCACCATCACGCGAAGCAACGAAAGCGGCAACAGGGCTTCATATTTGGTTTTTTCACAGAAGGCGAGGCAATCACAGAGTCATTGCGAGATATGGTGATGGGACAGCGGGAATTCGTCGACGATCCGGTGGGTGTGGGAAAGCCAGATTGGTCCTCTCCTGTAAATGCGGTGGGAAAACCAGAGCAGTGGTCCTCATCTTCTGGAGTTGCTGCAAGTAGTAGATCCAGAATGCTAGTACCTCGCCTACCATTCTCAGCATTAGGTAGTGCGGATTTGATGCTTGTGTTTCGTCAGTTGCGATTCGTGCTGGTCCTGTGGCCTGAAGTACAGCTAGCCTTGGTCCGTTTGCTATTCGTAAAATGGTCCAGTCAGTACGTGAGGGAGCAAAATTATGTTGAAGCCGCCAAAGTAGATCGGCGCCAAAAAAAAACACATACTTCTCGTCCCATAGCAGAAGTTGACACCAAGTTGGAAGCAATCAAAGGGGACCATGATGTAGCCGAATTCTTCGAGTCCCTGTTTCCAGAAGTAAGAAAACATCGGGGAGAGGAACTGCTACTCCTAGCGAAACTTGTTGTAAGGGATGCATTGTCAGTGTTGCTATGGATTGAAAGGCCTTGGGAATTTCATGCAGAACTACAGACCGCTCCTCAGGAGCTTAGGCGGTTGATGAAGATTGAGAAAGATGCAAAAGGAGCTTTCATCTCTACAAGAAGTGGTAGCCAGAACAAACTCTCCTGTGGTGGACAAGAAGAGCGGTTGAGAGCTTTCGCTACTGGTAGCCAGCAACCCTCCTGTGGTGGACTTGGACAAGAGGAGATTCCTACTATATTAAGCGAGAAGATAAGCGACGGGGACGAGGATGCTCCGGGTTTCTACACAACACTGTTATCGGAAAGTGATTACCGCAGAGCGGTTGTAGAATTTGGGTATGCAAGAACAGGAACAGATGAACATTTCGATAAGCATGTGGGCAGCTTGTGGTTTTCTGTTGCTGCGGCAGTGTTAGTTTGGGGCACGTCACACGTCCTAGAAACAAACCGCGTCTTCGCTGAGAGGTCCTGGAAATTCCAAGATCTAATGCAGTCTAGGTGGATTGACTTTTTCTTGCCAGACTTCATAGGACAGGATGTAACAGCTGCGAGCAACATCACGTATACTGAAAAACGGACTTACCCGGTAATAGATTTCGCGGCAATCGTTAGGGGTCGTGACGACGAGGGGTCTGCAACTGGTGATATCACATTCACAACGACTGATGATATAGATATTACTAGTAGAAAACAACGAGGTCGCTTCAGTCTCGGTGTTCCACCAGCTTTCAAAGGGTATTTGCCTAGATATACCCGATTGATGAAGTTGATAGCACAAGGGGTGCACGATGGGACGTATGTGCCTCTGGTTACTGACGCAGGAGAGGACGAAAAAAACGGTAGTTCACAACTGTGGACAACTACATTAGCATCGTCCTCTACTCCTTCCCCTTCATCTTCTAAAAGAAGAAGCACAGTTTCTACTTCTCCTTCTTCTAGTACCAAGACCACCACCATCAGAAGTTCTAGGTTTCCCTTACCAGTATATTCCGAGTTTCATCGGAGTCGTGTGGAGCAGTGGTTCGATGTCCGTGATGAGGCGGAGCTTGCTAAGGAGCTTGCTAGAGGCCGTGCCTTGGAGCAATCGAATTTGGTAGCAAGGATCTCGAATGGAAGAGACATATGTTAAGGCTTCAAGAAATCGAAATTGTCCTAACTATAATCCATCTGTTTCTTAGACAGGAAGAAGTCCTAGTTTGTTATCCATCTTTCTTAGACAGGAAGAAGTCCTAGTTTGTTATCCATTTTTCTTTGCCATTGCCAGCATCTTGATTATGTCCGTTCTCAGGTCCTCTGATAGGGATAGTGAAGACTACGGGCAACAGGATGCTCCATAATGAGTGTAAGTATCTCCAGGACGAGTCCGGGGGAGCGCGATGTGAAGGACGATGTGTAACCTAAGAAGTGAACGAGCTCTAACTATGGCTATCAGATGGGTTGCCGCTTTGTTTTTTCGAGGACGGTTTTGATCTCTGCCTTTTAGAGTATCAGAAATTGAGCTGGACTCGTGCTTTCGAACTAATGGAGCCTTGTTCTGGACTGAAGCCTTTTCCACACGTCCCTCTCCTGCTCTTGCGTTTTCCAGAGGCAAGTATGCAAGAGCATTTTACATTAAGGGTTCTTGCAAGTTGACCAATCTGAGCACACTATAATCTACATTAAGTAACAAGTACCATCTCTCCTGAGTGACCTTTTCAAAAAGGGAAAAGGATAGATGTCGTGGATGTGCGAGCTAGATAGGTCGACCACTCGCAATCCCTAACTCCAAGTTGGTACTTCGTGCGCTATACCACCGAAGTGCTCCAATTAGTGCGCAGTAGCACAAAAATCTACGAGGAAGCTGCAGAATCGTGATTGACATTTGAGGATCTTGGACACGTTTGTTGCATTGGATTGTATGGCTATTTATCTTTTTGAGCACAACGCATCACCTTGGACACGTTTGTTGCATTGGATTGTATGGATTTAGAATCAGATGGACCACCAAAAAAAGAAGAGAAAAAGAAGAAGCAATAAATATCTCTTCAACATCGACCAACGTCTTCCCAGGCACATCAATCAATCAATCAATACTGCTTCGGCATAATCACAACATGGAGCAAGTCTGTTGTGAATAGAGCTACATAGGGGCTGTTATTGATTGAGAGTTTTCGGTCATGCGCCCATGTGTTTGAGAGGTAGAGCCAGAAAATTATGAAGTGCGATGAATCTTTTGTTGTGACTGAGTGCTTGAAAATGAAATCCTATCGGAGAGAAGAGAAGGAGAGTAGAGCCGAAGACTTCTTTTCGGCATTCTTGCAACAAGAGCAACAAAGATTCGCATTCATAGTAAAGAGGATGCCATAGCCATTTTGAATGAATAAAAATAGAGGCAATGCTAGCGTATTATTGGGACAAAAATGTTGTGCTCTGGCCTAATGACACGCGGGAAATGAACCACAAGCAATCTCATACATCATAGTTACTCTCGCAATTTTCAGATGTTGTGAAAATTATAAGAGTGGTCTAAAGATACATGCTGCAGCCCGCCTCATATAGCCAGCGGCACGCAGGGAGCACCGAAGACACGGCGACCAGCACCCTGTCCCGAGCTGCAAGATAGGAGGGGAGAAATCAAAGATGAACAAGATATTTGGAGTCGTGGACATCATATGATCTGCACCGGTGAGTGGAAAACCGACACCTTCTTCAGCACCAAGACCTCCAAGATCATCAAGATATTCAGGACCCATCAACTACTCTATCAAGATCAACAAGATGAAGTTATCTGTCCTAGATTGGATCGACCGGCTTGGGGTCGGTCTAGCTCAGCTCAGGGTTTGCCTAGCAGGAGGCGGAGTCTGGTCCGCAGATGGCGCTGAACTCCTGCTCATATCTTCAGTTACTCAAGCTCTCGCGAATGAATGGTATTGTTTAATAAACAGTTGTGGCGAAAGAGTGAATGGCATCTCAATATCTTACCTGATCCCTTCTAGTCGAATACGAGGACTTAGAATTTGAAGACATATTGAAATCGGATAAAAGTGACTATTTTCACATAGACGCTTTTGAAACAACTTTATTGGTCTGAATCTTATATAACTAACCTCCTCCCATAACAGGCTTCTGGTTCCCCATCATTTTCTTTTAGAGGTGTGCTGCAAATCTTGACTGGCTTTCACCTTTTGGTGAAGGTTTAGGTCCAGCGGCGCCCAAAGCACTATAAGTAAGACAGCCGGTTAGTTTTCACCTCGACAATATCAGGCTTATCCCGTGCAACGACATACTGAAATCGGATGAATACAACCAGTAGTTCTCAGCTTTAGTACTTATTTTCAGAGGACCTCTACCTCTACGTCCACTCGAGGATTTCCACTTGTTCTCTTGACTACACTGCTTTCTTGTCGACAGCCAACGCGGTCCTTGTCCTCACTACCTCTTCCTAGGGACCTCTCCGCGATGGAGCGTGGCTGTGTTGTGTCGATTGTATTCGTGGGAGTGATGTGGGGCAATATCATTTCTGGAGACCTAGGAGATTTCTACGGACGACGAATGCCGGTTTTGCTTTCCTACATTTTGTTAAGGCTTAAGGTTGTGCTTGTGGGAGGTGGCGTAAGATGTAGGAGCTTTCTTAGTCTTTTTAGTCTTAGAGTTTGTTAGTACTACGAGGTGGAGTTTTCCCACAACAATTATTTTTGTTGAACAAGGACAACAAGAACGTGGTTATTTTGCGTTCGCTTTCCACAGTCAGAGAGACCACTGCTCATACACATTTTCATGTTGCAACCTTGTGTTGAAGTAGATAAGTAGATCGATCCTCACCCTTAACTCTACCTCTGCTTCTGTTGTGGCTGTATGCCTCCTTCCGTATTCTTCTAATCCTGATTTTCGTTTTCTCTCTCGCTTCTGCGTTGTCGACGGAGCTGTATAGCTTGGTCGCCCTCCAGTTTATGGTAGGAGTCGCCTTCGGGATTGGACAGCCTTCCGTCAGTGCACTTACATTATGCATGAAGATCGTGGTCGCTTTTCATTTTCTCATTCTCTGCGTTTTGGGATAAAAATTGTTCTTGAAATAAACAAAATCAGTCTACTTAAGTAGAGAGTTGTCACCTCCTCATGATCTCTTTCATCCAATCTCTAATGTCCACTGAAGTTATGCCTCGGAGGTGGCGCATTTTGCCTCAAGTTGTGGGACAGATCATGTTTTCGCTGGGTGAAATGTATTCTGCGACTCTGATTGCGATTGATGACGCGGACATGCACCACCTAGATTGGCGGTGGCTCGTAAGTATGGGCGCCTTACCCTCATTGGCATTAGGGATTTATGCAGCTTGTGAATTGCAGGAGTCGCCGCTATGGCTGGTGACGACGACACAGAAGTCTTAAGGCTGTATTTTGAATTTGAATTTGACTGCATCCTCGAAACGCATCATGCGGGAGTATCCCAAGGAAATGCTCTGCCCGCTTCCGAGTAGTTCTGTACTTCTTCGTTCGCTACGCCATCGCACCTAAAAAAAAAGTCCTGGCTGATGCGAGGCTCCCTGAAATCTGAAATCACACTGATGCAGTTGGAAGATGAAACACGGAGGGCGCTAATTATCGGCCGCAGGAATGGTGGCGCATGTTGGTGGTGCTGGTACGACAGGATCAGGAGTTCTACTGGAGCCGAACAGATTTCGGCAAGCCATCCGAATTCTAGAGGACATGCGGAGGTTGAACTCCATTAAGTTCTTCTCTAGCGTCGACAGGAGCACTGCACCACTACCACAACAAGAACATTAAGGCTACCGCTGAAGCATCCTCAACGTCGTCCTTGGCTCCTTTTCTACTTGAAAAAGGCATCAAGGATGCTGCCAAGGATGCCCATGCGGTAGCTCTAAGAACAAGAAGATAGGAGGAGGAATAGCACTATAGAGCTGATAGAGGAGATTGAGTTGGTGCCGCCACCTCTGTCGCCAGGATTGCATCAGAGTACGACAAGACCGCCAACACCAGACGCACACTTTCAGAAGCTTCAGCGTGTCTTCTCTTCTCGATTCGCCTCGATGACCTTCGCCCTTTGCTGGTACAATTGGGGATCATACTACCTAATGTTATAATTCATACTGCAGCAGCTACATATAAGTACATACATAGATACATCACAACAACTCATAAACATGAAGTAGAAGTAGATGGAGAACTTCTATGTATTTAGGTATCTATATTAACAGCGTGGAGTTGGTCTCGCTCTCGTCCTGCTACTCGTACAAGAACTCAGACATCTTTATTAAATTTCTTCTACACCCCATGATTGGGTACACTACTACTACTACTACTACTACTACTACCAAGCATAATTTCATCTGTCCACATCATTCTACCAACATCCCATCTCCCAGGACAACGTTCAGCATGAACTTTGTGTACTACGGAGGATTATATGGCTTTCCGCAACTGTTAGAGGGCATTGGAGATACTCTGACATTAAAACCCGCTGTTTCTCTGATGCTGGCAGCATCATTTTTAAGAAGGTAGTTTACTTATACCGTATAGTGTAGTGGAAGTAATAGTATTACTTGTACCGTATAGTAATATAGTGTAGTGGAAGTAAAAGCTGTTGTAGACTGTCATCATTTTTCTTAAGAAGGGCTACTGCCATCTTCTAGTTCTAGAAATTAATACTTTTAATAATGATCTGCTCTTCCTAGGAACGAACCTCCTAGAAGGGTGTCCATGCTACAGATACTCTTGACATGAGCCTGTTCTAACTTCTGAGATTCCCGGTTGTTTGTTGGCGCTGTTTCTCGGCCTATATTGCTTCCGGAAAGTCGCCATCACAGCGTCGCTATCCATATGTATGCTGTTTACAGCATGCTTTATTGCGGGCGCTGACCTCGTCGCTCGCAGCGAAGAGAGGGAAGTAGTTACGGCGTTGGCGAATCCTAAGTTAAGATGACACAAGGACTAGGCTGCTCACCATAATCTAACCAAGAACAGTTCTACTTGCTGAATGTTAGGTTTATCTGTCTAAGACAACTTCCAGAAGTAATCGGTGTGCGCACGAAAGGGGACCCCATCGTAGCTGAGGGCAACAAGGAAAGCGCATACGATATACAAGAGAACTCGAGAAGACGTCGTGCTCTACGTGCAGCAACGGCGAAAACGATGAAAAACTCAGCTTCTTCTTCAGGTAATACAACGACAAAGTCGGCGAGGTCGGCGCGGAGGACGTCCACGTCAAAGCGCATCCATGAAGGATCATCAACATCAGAAGAGAGTGGTGCATCATGGCATTACCAGCACGAATACGAACAACATGAAGATGAAGATCATACCAGTGCCTCAACAAGGAAGAGATCAACATGGTCCTCCACCACATCTTCGTCTAAAAAAAGTTCAAAAAATATTCCCGAAAAAATTGACGCTTCAGGCACAGTAGGGACAACGACTGCTGCTGCGGCAGTCGGTGGCACGACAATTGAACAAGAATTGAACAAAGAAGGTGACTATGAAAATGACGACGAGCAGCAAATGCATCAAGAAAAACAGATAGAAGATCTTCAAGATCATGAAGAAGATGGACATCATGCTGACGTTGTAGAAGAAAATGCTGACGCAGAAGACAAGAATATATGGGATGAAAGCGCAGGTAAGTATCGCACTGCCAATGAAACTATAAGTGCACAGCGCCAAGAACAGGTGGACAAAAAAACATCTAAGAACCCTAAGGCCGCTAAGCAACAAAGAAGAGGTACGAACTCGTCTACTACAACTTCAACTATTACTACTACTAGCGAAGATGAGGAATACGTAGCGACCGTTGTTGGGCCAGTCCTGATGAAGACGAGGAATGCAACATCCTTTTTCGTGAAATTTTTTGGAACTAGTCCTGCTCAGCAGAGTGGTGCTGGAAGTCATTCATTTAAGGCTTGTTCTTCTCTTGTAAAAGCGATGAAGACTACTTTTATGAGTATAGGCTGCTACCCTACGTTTTGTTTTCCTTTTTTGGTCATTTCCTAGGTAGTAAGTTAGGTTGGCTCCACCACTATAGGTATCCATGGGGCGATCTTAAGACTCCGCAAATATCTTGCAATGCTTGTCTAGGCTCAACACCTTAACTACAAAAGAGCCTTCCAAACCTCCGTTAAACCTGTTGCGGAGATTATGTATTTCACCATTTAAGAATGGTTGCGGAGGTTATTATGTATTTCACCTGTTGCGGATTGGTTAAAATACATGAAGATTCTGTATGGTGAACTCTTCTAAAACGATGAACCTGATCATCCAGGATGATCCTGACGAAAAGTGGAGACTGAGGAAAAGAAGACGGCTATTACCATCGTCGTGGCCAAGCATGACGCAAGTGTCTGCTTTTTTTATGACAAATACAACACGAGGACCTACTCCTGTACCTGTGAAGAAAGTGACTATTTAATTATAAATATTCGGTGTACCTGATTGAACCTGTACTACTAGCTCATCTTCATTTTCAATTTGATAGAGCATACCTTCATCAGCCGCTGTGCTGTGGTCTTCGGTAGAGGACTATATGAGAAGATCTAGGACATTTTTCGACGTGATCCCTAATGGGACTGTCTCTAAGAACTAAGAACTATATTCAAAAAAATATCCTATGCTATCCTATGAACATTTTTTCCTCTCATGCTATCCCATCCTCTTCTAATTTCCCCTCTCTCTTCGGTACTAGAGACAAAAGCAAAGGGTCTTGGTTCTCTTGGTTTGAGCCTTTTTTTAGTGGAAAGGAACTGAAGACTACGGGAAACGTATGAAACGAAAAAGTGTACTCATCGATCCTCAAGATGAAAGTAGGCTCTCAGGCTCTAGTACTTCCTAAAAAGCAAAAATTTTTATAAATACAGATAAAGCCTCTACTTTATTCCATTAATAGAGAGGACATGAAGCTCATAAAGCCTCTTTCCATTCTTATGGTTTTGAAGCTCTCTTTCCATACATTTAGTTAACGCCTCTTTTCTTGAGTATGTGACGAGAGAGTACACTTTTTCTTGTCATAGAGAGCGTTATTGCAATTTGGCCTGTTCGGGAATAAGATCTTCGTACAAGTTATGAAGCCAAAATCCCTTATCATTCTCAAAACTGGAGTTGGAGTGCTCCTTACTCAACATTTTTATATATACCTCCACTAGACTGGGTACACTAGACTGGGTTTGGGTACACTACTAGTAGTACTACTACTACGTGACACGGCGAGTAGAAGCCCACCAGAGGGGCAGCCGCGGTCGCCCACTGAATTAAATTGACTGGGTACACTACTAGTACCATTCTTCAAGAAGTTCCTTCTCTCTCAACTAGAAATTCAGAGTGATAATGATAATCATGAGTTTTGGTTTCATACCTGTCGTCTTCTCGCTGATCTACCTCTATGCCATGGAATGCTTTCCGACTTCATTTCGGACAACATTATGGCGAGATCATGAAGATGTAATACTAATACGTACTAGTAGAGATTACTTCTAGACATTACAACTAACAGGAGGCTCAGGTGGCTTTGGAAAACACATTAGGATTTATGTTAATTTAGAAGGATATGAATTGATTCTCCACGTCCACCTGCACCTACTTACTTGTAGTTCTACTTCCGTATGCTGATGGTGTACGGTGAATGCCACGGCCTACTTTATTGCTGCCGTAAATCTCACTCTCTTCTAAAACTAGGAGCCGCCGTTGTGTTGTCTTCGGGTCGACTTGGTGCGATATTGTGTCCTCTTGTGTTCGAATCCTTGCCGCACCAATTTTACTTCTTCTACGTGATGACGGCTCTCCTCTTCGCGAACTGTGCCATGTTCGTTTTTCTCTCTTTGCCGGAGACAGCTGGAAAGTTAAGGCACTCGGATCTGTCACCTGCGGACTTACGTATTTCATCATAAGCAAGAAGAGATTTCACCAAATTTTTACATGGCTTTTCACATTAGATGCCAGGTCGTCATAATATCCTAGAGTCTAAGAAGACACATGTGTAAGTACTTCATTCCTCTAGTACAGTTATTTCATGTTCTTTGTTCTAGTACAGTTCTCGTAACCTTCTACTAGGTAGAATCTCAGTCATGCACTATTCTAGTACAGTTCTTGTTCTATTCTAGTATAGTTCTTGCAACCTTCTAGGTACGAGAATCTCAGTCATGTTCTATTCTAGTACAGTTCTTGCAACCATTTAGGTAGAATCTCAGTCATGTTCTATTCTAAGTAGTTTAGTTCTTGCAACCTGGTAGAATCTCAGTCATGTTCTATTCTAGTACCGTTCTTGCAGCAGTCATCTACTTCTAACAAACGGTCTTCCCGAGACGGAGTCCGAAGTAGCAGGTTATACGTCACGACTTTGGGACACGTTATCTTGGAGGGATGTACGGTGGTGGCTTTAACTACTACGCTAGTGGCTTTAACTACAGGAGACACATTGTTCATTCATGATGATGAAGTGAAGTGCTTTACGCTTAGTCCTCTCCGTTCTTATATTAGTACAACATGTACGAGGACGGGCTATGTTGTGAGACTGACTCATGCCAACATGGCATGCAGTTGTTTAGTTGCAGAAGAAGATCTACGACTAACTACGTGAACAAAATTAAAATTTATCATGCTTACGAGGGACAAGGTTCATCATGTCGGGAAAAACCTCGTCCACACGACTAACTACAAGAATTATACTTGAAATTTGTCGTGTAATATGTACTCATGATCTCGCGATCACTTCATCAAAAAGATGATCTCGGTGTTACTCAAAAAAGATCTCCTGTTACTCAAAAAAGATCTTACTGTTACCCAAAAAAAGATCGGACTTTTGAACATGAAAAAGATCTCACAAGTGTGTGTGCGCCAGTACAAGTTCAAAAGATCTCACAAGTGTGTGTGCCAGTGCAAGTTTCAAAAGATCTTGTGATTCCAAGTAAATGCTCGCGATCGTGTTTGATTTGTTGATCTGATCAACAAAAGATCCCTCGCTCTCATCTGCCCACCACTACACAGGAACAGGTAAATCGAATACAGGATATCACAGTTTTTAGCATTCTGATACATTTTCGAAAGTATCGCTCTCTTTCTCCTCACAACTTCTAAAGTTGAAGAGTATATAGACTTACTTAGATTTCTACAACAAATCTTTTCCCCATCAGAATTTGTTTGAAACATCGTCAACATCTCGCCAAATTAACTTTCGTTACCAACCTCATTTAATTAATTCGGAGAGCCTCACAGCCTCTGAGCCATCCTACACAAGTAGCAGACGAAAGTCGCCTTCTTTTCTACCTAATAGAAGTCGTCCCCGTGTATTGCACGAATTCATATCAGAGTTTAACTTTCATATAAGTTTTCAACGTTGTAATAACTAACTAACTAACTAACTAACTAAGTAACTAACTAACTAACTAACTAACTAACTAACTAACTAACTAACTAACTAACTAACTACCTAACTAAAACTAACTAAAACTAACTAAGCGGAACTTGTCAATCGCATAAGTACACTCAGCCAAGAAATCAAGATGTTGATGCAAAAGGGCGGTCGACTTCTTTCTGCGTTGACCTTGTTGGTCGCCACTGGCTCGACGCCGACCTTGGTCGACGCCACTGGCTTTGGTCGACGAGTATTGGGTGAGCTGTCTCAAGAACCCCGAAGAACTCCGCGAGAACCTTCGAACAACTCCGGAGCAGACAATGCTGTCGCGAATTCTGGGAAGGGGGGAAGCAAGGGTAGCAAGGGTAAGGAAAACAGGCAGCAAGAGGGTACAGCGGCTTGTATGCAACGAGAATTTGCCGGTACAAAGGGTACAGCGGCTCGTACGCAACAAGACCACTTAGATAATGTTTTTCTTGAGAAGAAGGTTAAGGAGGTATTGTCCAATCCGGGTAGGGAAGTTGCGATTAGCATGACGATTCATCCTGACAGCTTGGACCGTTTTTATAAACTGCTGGCGGAGGAGAAGAATCAACATCAACCATTGCCAGCCAATAGCAATACTAGAACACTGTGGGTGAATCTCGCTTCTTTGATTTGGAGCCAAGACAAAGCGAGGCCCGTGTTTACTGGTGACATGTACGACGTGACCGGCACCGCGCAGCTGATCGCGGAGCACATCGAACAAGGCCTGGCAAGTGGGCACTACGACGACCCTAAGAAGATCCGACTAGATCCAGAGGAGTTGCTTCCCAACACGAAGCCGATGAAAGCTACACCCCTCTGTGGTCTTGAGGGCCTTCAATCTCTTATCCACCAGTGGGAGTGGCAGTACACGACGCAGAACCCCGAAGATTAAGGCTAGTTTCCACATTGCATTCCTTTTCCTCAGTCCTCACGACCATGATCCTTGACTTATTTTCCACTAGGAAAGAAGTGAAGGATCCTCGAAGATGAAAAGCGATGTCTACATCCTCTTCTAAGAAAAGCGACAACTGCAGCACCAATGGTCGCAACAATACGCGCCGAGAAATCGGTCTTATCGACCTGATTATTTGTCTCCAAGTCTAAAGCAGGAGATTCTCCAAGAATGCGGAATGGCGTTGGACTCAAACGGTGTAATTCCGAATGGGATGGTTGCTGCGAAGCTATTGCAGGAGTCTCTGGACTATGAGCGTCGTGTTCAAGAAGCAAGGGATCCAAAGGCTCTGTATGTCTCGCGCGACAATCGCCGCCTTGCTGCCTTCCGAGCTGCACTAGAGTATCTTGCCGCCGAAAAGATACTGGCACCGGATGCGAGTACTACTTCTACGAGCTATATTACAACATATAGTACCATAGCTTCGCTACTAAGTATTTGGAAATGAAGTGTTAGAGTTAATAGCGTTTTATTACAAGGTCCTTGTAACAAGGAGATCGAATTTGATAACTTTAGCTTTTATTTCCAATTCCAACTTTGTATGTGCACGATACCATCACGTGACGGGTACTTACATGAATGGCTCTGGTATTTGGTAACCTGATAAGGAAGACAAGAAGGGAACAATCCTTCTGATCACCAAACCAGGCTATGCCAAATACCAGAGCCATACTTTGCAGCTTGCTTGACACACCATGTGACTATTAAGTACTTGGAAGTAGAACTAGAAGACGTGCCTTCTCGTTTTGATACCTGAAGGACAAGGAGATAACACAAACGGCAACTTCACAGATGTTTTCGTCCAAGTGGAGATTTTGCCCGCGCAAAAGCTGGCTGACCGTGACTTTGTCCCGACGAAGGACTTGAAGCGCTACTCTACGGCGGCAGGCGGTGCGATAGTCGGGATTGGAAAAAGCTGGGAGTTCATCGTCACACCTGATATGAACAATTTGAAGGAGAAATGGCAGAAAAACATCTCTAACGAAGAAGAGTCTAAGCATGCTACGCCTAGTACTTCTGGAGCAGGAGGCGACTTTAGCTTTACCGAAGAAGGCTTGGCCGCTGCATGGTTGCAGCGAAGGATGTGCGAAGCTCTGCAACGAGGAGGGCTGAGTTCTCTGGCTGCGCAGATCTTGGGACTGAAAAGCGCAAGAATCTTGGAAAAGCAAGAGCTCAAATTGGTCAAGTTTACTAAAAACGGTGCAGATTTGAAGAGGTATCAAAAAGATTACTACGACTACCTAACAACTAGTGTGGAGAAGCAAGGCGACGGAGATGACGATCAAAAGAGAAATAATCTCCTTCGTCCACCGTTGATCGGGCCAGCCTTTTACAATGCCTCTGAAGGAGGTCGCACGGCGTTTGACCTGAACGGAGGAAGAAGAAGAAGCGCTAACGGCACGGGGGAAGTAGAGGCCATTCGTGTAGGAGAAACGGCTTGTTATCCGTATAAAAAGATGCTGAGTGGTGGGTTTTCTGCTCAAGGTGGTCCTGGTGGCGATGCTATGCGGGCTCGGTCTGGATCGTTTTCTGAATCTGATCTTACTGGCGGATCTGTCTCAGATGTACCATCTTCAGATTATATTACCTACTCGGAGTCTGAGGGAGCAGGGCGGCCGGCTACGCCACCCCGACGTAAGCTCCCGGGGAAGCCGCTAAAGGTGCCGGCGACTATCGTTGCAAGCCCTCCTCCTCGCGGTGGCAGTTCTTTCGCTGTCTCATCTTCTGGTCATGCTACTGCTGCTTCACTTTTACGTTTACCTCCTGTAGGGAGTGGTGACGCCGCAACTCCAGACGGCGAGACCATGGCTACTACTCCTGGACCGCGACGTCCACTTCAGCTACACGCGATGATAGAAGCGCAACCGAACAAGCAGAAACATCAGGAGAAACCAAAGGCAAAGTTGGGACTGGCGAACCTGTTACAGCCACCACAGAAGCCGTCTAATTCTTCTTCGCAGCAACAAGGGACTGCTCAACAACAAGGGACTGCTCAGCAACAAGCGGTGGGGCAAGAGCTGGTGACGCCGGAGAGGGTGAGGGAGATGCTCCAGAAGGATCCGGTGCCGCAGCAGCAGGATCCGGTGTGGCAGACGCTGTCATGGTGTCACAGGCAGAATCAATTCGGTGTGCTCATCGACACTACGACTGGAGTGTGCTACGAAGCTACGAGCGCTGCACAGGTTCTTGCCACACTAACGCAGGCTCCTACAGTTGGCGTTCAACCGATTCAGCCAGGCATGATGCTGCAGCAAAACGCGACGCAACCGCAGTCGGTAATGATGATGATGCCGCAGCAGCAGCAGCAGCAGCAGGTAACGCCAGGACAGGTGATGACGCCGCAGCAGCCGGTCACGATGACGCCGGGCCAGGTGGTGATGCCACAGGTGGTTGCACTGACGCCCGAACAGATGCGGGCTTTGCTTTGAATTTGATATTGTAGAGACACGAACGCTGTAATTTTTTGAAGATTCTTTAAAGAGGGAATATGCGCGATATTGCATCGCCTGATGCACTAAGGTGCTGAGATCTATTAAAGTAAGTTCTAATAAATATGTTGCTACGCGCAATATTATCACGACATCAGAGTGCATGTAAGTATGAAAGTAAAAGTTTCCCTTTATCAAGTGTACAGTAGATGAACCGCACTACTTTTAACAAATAAACAGTACGGATTAGCAAAATAGAATGACTTGCCCCAAGAAAATAAGTTGTAATATTTCGCCAAATTATTGAAGCTGTGCATCTGCATGCTTTGAACGATGTTGCATCTTAATTAGAAATTGTCCGCCGTAAGTGTTATTCCTCACCCAAGCACACTGCTGCTCCTCTTGGCTTTTTGGTTTGTTCTTAGATAGCTGCTTTATTTCTCAACTACCCCTGCTATCGCTTCTTATGCCTTGCTATCGCTTCTTGGCGGGTGACTATAGTATCTTGGAGGGTGACTATAGTATATATAAGTATACTGTTCTTGCATCATGGTGGCACTAACAGTAACATGACACACTACTCCTGGCGTTTTACTAGGAGTATGATGCATGTTCTTGAGGCTGGCTGTTTCTCTTTTATACACCGAGAATGGGCCATGCGTTACTACTATTAAATTAAGGAAATCAAAGTGAGTTGCAGCAAAGTGAAGAGTTGAATAAAGGACGGGGCACTGTCACTGGTATTATTTTTTATACAGAATGCATGCTAGCTAGGAATCCAAATTATGTGCTTTTTTTCTACGCAGCTATAGCTATAGGGCCAATTTAACTTTTAAGAAGATGGTAGATTGACTGCCCTATTACTTTGTCTTGTCTACTTGATTATTGACGTGGTTGTAGGTTATTAATTTATTCTTAGTGCCTATCGGAATGGAGAGGACTTTGATGTTGTTCGCAGGTTAGTTGTATTTGAAATCAGAGCTGCTCGGGGGTAGACTCATCTAGACAGCTCGCCTCTAGCCGTATTCGTATGGACAAGAACTGTGATAGGAATTCAAATTAGTTGTATTGAGACGAAAGAGTTAGACATGGGCGATAGGATTAGGAATTACAACTTGGGAGGACTGAATGTCGTCAGACAGCACGACGCGGCTTTTTTTCTAGCCAAGACCAACCTATGGATGAATCTGAATGCAGCGCAAATCTAAGGCTTTTTTTTTTCGCAAATCAAAAAAATGATATGATTCTACAAAAGCTGTGCAGATCGATGATATTAGAAGAGTTGAGAAATGGAACATAAACGCAGAATCACCCGTGGAGTACGCTTCCAAGGGGCAAGCCGCCCACTGCAACTGGTCATCTGTTCAGGGAAGTCAAATGTTATTTGGAACAGATGAAGAGCTAGAAATGTTGTTGAGTTGAAAATGATTTATCGCCGTATCGCTTTCGTCTCAGGAAAGAATCGGACGCAGGACCCGCACTGGAGCTCCCTTTGGAAGAATAATTAAAGGATACAAAAAGCAAAAACATTTTGATCTAGCACAAGGTCAAAAGATACCTCAAGACCAGGTAAATGAATGAATGAATGAATGACCGGGATCGCCGGAGCTCTCAGTTTTAAGCTTTAGATTACTGGGAATTGTTGATATCGCATGCACTCTGTCTGAGGTGCTGATAGCCTACATATTTTTATACCTTCGAGCTTCACCGAGAAGCAGCATTGCTATTCTAAAAGCGCTTTTGTCTACTTAACATAAAAGAGGACCCATCTTATTTCTAATTCTAAGCCTAACGCTCCCACCATCGATATTAACGCTCCCTGTTTTTTAACGCGAGCAAAAGAAGATGGGTGTCGTGTCGTGATCATCAACTGCTGTCCAGCTGACAAGTACTCGGCAAAAAGTGAGGCACAATCCCTCCGAGACGATCCAGCTATTCGGCCCATTTTAGAGCACTGTCATTGGAGAACGGTCCTCCATCACTTGTTCCTCAAGCGAGGGTGGCCTCTACTTCTTCTAGGGGAGTGTCCCCGTCTTCTCGTACGGCTGATTCTGCTACTCTAGCGCTCTCCTCGTCAGAAAACGTTAAGCGTGGCCAGCACAACGCTGCTTCTTATGCCGCCACTTCTGTATTTACGAAAGGCTCACCCACGAGGGCGTCCTCGAGCAATCTGTTGCCTCCACGAGTTGTCGAGTATCTTCGGAAATATAATTGCTGGTCCTCGAATAAACATATTAGAGGAGGAGGACAGCCTCCTCTATGTTTATTCGAGGCAGCCAGAGCTTATGTGGACCTGTACGCAAAAGACGGGCCAAGAGACTTCTACTACTACTACTCTTCGGCGTTGACGATTATTTGGAGATAAATGCACACGACCACTCAAACTTTGACATTGTTCCATGGTCGAAATCAACGATCATCATGTTGTTCATCTAAAAATTACGATCGATACGTCTGCGATACTGTTGTAAGGTGTGTTCTTTATATGTGCTCCTATGTTTTCCTAAGCACCGAGTGACGAAGAAGAGGAAGACATCAATGCCAATAAAGTCTGATGAATTTGAAATGAAGATGAAATGTTGCTCCTCCAGCACCTGCTTATCGCTGTTCGTGCTGGAAAATTGAATGAGAAGATTTTTTAGACCCTTCAAGACAAAAATCTCTCTACTTGACGAGAGCGAGAGGTTCTTCGTCCAACGAAACAAGGCTCCTGGTAATCATGTTCTGCAGATGATGAACAACGAGTACGAGGAAGTGCTATGCTAGAATCTTGTACAATTCCTTCGGATTCCAGCGTATGCGAACCTTGATGTCAACGGCCACTGCTACAGGACGGTTTAATTACATGGTACAAGAGAAGTTTTGTAGTTTTTGAATGCTGACGCGGATCGATCACCTTTGGCGGCAAGCCTTTTGTCACGCCTACTACTTGTTTACATGATGAAGGAGTCAGACAAGAACTAGGAGATCTACTTTTTTTGGTGATCCTCATTTTTTTCATCGAGTACTCTGCACTTGTAGATTGACCACCCTATGAACATCTTTCTTCATTTCATTCTTCACCTTTTCCCTAGGTAGCAGCTATCTACTTCCTTGTTCAAATAGAAGCCTTAGCTGGCGAATTCTAAACCTACTATCTAACACAAATAGCTGCTACCTCCTACCTGCTACCAACCAAGCTACTAGAGCTACCATCTACTTTCAAATAGCCTTAGCCTAATCGCCTAAGCTCAAACCCTTTGTTCCTCAACCTCGAAGCTAGCTACCTCCTACCTAGCTACCTCCTACCTAGCTACCTCCTACCTAGCTACCTCCTACCTAGCTACCTCCCTAGGAACCAAAAAAATGGGAGTGAAGCAGAAATTTTCGTCTATGGACGTGGCCGCCATGGTCACTGTCTTAAAGCAAAGAGTTCGTCGCAACCAAGTAGCCAACGTGTACGACTTGGCTGGCAGTAAGAGCTTTCTCCTGCGTCTGAAAAACCGAGATAAGACGAGCAAAGGAAGTGGAACTGAGTTCGCGAACGTAATTTTGGAACCAGCAGCAAGATTTTATGTTCATCTTGGACAGTGTATTTGGTTCCTCGAACGAGACTACTACTAAGTCACGATGTTGACTTGCATTCTCATTCATTGTACAACAATTCCAATTTTTACTTGTTCCCGCTACTTAGTAAAATTACAGGAGTTACATCATGAAAATAAATGTACTAGAAGTAGAAGTACTCCACCTTGTGCTCGTTTTCTTCTTCCTCATCCACCTTGTCCTTCTTCTAAGCAACCCATTTGACCAAATTTGACCGGGAGAAGAACTCAGTTCCTTCTAGCGCCACTATGAAACTGCGCAAGCACTTGAGGAACCTCCGACTAGCAGACGTGGAACAAGTAGGCTTAGACCGAGTCGTTATATTTACCTTTGAAGGCGGAGGTGGAGGACCTGGAGGTGGAGGACCTGGAGGTGGAGGACATGAAGATGGAGGACCTGGAGGTGGAGGACATGAAGAGGGAGACCATGCACATACACCTGGCATAAGACTGCATCTAGTTTTGGAACTGTACCACTACTTCAACGATGTTGACATTGTCTTGTTCTTGTTATGAGTTAGACGATCATAACTAGATCATCTACTAGTGGTTTCCAAAGTAGAAGAACTTTGACTGATCTATTTACTCCAAATGGCTTATGATATTAATAATAGATAAGATGCATCAACATGTAGAATTGTAGAAGCTTTCTTCATAAATACTTTTTTCATCAGGTTCGTTCGCGGTTCTCTAGTTTTGCTGAACGACAAGATGGAGGTGTTGTTTCGTTCTGTGACGTACGAATATGCGACGAATCACGTACCGGTCGGTTCTGTCTATAAGTTCGAGCAACCTGCTATGCTGCACTTAGTAAATCCGAAGATTGCGATACAACTACAGCCAGACGAAATACAACTAAAAGACGTACTAGGCGCTACTATCGGTATAGAAGCAGCACCAAGCACAAGTAGAAGTAGTTGTTGTACGACTCCCTGTCCGGAGAAGCTTGCTGCTTTTTGCGCTAGTATACTGGAAAAAGAAAGACGAGAGCAAGAAGACTCGACGACTTTGGGAGACGAAAATGGAGCCGGAGATGACGTTGGACTAGAAGCAGATACAACTGCAGTAGTAGCTGGTGCTCAAAGAGGCAATAAGAAGGTAGGAGCTTTCAACGCGACCGCTAAGATGAATAAGCGCAATATTAAACAGAAGAACAAGAAGGCTAGAAGTGGAGGCGTCAAATTAGAGAACGTCTTGCTCCAGTGTCTCTATTGCGTCCACCCCACCCTGGTTGCCTACGGCTTAAGAGAAGCTGGCTTCGATCCTACGCGTGCCTTGAGGGAGGAGGCTCTACTTTATCATGCTTCTTCTATTCAACAACAACAGCAGGGACAGGAAGAACATAATACATCCGGTGTACTATCTGAAGGTCCTCGTCAACCTGCACCTGGAGGTGAAGGTGATCCCACTGACAGGAGCGCTGAGAACAAGAGCTTGTCTGTATTGGGAGTAAAGTTGGCAAAGGCAATCAACATCTGCTTAGACACCATGCGACTTGTTTGCAGAGGCAATGCCGAAGGTTCTACCACTGCCACTGGAGGAGGAGGGCTTGCTACTGCACGAAGAAAATTGTGTCGTTTGACACCTCCTGCGCGGTCTACGGTTCTAACTACAGCAGAAGGAGAAGAGCCTTTGAAAGGTTATATCCTAGTTAAGAAACAACATCAACTCTTATCTGGCTCATCTACTACCTCTACTACATCCGCGAACAATAACAAGATTACCAAGGATGAAGAGAGCACTACTGATCGGACGTTTGAGGACTTTTCGCCTCTCGAATTTCTATTGAATCGTGGAGCAGCCACTGCGAAGGGACAAAAAGGACAAGATTACCTCGAGTTCGATGATTTTTCCACATGCGTGGACCAGTTTTTCAGCCAGCTGGAGATTCAAAAGATCCGAGAAGCGAAACAGCAGAAGACCACGAAAGTTCTTTCAAAAGTCGAGAGGATTAAGCTGGACCACGAGGAACGGATCTTAAGGGGGCTTAAAATAATTCATTCTCAACCTGAGTTCTACTTCTAGGCTCTGATAGATTTTGTTCGTTTGAAGAAGATAAATTGAGTCCTTTCTTGGTCTTCCACGGTCTACCTCATCATTCTCAGCCCTGCTCCATAGATAGAAATACAACTGGTCGTGGTCTTAAGTAGAAAGTTCTACTAGGTTCATCTTATCATTTCCAACTGTTTGTTGATTGATTTTGTTTCTTCTGTTTGTTCCTTCAACGATTGATGAATCGGAAGATGAAATTCTTGACTCGTCGTGGTCCTGAAGAATAGACTCCTGCTGCTCTAAGGATTCGAAAGATGGAGTGCATCCAGAAGGACGCTGATCTGAAAGCTCTGTTGCTAGAAGAGAACTTGGAACTTGTCGATGCATGTATCGCGATGCTGAACGCCAGAGGAAGGATTGAGTGGAAAGCCCTCTGGCAGGAAATCAAGCTGCAACAGACTTTAGGCCATCCCTTAGCACAGCATATACACTCGTTGCAATTGGAGAAGAATCAGTTTACGATCATGCTAGAGGATAGCATCACAAGTCTGATGGACGACAATGAAGGTAATGGAGAAAATGGTGAAGATGGATCCTCTTCAACATCTGGGGATGACGAGGATTCTCTGTTCGACGAGCTTTTTAGCGATACAGAGGATGCAGGAGGATCTGCTAGTTGTACTAGAATAGCTAAGTCAACAGGAGCGTCATCTTGTTCGACAACTACAGCAACTGCTTCTACTACTGGAGTTTCTTGTTCCAACCAAGTACAGGTGAAGAGCAACAAGAAGAACAAACGTGGATCACGCGCTACCGTTACCCGACAGGACCTGCCGATGGTTACCCTGACTATCGACTTGAGCCTTTCCGCCTACGGGAACGTTTCGAAGCTGCACTCTCAGCGGAAGGCTACCAAAAGCAAGACCGAAAAAACGATTCTCCAGTCCGACCGCGTAGTGAAGCAAGCGAATAAGAAAGCCCAACAAGACGTGAAAAAGATTGACCGCGACTATAAAGTGCACAACTTACGCCAAGTGCGCCAACTCACCTGGTTCGAGTCGAAATTCAGCTGGTTCTTTTCCTCGGAAGGGTTTCTCTGCGTGCAAGGAAGAGACGCGACGACGCAGGATTTGCTTATCAAGAGGTACATGGACCCCGATGAGGGGGATGTTGTCGTTGGTAGCGAAAGCGATGGCGCTCTACTTGTAGTAGTGAAAATGAACAAGACCAAACTCCTTTCATCTGTCTCTGTTCCATCTACTTCCTCTAGTTCTTCAACAGCGCTTGAAATCCCTCCGCTTACCCTGCAAGAAGCAGCTACCATGTGTCTCTCTACATCAGCCGCGTGGTCCAAAAAAGACGTCGTAGGCGCTTGGTGGGTTAAGGGAGAGCAAATTGTGATAGAAAGCTGGGAAATCGAGGGCAAACGGCTGTTATACTATCCGGTTAGAGGAGAGAAGCACCTGTTGCCACCATCCAGGCTAGAAATGGGGTATTGCTTACTTTTCTTATGTTGGAGGTTGTCGGGAATTCATCTCCAAAGTTCTTGTCATCTGGTGGAAGAAAATGACATGTTGAGGTGGAAATAATAATGAGAAAGGGGCCACCTACCAGATGATCCCAGAGATGAACAACTCCCTAAATAGTACCTCATCTAATCTTCGAAGTCTCCCCAGAATGCGGAAAGCGGCATATAGGCGAACGGAAAATCCGTAGTGGAGAATTGGCTGAACAGGGAAGTGCCCCTCCCGACGGAGATGAAGTTGAGAAGAATGTTCCTGGTGAACAAGGTGATGATGTTGAAGCTAAGGATGATGAAGATGGGGACGACCAGGGTCGTGATGAAACCAGCAGGGACGACGAAGAAGATCGAGAAGAAGATTCTAATGTAGATGAGGAGGATGAGGAGGATCTGTTGAAGGATGAAGATGCTAAGAATTTCTCTTCTCGCTTAGAAACAGTGGCTGCTAAGGTGGAACAAGAAGAGGAAAGGTTATTACCTCCTCACAATTCTTCATGTACTTCTAGTTCTACCTCTCCACCGTCGAGAAGACACTTGCAAACGGTGACGATTTTAAGCGGCTTAGGTGAGGAAGACGAACGAGACAACCATTTGAATTATAGCTTTGTCCCTGCAGAACGCATCGTAGGCGAAGGACACAAGAAAAAAATGACGAGGAAGGAAAGAGAATTAGCAAAGAAAGGTCAAGAGCAACAGAGCAGTCCTGAAGATGAACAAGTTCTTGTAGGGACGACAAGCCAGATGAAATTCGTGCTACAACAAGGAAGCCAAGCGGAAACCCAAGCACAAACTACAATATTAACAGATGCTTCATCTCCACCATCTTCCGCTTCTTCTAGTAAAATAAACAAGAATGCCAAAAACATTACATCATCAGCAGATCACACGCAGCAGCCACAGCAGATTCCGCGAGGTCAAAAGGCTAAATTGAAGAAGCTAGCCAAATATGCTGACCAGGATGAGGAGGAGAGAGCTCTAAGGATGCAATTGATGGGTGCTAAAGACACAAAGTACGACTCTAGGAGTAAGAAAGCAGGAGGTAATATAAGAGAAGATAACGACTACGACGAGAAAGTAGATTCCAAGAATTATAGTACAACTAACTACACTAAGGGAAGTAAACAAGGTAAAGGAAGAGCAAACGATGGAGGTGGCCCTGCTGCTGGTCGAGGAGCAGATAAAGGAATAATATCTTCGAAAGGGGGCAAAGGTCGTGGTGGTGAAGCTTCTATTGCTAATTCAGGCAAGAAGGGAAAACAAGGTACCTCAACCTCGTCCGCATCAACACGCGAGCAAGACCGCAATCAAGTCATCAAAACACGAGAGCAGTTACTGCAAGAGCGGCAAGGGATCCAGGAGAGCATCAAAGCAGCGAATTTACCTGATTGGGACACTAAGTTTACAGGTCGCCCATTCGGGAATGATGAGATCGTGCGCGCAGTCCCTATGTGCGCCCCCTTTTCGGCCGTCCGGAATTGCTACTTCAAAGTCAAGTTGCTGCCGGGAACGGGAATGAAAAATTAAGTAATAATACTACATTTAAGTGTCTTATTTACAGAGTTCTTGTTCTCTGCTCAACTCTTCGTCTTTGTCTTGTAGGTCTTCTAGGGTCCTCGCAAAGATTTCCTTTGTTGACAACGTTCGATTATAGCTCTACGTACTTCATTGAAGCTTATGATGCAGCACTGTAGTAACTACATCAAATATCATATAACCCATTATAGATACGACGCATACATCAACCGCGCTTGATGGAGTAAGTCAAAAAAAAGATCTTGGATCTTCTTCTTTTTTGCTTCTAAATTACGGGTCGTGTAAACCAGCTTGCGCAAGGACTCTTCTTTGGAGAGCAGAATACTGTAGAAGTCTGCCAGTTGCTGAATCGTGGAGAAGTAGATGAACAGAGGGAGGTGAATCTTATGAAGAGATATTTTCATCATCATCTTGACTTTGACTTAGTTACTTTTGACTACTAGGAGTGTAACATCAATATTATTTTGATCAAACGACCCTGTATGTTCCCCCTATTTTTTTCTGAAAGTACAAACATGATGGGAGGATCATTGCTGCTCAGGTATACTACCTCTAGGCGTAGAATTGCCCACTTCAAGCACTGTTCTCTCCGCTTCAAAGCTTATTTTGATCAAGAACTACATCGAAACTCGACGACTAGGAGGACCTGCTGAAGATGAAGTAGAGTGGTTCGATTTGTAATCATACTTCTAGCTCTAGTACCTTCTATCATTTAATTAAGTCTCAAAATATTTCATTTCTAGGAGTCATTTTTCTTACAGTTTCGTTCTTAGGAAGCTGAGAATATGAGCCCAAGAAATGAACTGTTTTGAGCTCTAATTTAACTACCGTCGTTCGCGATCGCGTTCTCTACATGATATACTTGACGTCGAAACTACTGCGACAATCGATCAAATCTGAAGACTGCAACAAGCACAATCATCCGTCATTCTATCCTATCCTATCTGATTCCTCTCTAATCCAAATCGAACAACGACCTTGGAAAAATGGCGGCAATATATGAACGCTATCCCTGACATGGAGGTGATGAATGTCCTCATCTCCAACGCTCAGATTCAAGCAGCGAATCTGCAGAAAATACAAAAGCAAATGAAGAAAGAGAAACAGACCAAAGCAAAAGAAGGAGGGGGACAACAACCAGGAGGTGGGAAGAGTAAAAAGAAATAATTAAGAGGGGGACAACAACCAGGAGGTGGGAAGAGCAAAAAGAAATAATTAACAACTCATGACCCCCTGTGATGTCTTTCGGGGGCGACTGTTTCACAGATGAAGGTGGTCCCGTCGTAGATCAGCTCTGGGCGGCACTATCTAAACGTCGTGGACGGGTTTTATGTGAGCTGAATTGCCGAACCCGAACCGCGAACATGAATGAAGGAATGAATGTTCGCATATTTTTCATGATACACTTAGAATTTAGAGTCCCTTCGCCTTGCATATCCATAACCACTTGCTACTTCTAATACCACCCATGATACTAATCAGTTTGTTCCTTTCTTACGTGCAGTGCAGTGCAGTAGCTGTGTCGTGTGCGTCTCCACTCCTGACATTGTCTCATGAGACAGTTTTCCGCATTTGCAGTATCTAAGGATCCATCAACATCTTTCTCGATGTTGACAGATTATACGGTTTGTATTCATCTTTCCGCAAGAACATCATGATCCTCGAGGACCTCAAGAACTTGTCCCCTTTTCACTCCCGAATAAAGTGGCTCGACGTGTGCACACCCTCTAGTTGTACTTACACAACATACAACATCATTTAATTGTGGTCACTGTGGGCGCTCGAATAGCAGGCTCTACTTCTGCATAAGTACTTTTTGTGGATGTTCCTTCGCGTGGATGCTTTCGCGTGGGTGCCTACTGCGTCTTCACAGGGTTCTTGTGCTTTCTCGAATGCAGTTGCCTGAGGCAAGTAGAGCGAAAAGTTTTTTCGAAATGTAGAGGTCCTTCTAGAGGGAGCGGAAGCCGCGTTCATGAGCAGAAGTATCCTGTCAGTCTGTCATCAAATCTGAGAGATGTATACTGTCTGTCAACTAGGGAGTCGCAGGCTCTTCTCTACAGAATGCTTGCGTGCGTGGTTATCCGCATGCGAAAGCAATAGCATGAACGTAATCCATCTAGACGAGACCTCCACGGAGCAGGGTTTAGGGTTTAAAGAATTGATACAGACGAGATGGAGCGAGCGTCGAGAGGAACAAACGAGATGGAGCGAGCGTCGAGAGGAACAAGTCATCTGAATACTGAATTTAAATTTATGCAAACGAGATCGAGCGAGCGTGAAGAGGGACAAGTCATCTGAATTATAATTGATACAGGCGTGATGGAGCGAGGATGATGAAGTGTGAGTCGTGAGTGTTGGTGAGTCTGATGTCAGTTTATAGGTTTTTTTTTTGGTGAGTCTGATGTTCTATGAATGTGAACAGGTTTTTGATGTTGTTTATAGGTCGTGTACTCCGATGTTGTTTATATGTTGTACATGTTGTCTTTCATCCCCTTCAGCGGATCCCGAACAACAACCACTGTTGTCTTTCATCCCCTACCTTTCAGCGGATCCCGAACACCTACAACCACGTGAACTACAACTTCAGAACTAGAACTACAAGACAAGGAAAATGGTTGTCATCACGTTTCTAGCTCAAACGTTTCCAGAGGTGCTACTGGCGTTCGATGACCTGCATCGCTGGATTCTCACTGGCTTGCATTACGTTTTTCACTCACTGCTTCGAGAAAAGGTTCTACTCAATGGGGCAGAGGCGTTTTTCGACATTTATCTTATGCATGGACTTGGACTATTAATTGAAATAGGTAGGAAAGCCAATACTACTTCTACTTTCATGTTAGGCCGATTGCCGAATAGATGGACTCCCGTCATCAGGTAGGAAAGCCAATACTGGATGAGGAGAGCCTGACCTCTACCGTATGCGGGTGTCCAAAAGATAATTGACAACCTCAATATGTGAACTGGAGTATGTCAAATTTGCTTCTTTAGCGGGTCCCTCTGTGCCTGACATCTACCGTAGGCAGGTGTCAAAGTGATAATTGACGACCTCAATCCGACGAGGGGAGTATCGCAAATTTGTAAATTAGCTGCTTCTTCGCAGCCTGGTCTCTGCCGTTTCGGGTGGTAAAGTCGAATTTGGTGGCAGAACAGCAGCAGTCCTGACTTATTGACGACCTCAATATGTGAACTGGAGTATGTCAAATTTTAATTTGCTTTTCTAGCGGGTCCCTCTGTGCCTGACATCTACCGTAGGCAGGTGTCAAAGTGATAATTGACGACCTCAATATGAGGAGGGGGGTATCGCAAATTTGTAAATTAGCTGCTTCTTCGCAGCCTGATCTCTGCCGTTTCGGGTGGTAAAGTCAAATTTGGTGGCAGGACAGCGGCAGTTCTGACTTATTGACAGCCTCAATATGTGAACTGGAGTATGTCAAATTTTAATTTGCTTTTCTAGCGGGTCCCTCTGTGC